GAAAGTTTGGGGTTTTCGAAAGTTTGGGGTTTTCGAAAGTTTGGGGTTGTCGAAAGTTTGGGGTTGTCGAAAGTTTGTATTTTCTCGACGAGCCGCAATGTCTCTGATTGTGTCAAGTTGGGCGCTTGAAGGCGCAGACAATCCGAAGGATGAGAACGGGAGGATTTACGATGGGGATCTGCTTTTATGAGTTGGAGGTTAAGCAGGGTACCCCAGGGCGGAACAAAGTGAAGCGAGGGAAAATTATTAATATTTTTAATTATAAATACACGTTAACAACTGCTGATGATTCATTATTGTAATAGGCGTCACAAAGCTTATTACAATCGTATCATAAAGTATAATATGCAAATCAAATTTTCCGTGCGCCCAATACAAGTTTCACTTACCTTCCCTGAACGATCACTAGGAAACTGCTCGCTGTCCTTTTGATTTTCAAATAATGCGAGCTCGTTGCGTCAGATGTGACAACAATTGGATTCCTGGAAATCTGACGATGGGTAAATCTTTTGTCGCCGCCGTCCAGGAGGTGGTGCGATCTATTAGTGACTTTTTGACCTAGTTGAAGTAGGTGACAATCGATTTGAAAGAGCTTTGTACAAAAAATTAGTATTTGACCAAATGAGAATAAATTCGTGCGGTTTTTTGAGCTTGATTAGACCATCTCCGCGGCGAGAAGTTTGAGATGTATGATGATTTTTTTTCTAAAATGACTTCAAAAACCAGAGAAACTAAGCAGTTCGAAGCGTGCGATAAATTTGATTTAATTTGGCGGCCCATGTACCAACAACCGTTCTCAGCGAATTCATCTAAAATAGTCCGTTTGATACAAAACGACATTTCTAAGCTTAGTTTTCACTCATAGTTATAGCGACTAACGTGTTGAACTAAGCGTTTCTTATGAAGTTTTGAATAAATTGTTAACCTTGTTTTGATCATGTGAAACATATCAATATTGATAAATTCTTCCCTAACTGATGTTCACTCTTTCTTCGCAACATTCAATTAGTATTTTATTATTACTAACATATTCTTGGGTAATTATTCAAAGTGTTTTTCATCCAAACATTTTTTAGGGCTTCTTAGAAATAGCTTAATTGAAATTCTTCATCGACAGACTTGAAGCTGGGCTGTGCTTGTACGGAAACGACATCGACCACACCACGACACCTGTGGAAGCAGGTCTCACCTGGATCATCGGTGAGGAACATTTGATAATTTCCTCATGCGCCGACTATAAGGCCGCTTGCCCACGCCGCGACAGAAGCGCGCGAACGTCAATCATCAAGTCTCTTCGCCGACCCTCCGGCGACGACGGACAAAGGGACCGCAGCAGGTACCTGCTTCGGTTCCTTTGTCCGTCGTCGGCGAAGAGCCCTGATATTTGACGTTCGCGCGCTTCTGTCGCGGCGTGGGCAAGCGGCCTAAGCGTCTCGCCCGGTGCGGAACGTCGCTGAAGGAGGGACTCATTGTTGCAGGCAAACGGCGGCGCGAGGCAGCAGACTTCCCGGGCGCAGCGGTGGTGCTGCGCCAGCTGCGCGAGGGGCCCAAGAGGCGGCGCGTGGGGCTGCGCGCCGTGGCGGGGGGCCCGCCCTTCCGCGCGGGCGCGCGCCTTTTTGCCGAGGAGGAGGCGGCGGCGGCGGGGGCAGAGGCGGAGCCCGCGGGACGCGTCACCTCCGGCTGCCCGAGCCCCACGTTGGGCGCCAATATTGCGATGGGGTACGTTCGCGCCGACCTCGCCCGCCCCGGCACGCGCCTGCGCGCGGAGGTGCGCGGGAAGGCGGTGGCCGCCGAGGTGGTGAAGATGCCCTTCGTGCCCACGCGCTACTACAAGATGCCCAACGCCAAATAGCAGAGCGGCCAGCCACACCTTCATTTCGAACTCTGCATTTTCAATTCGAAACGTATTTTCGATTGAAGAGCCATTGGCGAAAATCATAAAAGGTTCACGGAAGAAAGATTTTTTTACGATCAACAGGTGTGGATATGTTTTGTTACATATCAAGGGTCAACACTTGACAGTAATTGACTACCCCTGGAGTGTTGGAAGAAGCTTTCAATTGCGGAATTCAATGAACTATTGTGTATGGAGTCATCCACATGATCTGCAAGTTGCTTTTGTATTACTTGAAAATTAAGATTTGGTAACCTATTATAGGAAGCGTTCTCATGAACGTGAATGAGTCTGCGAATGTATACTCAAATGATTTTCAAAAACAATTGTAATGCAATTATTTTATAATAAACTTTTCTTATAAAATATACCTAGGTATTTGTTTCAATAAATACTTTTTTGAAACTCTGATATTTCTTAGTTCCATTGTGCAATGGAACGTCATGATGTGACAAAGTGTGTCAAAACTAAAACTAGTGGTGCTACCTAATGATACAATTTTTGTACCGGTAATGTACATTACAAATTATGTACCTATGTACCATATTTCAGCTGTCGTCCAAAAAGCGCATAGTAAGCGGCCTCAATAACAGCGCCCATTTCTTCTCAATTTGTCCTCTCGGCTTTCTTATTTGAAAACATTGCCAATGGACAAATTCGTATCCTCTGTTAATGTAAGAGCTTGTTCTAAGTGTGTGTGTGTGTGTGTGTGTGTGTGTGTGTGTGTGTGTGTATATGTATATATAAAGCTTATTCTGTAGCTATAAAGCAACGAGCTGCCGTCTCCGCTGGGTGCAAAGCCACCTCCTTTCAAATGACACAAATGTACCAGAGTAAGTATCTTTTCTGCTGTTCTGGTGTAAGAAGTATTGTCAATTCTTTAGTTATCTAATAGATCATATCCTTCTTCCTGCTATCCAGATACAAATTCACTTGTGACCTTAAATGCTATGGCTAAATACCATATTAATCGATTTTTCGGTTTCAAGAACCCTTAAAACATGGATTCTGGCTACGTCTCTTAAAGGAATTTTTTAAATTTAGCAACTGAATTTATCGACTTGTTCGTTACCAGGGCTCTGAAAAAAGTTTTTCTGCCGAAAATTTGCCTGTTTCTTCCGCTCAGCAATACATGACTTTCTCTTCTTAAAAAGTTCCTTCTTAATCGCGAGAAAGAAAAAAAAAAACAAAAAACAAAAGCTAATATGTTGAAAGTTTCAAACGGATATTTTAATTTTTGAGAGTACTTCACATAAAGCCTTAAAAACATTTTAAAATTTTTTTCATAAAACTCCACAAAATTTTTTGACCAAACTTTTGTCTTTAATAGAGTAACGCTTAAAAGAATGGTGGTGGTACCATGTTCGTTAAAAACACAGATATTTTGAAAATTTAAGCGCAATTGTTTGGGGCATATTCCTACATCTATAATATTGAAGATAGAGATTTTTTCGTTAGTGAAATCTATTCAAATTTTCGAAAATATGAGTAGTGTCCATATAATTTGCGTGTCAATTTCGCGATATATAGGAATGTTTTCTAAAAAAAACAGAATTTTTTCTGTAAAATTTTGCGTCATATGTAATATGGAACTATAAAAAATGGTGTTAGTCCCATTTTCGAAAATGCCTAACGTGAAATTTGCGAACTACGAAATTGGAGATAGCGGCTTTTACTTTAAACAAAGTTTTTGTAAAATAACAGCTCTTTAAAAAAGGTGTACAATGATTTTGGAAAAAGAGGTGATTTCCGTTTAATACCTGAAATTAATGCAATTTCTAAAATATATCATTTTCTCATAACTCGCATTTTTTTTTCCTTATTACTTTTATATAGTAATACTTTCAGCTCTTTCGACGTTTGCAGATATACGGTGCTTCTGTGGTGTAGTGGTATGGGTGTCGGCAAGTTAAATCTGATCATCTGAGTTTGGGTCTCGGAGCGGAAATAAATTGTTGCTGATTGAAAATACTTTTGCAAGTTTATGTAGAAGTATAATATAGCAGTTAAATATGACGCGAGAAAGTACGTGCTTTTGTAACACTGGCTTTCTTCTCTGTTCCGAGGGTGTTATAATTTTACATTCCCCATTACTGGGGACAGTAGGTACTGGGATCTAGGAAAGCGTACTGTCTCACCCGGCCCCTTTGTCCCAGCCCACTACCTCAAACTAGGTTGTCGTGAAAATACTTTATTTTAGGAGAAAAGAAAAAAGAACATCTCACTTCGACAGAGTGTAAAAATAAAAAAAAAAAAATTAAAAAAAACATTATAGCCAGAGGAAAGCCTCTCACGAAGAAGATACTAGAAAACTGTCACGTATAGTATTGTATTTTAACCACTAACTCGCGACAGTTTCCACCCAGAGGTGTCGGTGCTGCCCTCAGAAGCTCTAAGTCACGTGTTCTGGTCATCTCCATAGAGACGTCCTGACCAAATATGGTATGCTACAGAACGTCAACACCCACACATGCACTGGCACTGACGTCAGAAACTCCCTTTTCAATTCCGACATCATCGGCCTCATACAGCAAGTATGGGTATCTCCTCCACGTACGGACCTCATATATCTCTTACAATATCCCTTCACTCTTTTCCGAAAAAGTCTTGATCTGGCAGAGACCAACCATTAACGAACATGAATACATCGTGGTGGAATTATTTCCACCATGGAATATATATATGTGGAGAATACCAACTGTGGACACTTCAAAAAAATAATTGAAACTTTAGTTTCTAAATGTTTATTATATTAACAATCATTTTATACGAATATTTATTCTCCATATTCATTATTGTTATTACTTTTTTAGATATTTGCATTACCTCTAATGAACGTCTAGCAAAAAAAGAAAGACAGTATTGGCATCCCTGTTCCCACATTGTTCTATCGAGTTCGCAAAGCAAAGACAAATGCAGAGAGACTGCTAGAAACACAGGCGCACGTTCAGCACGGTGATCATCGGGAGGTTATTACACCGCGTGCGAAGTGAAAATTATTTGCGCATTTGAAAGGTCGAACTGTTTTCGCATTTAAAATGTCTACAGTAGCTAGCCCTTTGTCGGTAGCAGGTTCCCGGTCATCTGGAACGCCTGTGAGGACACAGAATGGTAAGCTGCATTGAAACATAAAATGCCTTATGAGTTTTCAAGTGAGCCACATTGAGAAGTTGTGGGTATTTCCGGGCCATTTCAGGGTTCTTTTTGGACAATATAACGAGATTTCTCGGTGAACTGTCAAATTGCCTATTTATATTAGTGATTTACGTTTTAGTTCTTTTGTGATGGAATGCGAATAACGATACGTATTCAAAAAGTTTGTCTTTTGTGTTAATCCTTCATTAAAAATGAAATTTTTGTTGTCAAATCTTTGATTTTCTCTCCTGTTCAATCCAAAGAAAAATATGTAACGCACGTTCCGAGAGCTGAAAAACTTAAGTTCTTTTGTAAATTTTGATTTTTACCTCCCCAAGCAATTGGACTACATCAGCTATCAAAGAAAGGATTTCAGTCTTTAACTTTCAGCTTTGAAAAAGGTTAACTTTAAGTGAGCCGTTTAACCAGTATGTACAAATGCATGTAGAAAGAGTGTGAGATACCTGCCCTGAATGTATTGAAAAATTTCATTGTTTTATCTGTAGAAATAAAATTGAAATGTCTGTCTTTAATTTCACAATAACTGCTTTTTTATATGGTTACACAAATCTATTCATTTGTTTTCACAAATTTTGTATGTGTGTTTTGCAAACTGGAATCAGAAATGAACTGATTTTGAGGCAGTTTTCACAGAATATGTGTGTGTTGTTTGGCGTATATCTTAGGCTACTATATTCTTTCTTATTATTTGTACTATTTATTTAAAAAAGTTTTTTATATTTGTATATAAAAAGGTTTGTTTTTTCGTTCAAACTTAGCTTTATCCGAACTTCATGCTATTTTCAGCATGACAATTTTGACCTTTGGGACCAGGGGAAAGTTACTGCATGTAGGAGATATTGTTAAAATTACTCGTGCCACTTGAGCAAAATTTGAGAGTGCTCTTTCTGGTTTTGCAAGTATCTCACCAATTAGTAAATTCTCCAAAGTTAATTAGATATTTTTGAAAGCCAATTAAATGTATTAGCAAGTAAATTTTGATTCATTCCAATACCAATTAGATTCAGAGTAATTGAAGGTCAAAATTGTTAACATGTTTCCATGGAGTATGCAAGATTGCAATAATCCATAATAATGTCCAAAACATTTTTTCAACATTCCCAATTCAATGCACCTGTTCACAGTTGCCCATAGCAATGATGGTTGTAGCAGGGGCGGATTCAGAGACTAATTTTGGGAGGGGAAATTCAAATGTTGTCATTGAATATACCGTATTACAGATTTTGTAAAATGTTACAGGCTACACTGTGCTTATACTACTTTATTAGTTTTAATGTTCATCCGAAAATATTTTAGCATAAGTCTTGTGACAAGTTGAAATTGATGGTTACTGAAAAATTGTAGGGTGAGGGGGTTCTCTTATTTTTCTTCCCGTGGATCCACGTCTGTTGTAGCAAAAATGTAACAGTTGTGACAGCGTAATGAGGGGCAGGGTGAGCCAGGTGAGTCATAAGGTTTACGATTTATAAATACCCAGGAAATGCAGAGTACTTCAGTTACAGTAAATGTGATGCAAGATTTAGTGCTCTGCAACACTGCAACGATTTGAATGTCAGTATTGTTGTGTTCACATTCTCAACAGATGTTTTGAGAGCTTGCCTGTATAAGAAAGGGACAGAACAATGAATTAGCACATTTTCTAATACAAAATTGTAATACTTTCTATTTATACAACTTTTAGGGAAAAAAGTTTCTTCTATAATGTTAACTGCACACACACACTCACACATTTTTCACACATGAACATACCTGGATTTGGGGAAAACCCCAAATTATTTTGATGATACATGCACACATCCATTATTTATTGAAATTGGATATTGTTTCTTTCTTAATATTGAATCATTTTTTGAATACTTGTCTAGAAATTTGTACTCCTGTATTTCATTATCTATCACCAAAAATCTTTTCAGAAGGTGGTGTCATTTTTAACCTCTGTTTGAAAAATGAAAAACCTTTATTATGTAGATTTCAATATCAGGTACAGGTGAGGGGGAACATTTTATAATAAGGTTACACTGTATGACAAACTTCTCCAAGATGAAAGACTTCTGGTTACAAAAATTAACTATTTACAATTCACACACTAAACCCCATCTATCACCTTCCTGGAACAATTGCCTTCTTCAGACAATGGATGACATCAGATGGAAACGCCATAGTTTCCTTTAGACAGTAGTACTAACTTAACACAAGACATTATAGATCTCTTTTTAAAATAATTGAAGAGGAAAATGTATGAATATTATCTGGGGTCCAGTAGACCCCAGTGATATGTGCAGGGTTAAGAATGGTGTTTCCTGTACACCATCCAGATAATTCAGCCAATTTATATAAATTTCTGAAAGCCTTTCCTGGAACCTTTAAGTTGATCCACATAATTGGTTGTGACTCTTCTCTTTTCCAATGCTCAATTAATTCTGTTTACAACAATTTTTCTTCATTCTGAACTGAAAATTATTCTAGATAGGGTCAGTTAGGTACATTATTTTGTAGAATAATTCTCATTTGTCAATGACACACTACATCCCATTGTTATGGCACGAATTTTAGGAAGAGATTGTTGGCTGTCAATTTTTGTATGTGTGTGTGTGTGCGCGCGCTGCTGTTGTGGTGTGTTGTTGCACGCATGTGGGAGGCATGCGTGTGTATATGTGTGCTTTTATAAAAGCGCGCACACACACACACACACACACACACACATATATATATATATATATATATATATATATATATATATATATATATATAGGACTTAGAAGAGATTAAATTTTCAACAGTGCTTGCCCAGCGTAACTAATACAACGTTGAAAACGCTCTAATCTTCTTCTAAGTCCTTTTTACATCTTGATCTGCGCATTGTTAGCAACAATTAAGTTTCTGTTCCATTACCTAATAAGAGAAACTACTGTTAATTGAATTATTATAAACCATAAAGTTAGCTGTTCCTCTTTTGGAAATTGCTTTCAGGAAATAATTCAATCCTCTCCTCACTCTCTCTTTCTCTCTCCTCTCTCTCTTTCTCTCTCCTCTCCTCTCTCTTTCTCTCTCCTCTCCTCTTTCTCCTCTCTCTTTCTCTCTCCTCTCCTCTTTCTCCTCTCTCTTTCTCCCTCCTCTCCTCTTTCTCCTCTCTCTTTCTCTCTCCTCTCCTCTTTCTCCTCTCTCTTTCTCTCCTGTCTCATCAGGGATCCCCAAAAATATGTATTTTCATTAAAATCATGAAATTGATTGTCCACATTATGTCACTTTTTCAATGGTGCCTCCATATATTACTCCATGGATTTGTACATATTTAAGAAAGGGAAAATCACCTACTTAGTGTTACAGAAAATATTGGGTTTGTTTTGGTTATGGTTAAAAAAATGAGTTTTTCTATTAAAATGTTGAGCATTTGTAATGTCACCTATTCTGGGTAAATAAATTGTATTGTGTGTTTTTTGATGCTATACAATAAATACAACAGTACTGAGGGACAAAATCTAAACAATTCAATTAATAGAGAACTTTTTAAATACAATTTACGTTTTTGAAGACATCAAATTTCTGTAACTTCAAAGATAAATCAATTTGAGGAAAATGTTTATTAGTAACTATGAGGAAGAAAGTTTTTTTTTTAAACTTAAGAAACTTTCATTGTATGCATTGATGTTATGACAATAAATTATTTTTATTTACATTCAGATGTGATGTGTGTTACTAAGCTCTTTGGCCATAAATGCAATAAAAATTTTCTTAGAAAGTGGGTTTTTGAAATACTGCAAAATGCACATGGTGTGCTGTGTAAAGCAGTTTGTTGAGAGAATTGCATTAGTTAAAATACTAGAAATACATAATTTGTGAATTATAATATACATACCTCTTACTGACAACAAGAGAAAATCTATGTTATGTTATAGCACTCCCAGTTTCTAGGTTGTATTTCTGTTATGAAATATTCACATTTTTTTGTAGTCCATATCTGTCATTAACAGAAGAACATTGATACTCGTTATGTTTACAGTTATGGCAGCATGTTCAATTGCAAACATCGTCAAGAGCTCTTTGGGTCCTGTTGGTTTGGATAAAATGTTGGTAGATGATATTGGAGATGTCACTGTAACCAATGATGGAGCGACCATTCTCAGACTCCTTGAAGTGGAGCACCCTGCTGCTCGGGTTTTGGTGGAGTTGGCCCAGTTGCAAGATGAAGAAATTGGTGACGGGACAACCTCTGTGGTGTGTATGATATTTTTATACATATGTGTAGCACGTAAAGACAAAATTACTGAAGAATGAAGGAAAAGGATCATGGGCTAAACAATGAATTTCAATTTGTATCTTGTGCATGGACTTTGATTGAAAACAGTAGCTTGCTTTTAACTATTAGAGGTGTATTAGAAGCCATTATAATTATTAGAAGACAGGGCATTTTAATCCTTGTGGTATCATGATAACCACTTTGACCCCTCAAGATAAAAAGCACTATTCTAGAACAATATTGATATTTTATTGTTACTTTTTATTTAATAATTAATTTTTTAATTAATCAATAAATTAATTTATTCACTTATCATATATATATATATATATATATATATATATATATATATATATATATATATATATATATATATATTATATTATATTATTGGGAGCAAAAAGAGAAGAAATAAAAATGAAACTGACAATTTATTATAAAAGTACCAGATAAATTCTTTCCCCCCAGAAAACTTGAAGCTTCATCACAAAAATTAACAAAGCAGGAGATAAATAGAAAACCTGTAGCTTATTCCATTTTTTCATTTAAAGACATTTTACGTCTAAAATTAATGAAAAATTATCTTGCTGTAATGGAGAAGTGGTTACAAAATAAGAAAAGTTTAACATGAATAAGGTTTGAGGAAAAAATTCATGATGGTTCATGCTAAAATTTGAGGTCATTAATCAAAATGCAGAGCTTTCAAGAAGGCTAGGATCAACTAGAGGTTACTACAGAAGGGCTAACTACATCTGCAGTAAGCTACCTTCAAAACCAGTTGTTCTTTCACAATGTAATGGAAGAGGTTTTATTTTTTGTTCTTTACTCTTTTTCCCTGTACTTTTTGCTACAATATGTTTTCCTGTTTCAGATTTTTAGAACATTTCTCAGACTGTTTTTTTCCTTTGTTGTATCAGGTTATTATTGCTGCAGAACTCTTGAAAAATGCTGATGAATTAGTGAAGCAGAAAATTCATCCAACTTCTATTATTAGTGGTTATCGTTTAGCATGCAAGTGAGTAATGAGTGTTGTTTTTGCATTAGTCTTGTGTAATATAAAATGAAAACAATAATTCTGAACATTCACTATAGGGAGGCTTGCAAGTACATTCAAGAACATCTCACTATCAGTATTGAAGAACTTGGACGAGAATGTTTAGTAAATGCTGCAAAAACATCTATGTCAAGCAAATTGATTGGACCGTATCCTTGAATATTTTGCTTGCTTTTCCATTATATTTGCATGATCTGTTTAGGACACTAGGTCTCTTTATTTTCTTATGTCTATTGTGAGCATGTAATGCAGCAGGAACATGTGTGGATTTTTCTTAGAAAAATATGTTTTGTGGGTATTAATGAAGTTTGCATGCTCCTCATGTATGTAGTATGTAAATTACTTTCTCTAAAGTGTAGTGTAGTCAGAATGCACCCTTTGCCATTCTTGTTATCAGAAAATTGAATTTTTCATAATATCTATCCATCCATCCATCTGCCTGTCTATGTATTCGCTTGTTATTAACATACGCTCCCAAACTACACAGAATTTTTGCCAAAACACATTCTCTCTGACTGGTCTGACTTGAATTTCAAATGGATCTTTTAATTTTTGTTTGTTGGGGCTTCATGTTCAGTACTCTTAAAAATTAGTGTTTGTTTCAAACAACTCGTAAAGGATAATTTATTTATTCTCCCCATGAGTTTGTAATATTTCCTTTGCACACCAGTTTTGCAACTCTCTTTTCCCATAATATTTCATCAATTTCTATGAAATTGATTTGTATTTCTAGAAAATTCTTTTTCTATTCAATGTTTTGAAAGTTATAGGCATGAAAACTTAAGCTAACACAAATTCAGTTGTTCAAATCAGTTTCATTTGCCCTGAAAATCTGCCCCACAATGAGAAGTTATTTTGGGTGCAACAAAGCCAAAGCTAGGTCATTTCTTTTAGCATTTTTTTCTCCATTAGAGGTAAAAATGAAAGGAAAAAATTTGGAGCCATTTTTTAAAAAAATTTTTGAAAATGTTGAGGCTTAATGTAAAGTGCCTCTCAAATCAAAATATCAGTTTCAAATTCAAGGGGCCATGGCCTTGGTCAGATAAATCAGGAAATATCCATTTTTGTGAAATGCCACTAGCGTTGTTTAGTCGGATGTTTTGCCATCAATTGATTGTTCCGTATCAACGACACATAAAACACAGATTCTGACTTCACGAGGTGTTAGAAGTAATTCACCACATAATCGGAACAGGATTTATCCACTTTTGCTACCAGGTCCCATTAGAGGTTTTTGCGTCAAAAAATCATAGTTTTTTTCCACAGCATGTGAGAAAGTGAACGTGAAAGAATCCCATGTTGTCTTCATCAGCAATTAAATATGATAAGGATAATCACTTTATATGAAGCTAAAAAAAAAGTTAATAATAATGCTGAGTAAGATGCTGCTGATCCAATGTATTATTTGTCAGTTTAATTAAAATCGCCCTATGAAAAAAGTTTGCTAAAGAATAAATTTGGGGGAATACAAAAGGTCTTCAAATCTACAATTTTAGTCAAGAATTTTGGCTTTGTCATAATTGTAGTTTCTAAAATTCGACAATTCATTCCTCTGAAGAGAAATCAATTTGTGTAAATGCATGTATCAAATTAAATAACTGTTGTTGTTTTTTAGGATAGCAAATCTATTGCAGACTTTTATTTTTCTACCATTTTATTTGTGAATTTTTTATTTAATAGTGTTTAATGAGTTCCTTAACAACTATATAGTGATGCAGATTTTTTTTCTAATATGTGTGTGGATGCAGCACAAGCTGTAAAAGTATCAGATGGCAAGGGTGGATTTTTGTATCCCATCAAGGCTGTCAATATTCTGAAAGCCCATGGTCGCAGTGCTAGGGAAAGTTTGTTGATTCCAGGTTATGCTCTTAATTGCACTGTTGCTTCTCAAGGTAAGATAATCTTAATATTTAACATAGTAGAGAACATTATTTCTCATCTATTGTTCAAAATGTAAAGAGCTCAGTTCTTCAATTGGATTTACATTGCCTCACAATGTAAGTAACGAAGTGAAGAGCTATGCATGACACTGTCATGTGAAAACCTTTTAATGGATGTTTTCCCTACCTCATTGCTCAATTTTTTTTTTTACATGTATACTACACTTAGATTATTCAGAACATTTGAGCACCTTTACCCACTTGGGCACGAATGAAAGGATGCTTAGTTGAAATTAATGTTATTTATTGGGTTTCTTTTAACTCGTATATCATGTGGGTCTGTGTAATTATGTACTTTTCAACTTTTGAATAATTCTTTTCTTTATTTTACAGCAATGCCCAAAAAGATCATTAATGCAAAAGTTGCATGTTTGGATTTCTCTCTTCAGAAAACTAAGATGAAACTAGGAGTACAGGTGAGTTAATACTTCAAGCATTAAGCTGTGGCTTTAGGAATCCCACAAGCGATACAACGCATGCAAGCATTCACTAGAACTCTTAGAATTCATTGTTGAAAGGGCTATGCTGTTCTGGCTCGTGTTTTCTGGATGCGTATATTATTGTAAATTATGTACAGTAAAACCCCTCTTTTACACTTTCATGGGACCTGAGTGAAAATAATATAAAGATACACACAATCAATTAAGATTATAATGTGCAGTATTATGTTTATAAGCAACAGTATTACAAGGGCAAATTGTAATATGACTGAACTTTGCGACATCAGGGATTAAAGGTGCTTTGAGACCAAAACCTAGTGAATTTTAAATGTAGTGACACACTCACGGCTCCCCACCGTCCACTATTGGTAGCCTTTGATGATGCAACAATGTATTCATTATTAGATGAAGGAAGAACAATAGTATTTCTACAGTAGGAAAAGATGTGAAGTTTACATTTTCCCCAACTCAATAAAAAGTTACTTTTCGGCAGTTCGTAATGATTTCCAACTAGTCTTTTTTAAATTTGTTTATGAAATAATAGGCTAGTACATTCATGAAGCGAGTTTACACTTAAAACATTCGGAGAACCCCATTTGATGTTTGAGTTATTAAAGGTTGGGAAAAATTATGTTGATTATGGAATGAGAAAGTGTGAAATTGTGTAGGAGGATGATGTAAAATAAACAATCGATTGTGAGGCTACCTCATGAACATTGCGTTGGCATGATTTACATAATACTGATGACATCAGCTGCATGGTGCCTGTGCACCTAACTCGCTTAACATGCTCTGTAGATTAACATTGTATCATATGTGAAGCGTCACGTGAGCGCTTTTGGCAAAGTTGTGCTCCCGGCTCAAGCTACTATGTACGTCAAGAAAACACACATTTTCTAGCTTTCATCACGTGGTGCCCACAAAGTGTCAAGCATTGGCTACAGTGCACTTTCCAGATGGTGTTGTGGCAAGCAGACTTGTATATTGCAGGAAAATTGAAATTATACTCTTGTAAAAGCAGGGTATTTACAACATTTAGAATATATGGAAACTGATAGGACCAACAAGAAATGTTGTAAATGCTGGTTAAGCATAATTTGCAGGCATGTAAAAGTAGGGTTTTACTGTATTTGTTTTGAAATCATGAATTCTACAAAAGTTAACTACAAAAGCCTTTTTTAATTTTTGTAGTGCTCCTTATTTTTAAATTTTATGGTACCTTTGCTACAAATTTTTAATATTTTTTGTGTCTACACCATTTTTATTTTATTTTCTTAAATATATTGATATGACCAAAATTGATTTTTTTTTCTCTCTCTTTCTCTAGGTCCTTGTAACTGATCCCGAGAAGCTTGATGGAATTAGACAACGTGAAATAGATATTACAAAAGAGAAGATCCATAAAATATTAGCTTCTGGTGCTAATGTTATTCTATGTTCTGGTGGAATTGATGATTTGTGCTTGAAGGTAAAGTAATGTTTAGATACATTTTTTCTTGTTTGGTAAAAATAATTTTTAGACAGCCTTGCATAAAAGTGGTTATTTTTAGAGGTTTCACTGCTTACTAAACTAACATGATGCTTAAATGTTCAGATTGAATTATATAGGGACCAAAGAAAAGAAAATGCTTCTGTGTAACTGTATCAGCTACTACTGACTTTAAAGTAACATTGTATGCACTTAAGTGATGTGTATCAGCCTTGTGGCACAAGTTCTCCTATTTGCAATATAAAATATCACTTTTAGCACTCGCTTACTACAATGCCATTTCTTTGATTAGTTTTCTCTCTTTTGGCATAAAACTCTTGATCTAAATTGCTGTCAAATTTGCAGTAGATAAGAGCACAGTGTCCACGAGTATATTGATGTGATGTGATATGACCGAATCAATGTGACTCAATAAAATATTATGGCCATTTCATGACGCTTTTGATACTGAAACCAGTAAATTAAAGTAAAGTAAAAATTATACGATTTTATTATGATTATTAAAATACATTTATATACAACATACATGTGGAAGATATCACAAATAAATGAATAGAATATGTGAAAATGAGTGAATACCTTCACACTGCTTTCGGCAATATGTCCCTAACCGACGGGTTAAGATTTTCAATGCGGGGCAGGGAGAAGTGTGAACAGAATATATGCCTCTACACCTTCCCATTCTCAGTCAGGAGGGAGGAATTCCCTTATGGTCTACATCTTGAGGGAGAAGGGACACTAAGGACCAATTCTACGCTTAATCTCTTCTCTTGCACACTGCTTGCCATGGCTGTATCACATTGATGGAGAATTTAAAACAGACTTGCAGATACATTCATTTTGTTTGGAATACCTCTCCTCTCTCTGCCAGTTGCCTTAAATTCACAGACTTTCTGTTTTATAAAGTTTTTTCATAAGGCCATTCAAAACTGTTCCGTTTTATGCTGTGCAGAATTCCTCATAACGTCACAGGCGGGAGAAATTTTGTAGTTGTATTATTTATAAGAAAGCATCAAGTCTGCTAAATGCTGCATAATCCTTTTTGTTTTGAAATCATATTTTCTTTTGTTTTTCTTAGTATTTTGTTGAGGCTGGTGCAATGGCTGTTCGGCGAGTAAAGAAAGCAGACTTGAAGAGGATTGCTAAAGCTACAGGAGCTGCTTATGTTACTTCACTGTCAAATTTAGAAGGTATGTGATGACATTCTGCTCTTTATTTAATATTTCTTCTTGGTAATAACGAAACTTCAAGACTTTAATGTTCTTCAGGTGAGGAGAGTTTTGATACCAGTTTTATTGGTGAAGCAGCAGAAGTCGTTCAAGACACTGTTTGTGACGATGAACTCATTTTGATCAAAGGGTAAGTACTAATATTAGTCGTTTCATTTACAAGTTGTTTATTTATAATAATAAAATATTACCCAGAGTCTGTGGGGAGAAAAAATAGTGAAAATGGAACTTTATTTGAAATGCAGGAAAAAGATTAAGGATGTAATGTACTATATTACCTAACCCTACCTTCGTACTGTATGGTTTTATCATGCCAATCCCATGTAATGAAAAAACTTAATAACAGTAATTAAATTTGGAGAATGTATGAAAATGGTTTGGTGTTTAGTTCACAAGTGTATAAAGGCATATGTAGAAGACAAATTATACTGCAAATATTCAGAATAATACTAACAAATTAATAATGCAGACAAAAAGACCCCAGGCATGGTACAAAGGGTATAATACTTATATCAGGGAAAAACTTAGTCAATATCACAAATGATACAAATCATTTAAATAGTCATACAATCGGAGAGAGTACTCAAAAGTCTCGTTTCAAAACTTGGATCATACTAAAACATGTCTGATGCGCCAACTTCATTTTACAGATACCTCTGTTAACAGATGTCATAAGTTTTTTCACATTATTTGTGTGGGGAAATGAACATCTGTTCAGTGATTTTAAGCATCTAAAATTTTTCTTTGTCTCCACAACCCTATTACCTCTTTTTCACTCATTCACGTTTTAGCTCTTATCATTTCATGAAATGACGAAATGCAATAATACCTCTTGTATTTTAATTTTTAGACCGAAGGCTCGAACTGCAAGTTCCATTGTTCTTCGTGGACCCAACGATTTTTATTGTGATGAGATGGAACGATCTGTTCATGATGCTCTGTGTGTGGTGAAGCGTGTGCTCGAAAGCAAATCAGTGGTTGCTGGAGGTGGGGCTGTAGAAGCCGCTTTGTCTATTTATTTGGAGAACTTCGCAACATCTTTGGTAAGTATTGTTTTATTGTACAGTTGCCTTGAGTAGTTAAAAGATCGTTGCAATTAATTTCTTGGAAACAATTAAAATTCTTCAACTGTCTAAATATCATGGTAATTTAATTTTTTAATATTCACTGGCATCCAGTGCATAACAGTTGCATTGATTTTTATATTTCTTTATTTTAAAAAAATTTAAATCTTAAAGTGATATTTGTGATAAACAAACTTCAAGTCATGAATTATTGTTCTGTGGTATGTTTAACACTTTCTCTGCTCTAGACAAGTGCAAAATATTTCCATGTGTGGTAGCCTCTTGGCGAGTTATTATGATCGGTCAATTTGTCGCTAGGAAGCAGTGGACGAGATCGTACACAGAACCGTAATGTCCCTGGTAGTGTCTGGACGAGTTCACTTGTGCAGACATGCTTTTGGCTATCGCAAGGACTTATTAATAACTGATATGTTTTGCAGAGTATCTATATGCAAGTGAGCTTGGCCCACAACGGGGCCCACAGCGTGAAGCATGATGCAAAATTCGTGACTCGGTCAGACTGCTCATGGCAGTTAATGGATTAAAGTAGGGTTTTCCCATCAGGGTCAGTATAGGTCACCTAGCAGTCCATGGTGTTTAGAAAGGGGTCAGTTGGGAGCGGGGGTAGGGGGCGATTGGTGAATATGAACCAATGATTCCAATGATGGATAAGTATAATCAAGATCCCAATTCATACCAAAAGTATCAATGAACTTGATAATTAATAACATTATTCATTTGCTCCATTTACTGACCATATTCTAATAAATTTAAAATTTTCTGTTTATTGAAGGTAAGGCCCCATTTGAACTACTTGCACTGGGAGATCCGAGAACCAAGCTATGCAAATGATTAGGAAGTTTAGAAATGTTAACAAATCTATTGACAACATTACTCTTATCACAGAAGAAAATACTGTTATATTCACTAGAGAAATCTTATGGTCAGTTAAAAATTGCTTAACATTTTGTAACTATTCCACACCGATTAAAATTAGAAACTTACTATTTGAAGGGAAAAAATCTAATTATTGAAAATTTAGATATTTATCAAAATATTGATGTATGAAACTGTAATGTTTGACATTTACGTGTAATTCTTAGAGTTGTAATGATAAATGATGTATATTAGATACAATAAGGAAGGTAGACAATGAAGCAAACAATTCTCTTAAAGGGGTCAATGAAGGAAAAAGATTATGGATCCCTGATTTAAATCTTGGAATATCTCTCGTAGACAACAATTCACGATGACCAATTAACTATAAAATTTGCTTCCACAAAATGAGGCACGGACATTTTTCTATCAATTGGGGTTAAATTCAAATCCTCAGAGCACAATCTTGTGTTTTTGTGTGTGCACATGTGTGTGTGTGCGCGCACGTTTGTGGGGGATGTGTGCGTGGGTTTTTTACTCTATGAAATTTTGTGATTTTTTAATCTAAATGAAATGTAGTAGGTCCTACAAGTTTTAAGTGTTGCCTTTTTTATTAATTGGGTTTATAGAAAAAGACACAAAATTTTATTAATGTATTAATATTATTGGAATTAACGCTTATATGCCATCGTTATTCATTCATTACGTAATTTTCAAGACCACCTACAATAATTGCTTCAAATAATGTCGTATTTAATTTCAATAAATTCTAAATTCAAGTTTTAATTAAATTCACATAATGAACTTACTAGCATTAGACTTGCAGCCTGCTCCATTATCACACCTGCTGCCGTTTCCTTGTGTAAGTTAATTCTTGCTTTCCAACAGGTTTATTGTTGAGAACAGACTTCAATGCTCTGGTATTAGCCAGTTCTTCTACATATAGTATTCATTTATATTACTCCTTTATATTATGTTTGTGTTTGTTTTCTCTTCTTCCAGAGTTCTAGGGAGCAGTTAGCAATTGCTGAATTTGCACGTTCCCTATTAGTTATTCCTAAAACTTTGGCTGTGAATGCAGCTCAGGATGCAACAGATTTAGTTTCGAAGTTACGAGCTTATCACAATTCGAGCCAGACCAAGGTGGAACATGCCCAGCTTAAGTGGTGAGTAACAGATTTCATCACTGTGTTCAAAAATACATGTATAGAAGTGGGTATTATTCATGCTCTGCACAAACACTGGATTGGCTCCTGTCAAAATTTTCCAAATTTGCCAGACACATTAGATTGAGTACACATGCATTTTGTCACCTTCATAAGGCTTCATCTATCCCAATTCTGGCTACATGATTGTCACACCATCCCCCCTGGCGGTGCAGGCATCCCAACCAGCTTTCTACCTTCTTCAGATAGCAATAGTGTCAAAACCACATTCATTGGAACTTTTAGCCAGAAGCATTGTATATTTTATCTTTATTGTGTTTGTTATTTGTTTGTATTTTCAGGGTTGGTTTGGATCTGTATGAAGGCACTGTTTGTGATAACAGGAAAGCTGGTGTTCTGGAGCCAGCAATTTCTAAAATCAAATCACTGAAGTTTGCTACTGAAGCGGCCATTACCATCTTGCGCATTGATGACATGATCCGTTTAGATCCAGAAAGAAAAGATGGCAAATCTTACAAGAATGCATATGAAAGTGGCGAGTTAGATTAATTTCTATCTGATGCAAAAGAACATTTTTCGCTTAGCTGTCTGATACTGTTGACCTCCTTTTTCAAGGAAGTGATGTGCTAATTTTTTTTGTTTTTTTCATACATAACTGTTAACATTCTACTCTGTTGCTGAAAACAAAATTCCTTTAATAAAATACATATATTTGTTCTACTCAGATTACACATCTTAAAAATAAATTTCACTTTACTACTAGTGTCTGTCATTTTACATTCCTTTTCTCCTCTATGTAATTTATTTATTTAACAGGCAATCTACATATTTACAAGTTTACACAGTTTAGTAAATGGATACATTTTATAATTTACAAAATTATAATTTATAACAAGTTATATATGCAATAACAAAAAACTACTAGATTATATACAGCCTTTACATAAGAAAATACAGTATTTACTATCAACTTTATAATTTTATCAATTTAGCTGAAAACGTATATTTATAATGTAACCTATAAGAAGGTAATGAGATAATATTTAGAATGGTACCATTGTTAGTGTAATTAAGTTATTGTCAGTGTTGGAATATTTATTTGCCATGCACCATAAGACAAAACTTATCTTTTACTACCTCTAATTTCTTAATATGATTAATATAATATGCAGACCATACATGGGGTGGTCCACGGAGAACTTGGTGTTAAATAAAGAAGCGTCTGATTAGATTTAGTAATAATATATTTCATGTGAATATTACATTTTAGATCTTGGTGGAAAACCTTTCCACATTCAGTAAATCTTGTGACCGAATCAAGAGTTTGGTTATTGATTACTCTGTAATCGAAGTTAAATGGCTTGCTCAGTTTTAAATAATTTTTCATTTCTCAATATTTAAAGATAACCAATTTACCATGTGGATAGCGCATTTAGGTCTTCTTTCAATGATAAACAATCACATGATTTAATTATTTTAATTTTAGATCTGCAAACAATAGAAAATTACAAGATTTTAATACAATTTCAAGATCATTTATAAAGATCAGAAACAAGAGGACAAAGATCTTTTTTGGAACTCCAGAGGGAATCTGAAATCTTGTGAGATGAGATAAAGTTGGTGTATTTTGCTTGTATTCTGCCAAAATTAAAATTGATGCATCTTTGATTCATATGATCAACTTTCACAAGTGCAGTGCAACGAGCATGAAGTTTCCATTTGAGGTTTCCAGCAAATCAAATACACAGTATATTGTAAAGTTCATCTGCTCAATTTGTGGACAACCGTAATGTGCTGAACATACATGGAATGTGTGTCAATAATACTAGATAGTCACCTTCCCGTTCTTACTGAAGAAGGGATGATACTGTAATGCCAACTTCGTTATCAGTTTGTTTCCAAGCATGAAACAGTAAGGTAAGGGTAAGGAAACGAATGGGTACTAATGAGGAGGCTTCAAAACTTTGAAAATTAGCTCCAAAAGATATTTTATGCACATTGTCTAATGAACCCCTGAATTTTGAATGGGTGAATTGCAATAAATTAAAAATTTGGGCTCCGAAACTACTGAAAATTTTCATTTCAGAAGCATATAAATCCTTCAGGAGTATATAAATTATTAGTTACAAAAGAAACTACATTTATATATGTACTATGTGTTAATGGTACACGTATGAAATGGCAGCAAACTGTCAATACCAAGCTCCACTCCACAATTAGAGTACACAGTTCTCACAAAGGAATTGTAGTTTCTGCCTGAGAATTTAGTTATCAATAAGCCCTGTTGAAATCGCTGCTTCTGGAGGCTCGATAAAAACGTTTGAAGTATTAAAGCTAAAGGCGGACGATCCGATCTGCAGTGTATTTTGTGTACTCGGTGAGGTGAGGGTTTCCGCTTTTTCTAACGAAAAGTGCCTGGAAAGGGCCCTTTCCTAAAGAGGCGTATGATATTCACATTGCCGCGGGGTGTGTGGCTGCGATCCGTGGTGGAGAGTTGTAGACGATGACCCGGGCCCTGAGTTTCACGGCGATACTCGCGCAGTTAGCTCCAAGGTGGCGGCAGTGAGTAGGCGATGCTAAGCTCCGTGTTGCTGGGTAAATCACCTGTTGGGAGGACTTATTCCTTTCGGCAGGATCGGGCGAAGTTCATTCTTCGGAACCCACGTATAAAAGTCCGATGTGGGCAAAGATATCCCACTGTCAAGTTGCTTAGGTTCTGGCGGTACTCGTGTCATTAGCCTCAAGGTGTAGGCAGTGAGGAGACCGGAGGAGTTCCGAGCCACCCGGACCTTCGTTCGGGTGGCCCCCTGATGGGCTCTCGACTTCGTTGAGGTAGTAGTCCGATACTCTGGGCAAAGAGGAGGGACTTGTCCCGACCCATTGTTTAGTCTCCGGTACTAGGCTGCTTAGCTGAGAGCTCTGAATTGGCAGGGCGGCCCGATCCAGGTATTGTATGGGGGCTAGAGCCTAGGTGCTCACCCAGGAGTGAATTCCCCCTAGTACAAGTACGAGGTAGGCGCTCTGCAGACCAAAACACTAGGCTAGTCACTGCAAATCTGTACCGTGCGCAATGTAAGAGTTGCCCCCGTGTGCGAGTCTGGAGCTACAGTTTGGCTCACGATCTACGTGATGTTTGGGTGGCGACCGGTGTCACGTGACCATCGTTGGCCGAGTAAGCTCCAGCAGAAATGTACAATTTTTCACTCCTACTAGCAGCAGAGTGGACAGTTTGTTTTACGAGTGGCCTCCGCGAAGACCATGACGCGCCAGCAGCTGAGAGAAGCGCTCGCGTTTGAGGCCATCGACTAGCAGGTCGCGTTCCTCCTCCACGTGCACGATGTACCCCTTTTTTGTGTCTCCAAGCTCTTTGTTGGGTATTGAGCGCTGGGACGTAATCCTACATTAAGATTCATTGAGTATCGTTACAGTCAGTTGCAGTGGCTGGTGCCCCAAAAGAATAGAGGTTGCACCTCCATCGAATGACGGAAATGTAATTTCCAAAATTCGAAATAGGAATATGTAAGCAGTTCAAATTAGTTAAAACTAAGTTGTTTAAAAGTCTGTATTGAAATATTACTTACATAATTGTAAGCTGCGACCTACCCAGCCGTCAGAATTGGGGATTAGGATAAGGCTAGAGTTTAGGGCTCTTCACAGGGGTTTGACTCCGTGAAACAGGCTAACTCGTTAGAGCAAATTTCACATGAGATTGGGAATCGAACCCGGAACTGCTTGGAAAGCGACTTCGCTCACGCTAGGCCGCGCCGCTGTTTAAGCAGTCTGTATCTAGGGCACGCAGGAGCTCAAAAAGTACCTACGTGCTAATTTTGTGGGGGACTGGACTCGGATTTTGTTTCTCAGGTAACAAGTTAATTGTTATACGACGCTCGGGCACACGCCTAGTAATAAAATTGTGACGTGGCACCCTTGAAACAGAGTAGATACGATATTTTCCTAAAGCTTGGAGTACTGTGGCTGATTGATGATGTGAAAGTCTTTCCGCGAATGATATGCTCCAGGGGGAAGTGGATGGTGGACAGGCAACGGGAACCAGAGTACAGTCCGGGCTCAGTTTTCCGACTGCCAGAGAGGGGTCCTATTTTCCACGAAAGGCGAGCAGTGGGGAGGAGGGGATGGCCTGGGGATGGCTTTCACTGCACCGCACGTCACATGACATAATCACAACCGTTCCAAGAACATCGGAGCGGCTATTTCGCTTGTGGCAGGACCTGAATGTTGACTTGTGAAAACCATTAGTTTCTCATCATGGCAAAGAGAGTTACTAATATTTCTATACACAGCGAGTGTCGCGAAATCATTGCTCGCGTGATTAAAAAATGTGATAGGGAGAAAGAAGCTAAATGTTTACATTTACCTTTAATGAAAGCGCGTAAAAGAGCCTCTGAATACACAGGAGTTGGACTCACCACCATCAAAGCCATTGGGAAAGAAAATAAAAAGAGGAATGAGAATAGCCCAAATCGGAAGCTGAAGTCTCCTGGTCAGAAGAGAAGAATATCACGTGGCAAATCTGTCCATGTAGTTAGTTTTGACCAGTGTGTCATTCGAAATATGATTCTAGATTTCTACGTGAGAGAAAAGGTAGTGCCGACGGTGCTAAAGCTTCTTCCAAGTATTAAGGGCAAAATTTATTCTCCCTGGGGCCCAAAATCTATATTGCGGGTTATGAAATCAATGGGTTTTAAATGGAAAAGGAGCCGATCAAAGCGGCGGGTGCTGATAGAGAGACCGGACATAGTGGATTGGAGATCCAGATACATTGTTCAATTGAAACAATTTCGAGAAGAGAACCGAGATCTATGTGGATGAGACATATGTTGATAACACCCTTAAATTTCAAAAGCGCTGTGTGATGACATTTGTGGTGTTCAAGTGATGGGAAATACTACAAGTAGACTAATAATTGTTCACGCAGGGGAGATGATGGATTTCTTTGGATTAATTTTTCGAGCTGGTAGAAGTGTAAAAATGCTGGAAGAAAATTATTGCCACATCTACAGAGCATGTTGTTGTTGTCCTTGACAATGCTTCATACCACTGTGCAGAAGTCAACAAGACGCCGTCCGCATACTCAAGAAAAGCTGACATTATTGTATGGTTTGAAAGAAAGGGAGTGTGTTATGAAGAAAGTATGCGTAAGACTGATTTGTACCGATTAATTGCAACTCTCAAACTACGGGCTAAGGAGTACAAGATCGATGAGTTGTTAGCAGCACACGGACATACAGTTGTACGACTTCCTCCCTACATGTGTGAGATGAACTCAATTGAACTTGCTTGTGCGAAAATAAAGCGAATATTTACGGAGCGAAATGTGACAGGTGATATGTCAGTTACGAAGTTGCAAGAAAACATTGAAACTGCAATACAAGAGGTCACAGTGCAGGAGTAGCGGTTTCCGCCGAGACGAACGTTTCCATTAATGTCCACATCTACCAACGGATTGATCGATGTCTTGCACATGTGACGTTAGTTGGTCCTTCGGCATTTGACACCATCAACTGCGTTGCGCTCCTCATCCCTTCCACATTCTAAATAAATAGTTTTAGATTCTGTGTCATTTGCTTTGATCTGTCTATTGTACGTTCATTTGCAGTATTTGTATTGAGCTCTGTTTGCTGTATTGTTTCCTCTCTTATCTATCGTGTTTTACATTTTGCATCTTTTTTCATGTTATTATTTTTAATAACATCTAAGGTAGGTTTCATTGGCTCTCTGAAACCTGGGCCGAAGGGGCCGTATATCATGGTAATTAACAGGTGTTAATTACTATGATATACGACATATAATTAACATTAACAGAAACAAAAACCTCGGCAAGTGCATAATACAGCCAAACACTCACTAATGCTCTAGAACGCATAACTGTACACCAGATCTTGCCATCCAACACTTCCCGCGAAACGTTTTGGCGTCGTTGGCAGTTTCAGAAACAAATCCCTAAATATATATCTACAAGGCTGTGGTTTCAGGGTATTTTGGACATGCTTCACTTTCATTCAGTATCTTGGACGATAGTGATGCCCCTGGCGGGAATTGCACCCGACACTTGCAAAGGGATTTTATATCTGAAGGCAAAGAGTTCCTAGGTTGCCATAGCCAAGCTTTACCTGCTCTCGTTCGTCCAGTTAGGTCCACCGAGTGTTTTGTTTTGGTAAGTTTTAAAACAAATGTTTTATTCGACAGAAATAAATATGTTCAAGTGTGTAGAAATTCTAATCATTCGCATCTTTGATAGCATTTGCTTCAGTGGTTTATTACTTGTATTCTAGTTGGGGTCGGAGATTGGTGGCAATCTTAATTGCTGCTAAATCGTGAACGTAGGACTGCAAATTCTTGTTGTCAGTTCATCTTTACATTAACAACATGGTAAGAGTCTGTAACAACATCTAAGAGTGATGTCTTGGTGCTCACATAAATAGAATGGAATTAAAGTTAAAATAAATGCAATTTATTAGATACTTGCTAATTACAGGCACACACTATTTTGTTGATCCAACCCGGTTCCAAACCCGAAACGAGGACTTTCTCGGATTATGAGTCTGTTAACGAATGCATGGAAGGTAAGTCGAGTATATGTGGCATTTATAAAGTATCTTGCTAGAACTGATCCAATACTGAAATGGTTATGGTAGAGGCATATATGTTTTGCTAGTATAATAAATTTGAGCCAGTGTAAGAATATTGTTTGGAGGAAATTGTGAGATAAATTAATTAAATCTGTATCAAACAGTTGTGTACATGCACACACTTAAGGTTTTATAATTACATTCCATTTTTATTCATAACTTAATTTGCCAAATATTACCTTCCAGTTATAATTGGGATTGACCTTTTCTAATATGATGTGTGTAGGTTGTGCACATTTAAAGGGATCAAATAAATAAATGCTGTGAATTTTATTTCTCGGTGATTATGGGCTGAAAATCATTTTCTTGTTTTTTGCCTTGTTTGTTAATAAAACTTCTTGACTTCTCTTTAATCTTTTCTCATGTATTTTTAAATCAAATTGAAATAGCAATTACATTAAAATGTTTCTAAGTGAACTAAACATTTTCCCCCCATTGATTTCTTGCGTGTGTAATGGTAAGAGTCAAGATAACTTAAAGAATTATTTGATGTTATTGTGTGATTTTTGTCTTAGCAACCTTCACTGTTTTGGCCGCCTGTAATTCAGGATTTGTATGGTAAAACTGATGTAGTAGTCTGCCAAATGCTGCCAAAGTTTGACCATTATTAATGAATTTTTAGAGTTTTGTGGGAAGAATGTAATCATGGTGATCTTAATTTTCATAGACTAATTCTTAAGAGAAAGGATTTTTAAATGATAAAATGATGGTGTAAGAAGAAAAACTGTGCTCCCCTAACATGTAAACTAGTTCCAATGATTTTGGTTTCAGATTGGAGTAGAGTAATTTGAGTATAAAATAAACATATCAAAAGATTGTATGTTTCTGAACATACCAACAGTTAATTTAAATTTATCAATAACACTACTATTTTGTCTTCAGTAGAAAATGTGAATAATTCTATTACTTCTGAACTCTTAAAAATTACTCTGAACTGTTTAATACAGGACCCCCAATTACCTTATTATCAAACCCAACTGAAGTTAGGGATGGTGACCTGGGTAATAAGCAAATTTTGTCACAAATTTGAGGGGATCAGTGACTTACTTCAAGATGCACCAGTAACAAAACTCAAACACTTCCCTGGAATTGTGAAATTTCAGTAAACTGTATTTTCCTTTTTATGAAATAAACAAATTTATTACATTTATAAAACAAAAAAATACAAGGAAAGACAGTTATACAATATAAACATTTATTTTTCACTATTCAATCTGTGCCATACCTTCTACGATTTATTACTTATTACTAACAATTTTACTATTCGGTTTATTAAATATTACATCATTTACCAAGTTGAAATCCGAATTTTGGTTTCTTTTTTACGTAATCAAATTATATTAAGGCACTTTTTCAATGTTGATAATCTAATGCAGAATTTAGTTTTGTTACAGTTTTTCACACTACATCTTCATTCTTTATAGTAATTTTGCAGCATTTCACTTACTGTCAAAATTTCTTCAATAATTCTGTTTTGTAGCTAACTAATATTCTAGTAGGTTGTCTGACATAGTCACCTTGCATATCACATTCACACTGCAGACTTCAAACTGGACATCTTACAACTTTGCTTAACTCAGCGGCACACAGTAGTAAAAGTCATTCAAGCACATGCAGTGGCGGATCCAGAAGGGGGCCATGGGCTCCTTAAAAAAGTCTAGGGTTTTTGTTTGTTACCTTCTTTTATTTGCCAAAATTGATTGAAGTATTTATTTATGTTAGAATTATGTAATTATTTAAAAATATTATTGTATAGTATCTATACACAACAAAAATAATAAACAATATAATAACAAATGTTTATTATTTAACAAAAATCTACGATTGCCCCCTCCAAAATGATCAGGTGGATCTGCCCCTGAGCACACACAGTGATCTCTCAGATGCATCATTTAAATTTTAGCTTACATTTTTTACAATCTGTCTCTGGGGTGTTTGTCACAAATGCCCTTTAAGCACATTTATTAGCTTCGAAACTTCAATGTTTATTGAACTATGTTTATCAATAATAAGAATAAGGTATAGATTAGAAAGTTGTATCAGTTGTAAACTGTATTATACTTTCCGGACTGCAGTGTGCTGCATTGCCCGGTGTTTGATTGATGTTATTCTCATGTTGACATTATAAAGTCTATCGGCACGAACTGGAAGCTATGAAATCTAAAAACGATAGTAGAGAGGTTCTGAAAACAACTGCTTTCTCAAAAATGTCAATGTCGCTTTATCAATGCATGAAAAACTCAGTCATCTGTGACATTAACTGTGTGTGTCAGAGGATTTAGGGCAAGGGCTTTTTGCTTAACTGAAAATTCTTCAATCAATGGAATCAACTACTCGCTTTCATCAGACTTCAAGCAGCATGAGACCTGTGTCATAATCAGTGCCTGCTGATTCTGTGTGTGTGTGTGTGTTTTTTTTTGTGGAACAGGCACTGTATTACATATATTGTATGTAAACTGACGTGTGTGTTCTGTTAACTGACAATTACTTTCCCTGGTTCCATGTAGCTCCTGAACAGCAATTTTCTTAATTACCTCCTTTTAAGAGATGACTTTAAGGAGCATTGTAAGGGTACATTACACTGAATTTTCGGTACTTACAAAGAACAAGATTGTTGCAAACAGCATTCATGTGACATGTCTTGGGTGTTAGTTTCAATTCTCAAGGAAACTGGGGAGGGGGATCGTGTAACAAGGTACCAAATTGATATGGTACCATAGCTGCTGAATCCATTTCAGTTTAATTTATGTGTCAGTAGATATGAAAGGAAACTGTTAATTCCTTTCTTACCTTTCAATTTTTGAAGCAGAGGTTGCTGACTTGCCTCCTAATATATGTATGTTTGTATTCTGTCTGGATTTGAGCCCAGCGCTTTCCCATTGTGTGGGTGTGGATTTTTATTATTATTTTTTGTGCACAGTGTGCAAAAACAGATTTTTGAGGTTCCTAAGATTCAGAATGTGTTGTGCATATTCAAATGATGTTTAGGTTATGACAGTTAAATTGAGATAGTTACATACTTTAGAACTGAGATAGAACAAACTGTTTCAGATTTTCAACATTCATGCATGTGTACTATTGCCTTTAAATGTGTTCATTACAATAAAATAGGATATTTTGTAAACATCCAATATCTGATGTGAGGAGTCACTTCTTTTATTGTTGTTGTGAAAAAGGAGGTTCCTCATATTAACCAACCTTCCCTTCATCAAGGCCATTTTTTTTTTTTTTTTTCCATGGAATCAATAGTAGTCACTTAATATACTGTATTTATTTTATCTGTTGTCTCTTTTGATTGCTTTAATATGATTTGATTTTTTTCAAGTAACTATTGCAACCCATGTTTTAATACAAAACTAAGGTGTTGCTTTTAACTTAACCTTGTCTACATTCCTCCAAAGCATCTCAGGTTATTAACGTAACTATATATTGTTACATTCTTGCCAACACTCACCACTTGTTTGTGATGTAATGACGGTGTGTCACATTTTCAAAAGTAGGGTGTCTCCTATTTTCAAAACTAATATTTTTCACTGGGCCTGCACATTAGTGCTCTAAAACAACTATGTACATTACGTATAGAATTCGTGAGCACAAGATTCAAACCCTGCTGGATTAGAGACTCTGACTGATTTTAATTTTGCTGAACTTTTCCATTTAGTTGTAGAAGTACTGGTTTTCTCAATATTCATTTTAATCTATTTAGTTAAAATAATTTGTTCTGATGAGATATGTTTTGGTCTGAAAAGCAAAAATGTGCACTTAGATGATGTTCAGGTTCTTTTATCCCTTATTAGTAATTGGAAGAAGTTGAAACTTGTGCTTTGCAGTATTCTGTAATTTGTGTGTGGAAGGGTTGGATCTACTAGCATGTGTACCCACTTTTACCTGGGTTATTTAGGATGGAATAGAGATTTGAATAATATTATGAATGAGTTACAAAAATGGATAGGTAGAAGAACAAAACAATGGAACTACTTGTCCCATTTCAGAAAAAATAAAAATAATAAGCAATAAATCATTTAGGTGAAGAAGTGAATTGTTTTCGTTATTCCTCATATTGCTGGGTGTCGTTTGTTAAAGTGCATTTTGAAATATGAATGTTACATTTTTATACTGTTGGATTTCCTTACTTGTACCTCATGGAATTGTGGATTTCGAAAACAGGATGTTCTCAGCATGTACACACTTCTCCATCCCTTTAAACCACTTAGGATACACTTCGGGAATGGTGTTTACAGCACCAATGTATGCCCCCACTGCTTCATTAAAAAAAAGAAGTGTGTGTCCTCAGAACTTTTTCTTGCTATTGGGAACAAAATGAAACCTCACAGGGCCAAGTCGGGTGATTAGGGTGAATCAGAAACAGCAACCGCCCTTGTTCGGTTTTGAGGAAGTAGATTCTTCGTGCAGTCATGAGCAGGAGCATTGTCATGGTGCAGCTAAATGTGACCTTATTTGGACTTTGAGTACTTTGATGCCCATATGACTAACATTGTCACATACCACTCAGGAGTCACAAAAAGTTGATAGTGTAGTGTTACGTTGGTCAGATGACAATTCATTGTGAAAAAAGTCACCATTTTCATTTTCTGTAGTAGCGACCTCTCTTCACCTTAGTGGATCATCTTGAGAGCACTGAACACTTGACTGTCTTAGTTTTGGGTTCGTAGCGACAAATTCGTACATCGTCAACTCTTATGATGTTTTAAATACTCTTAGACTGCCCGCCATATTTTTTTTTAACATGAATTTGCGTCAGTTCGCCCTGGTGGGATTTTGCTCGTCCATCAAGGAATGTGGAGCCCGCGGATCCATGTTGCTCATAGCTTCGTTACACCATTGTGGCACCTACTGAGTACATTGCTTGGTCAGAGTCAAATGTTAACATGCAATGGTTTGTGATATAGTCGACCTAATATTCAGAGGCTGTTCAATATCAGCAAATATCAACTGTTTTCTTCTGTCGCTGCCTTGGCTTGGCGTCTAAATATGGATAATTTTCTGGAGGCAAGATGCCCATCTCAAAGCGTGTCATGTTTGCAACAAAGGCTTTTTCATCCTTCTGTTTGCTTGAGTCGCCTGCCCCAGCTCACAAACTCTCTGGGTTCAAGACTGCAAAGAAGCACCCAATTAGTCTCTCCAGATTCCTCTAAGAGACTATGCTAAAATTTCAGCATGATCTCCGTATGATATAGGCAAAGAAAAAGGCTTGTGCCTGTAGAGACTGGTATTATGATAAGTTAAAGGGAAAGATTCGATGTTTATTTTTAACTAGGACCAGAAAGCAATACAAAAAAAATTTAAGCAAAAACAGCATTTAAAAGGCCTAAAAATGAAACTTAGTGAGAATGGTGAATTTTATATAATTTGTGCCCACATGTACTAATATTCTCTAAGTATATTCATTAGAAAAAATAGGGTTTATGTCTGGCCCAATGTCTGTTGATTCGATATGTTTGTATTTATGAACACTTTCAAGAAAATGCAGTGAAATAGCATTGTATTTCCTTGTTTCATTTAATTTACTGTTTGTTTCACAGGTGTTTGCAAAATCTATGAGGAACATTTGAAGAGGCAAAATCCTAATACCCCATCAATCACGTACGATATCAGTCAACTGTTTGACTTCGTTGATCAGTTGGCTGATTTATCCTGCCTTGTGTAAGTATTTGATTATCGCATTATTTATGTAGAATGTGAACTTTCTACTGAAATAAATTATTGTTCAGTGAAACGCAAAGTTGTAATGTAAAATGGGTGTAGTGTACACTCATAAGACTAGTGATGCTACAACAGCCATATGTTTCCCCATCATTTTTAAATTTGCAAATTTTGAAAATTCTGTGTTTTCAACGAAAACCTTTGCTGTTCTTTCAAGCATCCCCTTGTTCTATCATTGGAAACATTTGGAGCACTTTTTGAGAAATGTTATTTTAATAATTTCTGAAAATTTCACACTTATTAGAAATTACACGAAAACTAGTAGTTTTTTGAAAAAATTGTGTGTGGTTTTTTAAAGATTGACTTTTTTAGAACATATTTCATTTAAGATGCAAATCTCAAATATTTATTTTTGCAGTGTTTACTTTTTTGCACCCTAGCTGTCTAAGGGAACAATATAGCTGACCTGAATGCACACCAGAGATTTTTAGTACTATTTACCTATGGTGCTCATGAGCATGCATCAGTACAGAGAATAGAAAACGCTATAATCTTTGCTTATAAAAACACACTTCAAACTTAAGAGACCTTGCTTTAGCTTCTCTAAGCACTGCCTTACCCTGGCAAGTTTTCTTGAACAGGGGAAAATGGAGCCATTTTTTTTTTTTTTTATGAAAAAAATTATTTAAAACTGTTTTAAATTGTCTATCATACAATAACTACTCATGTTTTCAAAAATTTGTATGACCTTATGTGAAGATCTGTTTTTGATGAACTGATTTCAGTTAGGAAATCATTTCTATCTTAATAATTGTAGTTGTAGGATGAAGCAAATGGAAATTTTAACTTTTTCAATTTTCAAAAATATTTTAACAAAAATTAGATCCGCATAATGTTTTAAAATTCTTCTCACTGTCTTGATGACAAAGTTTAATCCAAAAATTTGGAACCATTTTTGAGAATTTTTAAAATGTTGAGGCTTAATGAAAACTACCCCAAAAAAATCTGTATTAAACTCACAGGGCCTAGTGTTGGTTTGATGAGGAAATGTCAATTTGGTGAAAATCTTCTGTTTAGGTGCTAGGATTTATGACAAATTCGTTTTCCCATGCCATTTTTCATTAGCAAGGACCCACAAAACCTGGATTCTGACTACACTAGGTTTTAGTGGAAGTAATTTATAGCATATAGAAACTAGATTTATGTTTTTTTGTTACCAAGGCCTAGCAATAAGAGTTTTTTCTGTTGAAAAATCACCTTTGTGCCTGCAGCTTTATAATAGTCTCTATACTGCGTAAGCAATATGTGAGAATTTAAAAAACGTTATCTCAAGAACTGCTTGAAATATTTTTTGGTGATAGAGCAAAGGCTGCATAAAAACTCTTATTTTTGTTGAATGCATTGTATGTTTGAAGACAGCCAAAGTTTGAAATAATGCTGAAAGAAAGGTCGGGCGAGGACCTTTACTGGCATGGTGCAGCAGCAGCATCATCATCACACAACCTAAACGGAGATTGGAAAGCCCGCTCATGACTGAACAGACAATAGCATTATTCAGTCATGTGAAACATTTTTATCTCTCAATGATGCCAAACCAAATTGTAGCAACGTGATCAGTAATTAACAATTACCTATGATTTTCATGTATTTCACTGTTTGCTAACATGCTGCTAAAAGTATTAAGTGCAACTTTTGTGTTCATCTCATGTTCATGGCATCAGAGTAATGATTTGAAAATGACAAGCAACTATTCAGACATGTTTATATGTATAAAGTGTCAAAATTTTATGACTTGGGGAAGCATTGATCTATTCTGAAATGCAAAGGGTTCTATGCTCTGTTCTGAGAGTATGCACCATATTGACTCAGTATTTTAAACTGTGTTAGGATTAGGCTGAGTGAAACAATCATGGTTGAAGAGCATTATGAACTGTTTTTGAAGATCAGACTAATAAATTAATTCATTTTCTTCTGTAGGTACCAGAAAAGCACCAATTCGTATGCACCTTATAACAAGGATTGGATTAAGGAAAAGATATATGTTCTGTTGCGAAGACAGGCAGGTCGATCACCATGAATCAAGAAATGTATGGAGGAAGTTTATGAAAAGTGTTTAAAAGTGTTCTTCAGTAAACTGGGTCTCAATTGATTGTTTTTATATTTGATTTCTGTAATCAAAAATGTATAGGATTTTCATTTTTTGTTTTTCTTCCTCACAACCTTTTGACAAATGTTGATGTTGTGTACTTGATTCCTTCCAAACAATGAATCTAGTATTATTGTAAGATTACACCTTGTTCTGAAGTCTGTATAGATGTGATATATGTGAAATATGTTGTTACTTTTCCCTCAGTTCTGTGCAATGTTTCTAAAATACTGAATATCCCAACATTCTTGTAGTGTCAATTATCAAATATTAATAGTCAGTTGGGTGAGTGAGAAAAAGCCCTCACAAGATACTTCTTCAACCCTTCAAGAAACTTGTGTTATTTCTCAGTGTAATAAAATTGTCTTGTAATGGCACTGTTCATGAATATCAGTGATCTGTAGTGCATACATGTGACACAGTAGCGATGCAGAGATGTGTATTAAAATTATTTTATTTAATAAGATTCTGTATATTTTTCATTTAATAAATTCTGTGCCTTTCAATAAATACATCTTTCTTTCAGAAAATAAGGGCTTTGATTTTCAAAATTTGTAAACATACTAGTACATATAAAAAGTAAATTGATGGATTTTTACTTTATTGCATACTAAGGTTCGATTAAAATACGACTGACTAAAAAGGATGACTGTTGTTTGCAAGGAAGTTGCCAACAGAATGTATAAACATTGAGAAATTAGTCGCGGAATTGCTGAGAATTTGGAAACAAAGCATCTTGCAGTGAAACTTCTATAAAAATTAGTCATTTTACTAGTTACTGGAACTTTAGTTTGGGTCAAAGGTCGGCCATATCAATTTAAATTCTCCCTCTCGAGTTAACCAAGAGTTTAAATACCGCACCTAAAGGGCGTTCTTGGAACCTTTTGCTCGGTTTAAAATTCACCACGTGGGTCGTCCGTCGCCTCCACGAGGTTAGCTGTTGACTAGCGTTGTGCGCCCCACGATGGGAGGGGCGGCGGCCTCCGAAGGTCCCGACGGCGGTGCTCGCCCGCCTCGCCTACTGAGCCCACACGTAGATAACGCTCTTCACCACATTCAATTAGTTCACGGAACCTGATTGTGGCAAGGGAGTTTTAATAAGCAGTTCGGTACACCTCTTTGGACGGATTCGGATCAAGTTCTTAAAAGAAGCGCGACTTCAAGCACCAGCGATATGTTCTGCGACAACGGCGCACACTAACCGCGATTTTCCAAGCTTGCGGCGCCGATTCCGAATCGAAAGACATCGCCTCACACGAGGTGTTTTGTACCATGTTCCGATCCGTAAACTATGAAAATGTTTTGCGATACGTCTGCACACGAAGTAGGTTTGAACCACAAGTGCCTCTCCTGTCAGAATACGTGATGTCTCCTATGAAATTTCTACCCAATGTGTCATTTTCTCTATCAGAAAACGAAGTGCCTCCTATGAAGGTTCTATCAAAAGTGTTTCTTGATCGCCTGGCAAGTATTTCCTTGCCTCCGATTTCCCCTTCCCTCAAACCTCTAAGATCCCAGATTCCTCCCTTCTACAAAATTTTATACTCTCATTGGTCATATTGCGTTGTGCAGACTCACGGGCCAACCACCGAATGATTTTGCTCGGGAAATTTCCCTATTTTCATCTCGCTCTATCAGAATGTTTATACCGGGCCCAACGCAGCTGCGCGTTTGGGTGAAGCCTGCGTTCCTACTTCTTCGTCGTAATATTTTCTATCTGGCACGCACAGGGCGGTTTTTCACTCATGCAGGATCGTGCAAGTTCGGGAACAGGGTGGGTTGGAAACAGCGTAGGGCCCGCGCTGAATCGTGTGTGTGTGTGTGTGTGTGAAAAAAAAAAAAAAAAAAAAAAAAAAAAAAAAAAAAAAAAAAAAAAAAAAAAAACGAGAGTGGCCGTGGACGGCCCTTCGCGACTCCACTTAGGCGGGCGCAGGGAATCCCTAGGGGGGAAAGGATCGGCCGTGGCTCCGCTACGCCGTCTAAGGGCGCCTTCCCACGGCGCGACCGCAGCGCGCTTCCTTCGAGAAGCAGAGCCCTTCCGACGCAGCCACCGCCGCCCGCCGTGGAAGGGGGTGGGGGTCTGGAGGGGTAGGTTTCGCCGACCCACTGGCGACGACGAACAAAGGGACCGTAGCAGGTAGAACGCGGTGCAGTGGGAAGGCGCCCATTTAAAGCTGTGTTCTGCTAGCGGTGGGCGTGGCCCCTCCGCTGCGCGTAGCTGGAGTTCGGCGTCGGCTGCCGCAGCAGCCGCCACCCGCTGCACGTGGGAAGGCCTCCATTCAAACCAATGCTCTGCTACGCGCCGCGGCCGCGGCATAGGAAGGGGCCCTAAGTGTCCACAGAAAATAATTCCGTGTTTCTGAAATATTATGTAACATTTCCTCGACATTCTATAGATCTGGTGCGTAAAAAACTATGAAATTAAACATTAGACTCAGTTGTGTCACTATGGTTGAATTTCACAAATAATGTATAACATTTGTTTAAAAACAGCGTTAAGATTTTGAATTTCCATTATATTTAAGAAGAATCCTTCAGAAACAAGAGGATCGGTATTCATTGTCGGAAATGGGTGAGTTATTCTCACCTGCCGCCCATTGAAGTTCAAGGCGGGTTGCTGAGCTCTTCCATACCACGAAGCCGGCAAGGGAGCAGGGTTGCCACGTGTGGTATTACGCACTCTTTCCCCAAATAACCTTTCCAATGAAACAAAATTCTCCTCATAATGACAAACGACATGAACTATCCCTGGCGTTTCCATTTACTGTCCCCATTAATTCAAATCAATCATTGACCTACCTTCGAGCTGATCGAAAACAGAGGAGGGTTATTTAATAATATTTTATTGAGTCGTGTACAATTACAATCGAGTATGACGAGTCATTATGATGTCCTGTGTGCACAGTGTGATGTTACATTACTGTCCAGAAGCAAAACAAGTTTGTGCCGTTTGCTCAAATATCGTTTTTCTTTGTCTATGCCTGTCGTTTATTTTTACCTTTTTGATACATAAAAATGAGAGAGAATACGCATGTTGTTTCTTGTTTATTCATAATAATTTAGAGATTAATATTTCAATCTCGTCTGGATGAAAATAATTTCCCCCAAAAATCTCCAAACATTTTCCCGTCCATTTATGTTCTCCATTTCTTACCTACAACGAAAAAAAAAATCCCCATTTTGGGTACAAAATTGTGAAATCTGGAAACACTACATGGGAGAATGGCGTCATTCGGTGCCCCCCCCTCGCTCGGTGTCATGTGACTTTCGGCGAAGGTGGACGTGCGTGAAGACACGCCATCCGCCGCTAATAGTACATATTATATTTAGCCACTTCCCCCTGGGTTAGCTCACGCTTTGGTGACAAATTTCGCCCATAAACCGCACTCACCCGTTCATGCCCTTACCACAGCACCCCCTCTGCCATTAATCTGCAGTGTCGTCACAATCGCCGTACAAAGCTCTCGGTTCGGTAAATAGAGGATGATCTATCCTTTGTTTTAAAACTACCTGTACTTGGTTTTTATTTATACGTGCGTTTGGACTAAATCATTTGTAGACGGTTTCATCCAATCGGGAGCTTGAACGTCCCCATAGTGACGTCACTGTTGCGACACATAAGCTTCTGATGGGATGAAACCGTTGACAGCCGATTTATTTCAAACGCACGTATAAATAAATCGTGCTATACCGGCTAGTCTCATGAATTTTTATTGTCCCGTATACGTAAGTATAAGCGGAGTAATATACGTAAAATAGGGAAATTTATGTTATGCTGCGGAAAATCGATTTTGAGATTTCAACAGAAATGTATGTTTTGGGGTTCCCTGGCACCGAAAAAGCTTTTTTTATTCAAAACGTCCGGTGTATGTGAACATCACTAGTGCCTAAACCATGCTGCATTCCAAATTGAAACTCCTGTCCATGTGGCCAGAGTCGAAGCTCTGCGGATTTGAAAATCACTATTTTTATTCATTATTTTTTGGGGGTACTTAACATGAAGCCCCTGAGATGGTTTCAAAATTTTCTCAAAAACGGCTGAGTCTTTTCTTTAAATTTCTTGTAAGAATAGTGTAAAATACACTTATAAAGGCTTCGGTCCGATTTTCACGGTTAACTCTGAATTTTCGAAAATTTCAAAAGTTTGAATTTTTTCGGTGTCTTCTTACAACCACAAAATTAAAAATAGATATTTTTCCTTCAAATTAAATTTGTTTTCCATAATTTGTTCTTTCATTAAGGTCATGTACGTTTAAAAAAATTAGGTGTTAACGCAGAATATTTAGTACAATTTGTGCAATTATAATAAATTATAAAAACAAGGTTTTCTCAAAAACGGCTCCAATTTTTTTCTTTAAACTTTTGATAGATATTGTGCTAAATGCACTCTATGCAGTGAAATAAACGCTATGTTGCTGTATTCTTTTGTTTTACAAAAATTACACAAATGAAATCTTTTTAAAAGATTTCTCACGATGTTGGTATGCACATCTCCAGCAGTTTGTAAACACTCTTGTTTTTGTGAGTTAAAATGACTTCAAATGAAATTTTTCGAAACTCAAAAATTTTCTGTGAAAAAGAGCTTCAAATTTGGAATTTACAGTAGCGCCTAAACGCCATTTTCTTAAAAACGGCTCCAAATTTTTCAAAGAAAATTGCCAATTAGGACGATGTTTAACTGGTCTTTAATGTTATTAAAATAATAATTCCTTCCTATTATTAGGAAACCGACAAATTAAGAAAAAAAATACTTTTGGCGGCGATAGATGGCATCTGGCAAGAGTATGTGGCAAGTTCGAGTAGCTAGCCGAGACCAATATCATATATACTCTAGATAATATACTCTCTGACCAATATCGCGAAAGGTACGTGCTATTGAAACACCACTAGTTTTTTTATTGTCGGATAATTATCCAGCACTTTTATTGATTTAGATTTATCATTTAAAAATGAAGATAATCCAAATTCAACAGCTGAAAGGAGCATTCATTTTTGTTTCAATGAGGTGCATTCATAAGCGGAATCGAACAATCAAAAACATCCTCGTTCTAAACTATCTTCTTCGTCTGTATTTCATGTATTTCTGTTTTTAAATACACCTACTTATATGTTTTATGCGTCTCTTAAATACTTGCCCCAAAATTTGAAAATACAGTTTTTCAGATTTAAAATGTATTATATATATACATACAAGTATTTGAAAACTTCACAACCCTGCTTAATATGATTGAGTTCATCTCAATATAGTTTGAATATATTTATCAAAGCATAACGATGCTGAAATTTTGAATTTGTGGTAATGTTTGTGCATTAAAGGAATTAATATCATTCAAATATTTCTTTTAATTTCCAGGTATAATATTTAAATGATAAAAGTGAATAGTTTTTTAACAGTACACTTTATTTTTAAATATACGTATACTGCGATCACCGCTCTCGCCAATGCTTAGTTTAGTAACACTGCCACCCGTTCGAGCGCAGCACTGATGCAGGGCTAACTCTGGTTCACATGTGTTTGAAGAGCGAATGGGTTTCCACCGGCTAAGAGAACTAAATGAAGTTGTAACGACCTATGAATAAATTCTGTTATATTGTAACATGGTTGATTGACACATGGATGAACCTGCCTGGGAGGAACATGTTCGTTCAGTTATGTTCACAATTTATGAATCATAAAGACTGTCATCATGATATAAATATTTTGATACTCCCTTGTGTGAACTGATAGGGCGATATGAATTACTATTAGCTGAAGCGCGCACTGATGTACGTTTTATTGGAGCGATATGTATAAACCTACAGACTGGTATGGACTGATTGAGCAGGGATGTAAATTTCTAAGTGGTAAATCATAACTGTGGCTCCAAAAATAAGCAAGTTTGTGTGTGTTTCAGTTACTACTGTTACAAGTTGAAGCCTTATTATTTTGTTCATTTCCTCTTCAAGTGAAAGTAAATTTTTTAGGGGGATGGCAAGTGTTATGCGACTACTGAAGAGGGAACTTGTTCCAGCAATTTCTGCTGGCATAGTGAATATAAACTTCATAGTACCCACGTGTTTGAGAGCTAAGCATAAGATAATTTTATTACACATAACAAGAACTCAAAAGGCTCACACAGATTGTGAATTTAATGACACTAGTGTTCATAATTTGCATAAGAATACTTTAGAAAATTCTTTCAAGAGCAAGACGGTATGTAATTATAGTGAGTCAGATAAACTATCTGAACGTTGCAGTAGAGGTGACAGTGCGGATGAAAGAGGAAATGCAGTCTCTAAAGTATTGCAGAAGTATGATTTGGGGAACTTTCAAGTGTCTAGTTTTCCTCCCACTTTTAATTTTGCTGCCTATGTAAATGATTCACAATCACTGCAAGAATTGGTGAAACTTGGAGTGAATTTATACAAATGGGAAAGACGGAAAGGAGTTCTAAAATTTATTCTTGAGCATGATTTTTCTCGAGATATGGCTCCATACATAAGGTAGGTCTTAAAAATTGTCTGTGCTTATGTGTTTGTTAACCAAGCATTCTGAGTGAGGATTGTTTTGGGTTTACAGATTCCTCTACGATATTGGAGTTCCAGCAGATAATTTAGGTCAATTTTTAACAAAAAATCCCTTTATATTTAAAGAATGTTTTGATGATCTCAATGTACGACTTAATTATTTGGAATCTAAGAATTTTAATCAGCAGATGAGAAGTCGTATAGTGACTACTAATCCTTTCTGGTTAATGTTCAGGTTGGTACACATTTCCAATTTATGTATATACTGATTGTCATGTTACAAATTTTGGTAATTTTAGTACGAATACCAGTGTAGTGTTATTCTTTTTTGACGAATAGGTCTCAACTTGCATTTCATTCTTCAAATGTTAATGCAATTATTCACGCATGTTTTCTTGAGCAACAGAATACCCCCACTCTTTTGCCAACATTAGTTAAATTAAGAATAAATGATAGCAACAAGCGTGTAGATATGTGTGTATCTGATAGACTAAAATGTTCACATCTGTGTAATAGAAACTATTTTACATCAAAAAACTAACTACAAGTTTGATAAATAAAACTTATTTTCAAAAGAACCAAACTTCTCACTCCTTTCATCTAGTGAAGTGAAGTTCAAGAAAGCATCCATGAATAATATCTGTATTTCTTCAGATAAACAATATCTGTTCATTAATTTTGACCTTTTAATTCTTTGAGACATTGGATATATTTAATTACATTATGGAAATTGAGTATCCTCTTAGCAAAAGGGAATTAAATCAGATGTATTTAACTTCAATTAAAATGGTAAGTCCATTGATACTTCGTCAGCTGTGAGTGTCATGCAATGGGGAGCGTAAACATCACTGTAATGAAGTTCAAGCTCCTGATTGGATGACATTGTTATAGCTGACAAAGTTTCAAGGAGTTCAATGATTTAATCAACGTAAAAATTCTTAATGCTGTTATCATTCGTGAATATGAATACATTGATATAATTGGGCCAATTACATGATTAAAAGTTATACTTTCTCGATACATGGATTTATTCATGTTAGGATCATTAAAAACCATTCTTGCCTTCCACCACCGGTGGTGACAATTGGACAAAACTCATTTTTTCCATACTGCAGTGCAAAGTTGAGACATTCTGAAGAACATAAAACTTGATTTTTGATACTACATTAAATATTTGTAATAGAGGACTTAGTACCTTTATTAGTGTGAGTACATAAAGTTGATCTCTATGAGAGGTTTACTAAAAGGTGGTGGTGGTGACCCAAAAAATCGATTAGAAGTTCTATTAAGTAGTTGTCATCTTCAGAATCCTCACAAGTAATTTTAAATTCATTGTCTACATAGTGTATCATCATTTTCTACATGTTTATTCACAGAATTATTCGCAGAAAGTTTTAAATGTTATGGAGAATTTTTCTCGGATTCTACTCCTTTTATGCCTTAGAATATTTCTTTCTGTCATGTATCAATTTATCACATCTAATGTGCCACAAGAGGAAACAAAAGCCAAAGTAATTACACTGAAACCTGACATCAGTGACACCAAGGGTTCTGGCAAAAAATGGCTGTTAATAGTGGCAGATTACTCAAGGTTAGGAAGTTACTGAAAGTATAAATCAAATATAATTGCACCAGTGGCATAGTGCCACATAGTGTGGGTATCAGCTGCCTGGGGCGGAGGAAAAATTTGCTGCCCCCCTATTTAGGTATTACAACAAGACCAAATCGTAGGTCCTTAAAAAATATGAAATGAAATGGTTCAAATTTTTACAAGATGATGTTATTATTTATTGTGAAATTTTCCCTGCCCCCACTACACACCACCACTGTGTTGTGCTATTATTAATGAAATGTGTGAGCCAGGATTGAAGTTGGTAGCTCCCTGTCATTAGCCTCTTGATCTTGATATGTTGCCTTAACATTAGCAGCTACCAATGCTTATTGTGAATAATTTGGTTTAAATGAAGAATTGATTGATTGTGGAATAACAGTTAAGTAATGTGTATGATGATATTGATTCAATAGTTCTGTATCTGAAATTAGTTTATTTTTTAAAATTTTTTGTAGTACATATTTTAGAGTTGTTAAAATTTTTAACAACAGAATTTAAAAATTAGGATTTTTGATAATATATTTTTTTTCTTTTCAGCACTAAAAGGATAGATAATCGATTAGGCCATTTCCAGGAAACATTTAAATTATCTGGTGCTGACGTGCGTCACCTTGTGCTTAAGCAAGCTAATCTTATCACCTATAATATGCATCATATTAAAGTAGGTTTTACATACAAATTTTTGAATAAGTATATGATATTGTGTAAATTTTTTACCTGTTTTCTTATTGTTGTTGTAGACAAGTACCTTTGTACTGAAAGAAGAACTTGGTCTAAATGAAAAAGAACTTAAAGCACTGCTGCTAAGAAAGCCAAGACTGTGGATGAACAGTGAGTTCCTATATTTCTTGTAAGAATTTCACTTGATGACATAAAAAGGAATGTTTGTTGTATATGATTCTTAATTTTTCTTTTTTACCTTGGATTATAGATCATCTGCGGCTTAAAAATAGATTTGAATATGTTCATCTTGAAATGAAACTTCCTCATGAATTAATTTTGAAAAACCCTGAAGTTTTGACATCCAGAGAGTTCAGAATAAAAGAGAGACACTTGTTTTTGAAATCTTTAAAGAGAGATCAGTATGACCCAACAAAGCCAGGTTATGTGTCATTGAAAGCTTTAGTTGTGGGGACAAATGCTGAATTTGCTGTAAATGTAGCAAAAACTTCTGTGGATACTTTTAACATGTTTTTGAAATCCTTATAAATGAAATAATACAATGATAAATGTGTGTCATTAGGGATTAGGTCCATTTTTCAGACCCTAGGGTTAAGTGTTTTTCATAAAATACTGAAGAGGAAAAGTGACTTCATATATTTTGAAGTATTATAGATTTTTTACTTAGCATATGATATGACGAGACAAATAAATAATTAGTAAAAAATCTCATGAGTTTTTACCTGTCCCATTTGTCATGTGCAAATGTAAATATCATGGAAGAAAATAGTGGTATGTGCCCAGGTAAGTGTCAACTGATGTAGTTGACTTCATTGAAATATGAAGGGATCCCAAATTTTAAGTTCATAGTAACCGTCAGGATCTTTGAAGAAAGTGTTTTCCCGCGCATCACTTCTTTTTAAACCATCTTGTGTGTAATACCAACGATCCAAGAGGTGTTCTTGAAAATCATGGGAAATGTACTGTCCTTGCTTACAGGAGGTTACTCAAAGATGGTCCCAGAGAGTATGGTGATGGATATGCCCACATGCACCATCTGAAGGATAGTCTCGCAGTAGTCCAAGGTGCGATCCATTCTAAAAACATTTATCTTTCGCTTAAGCGGGCAGATAAAATTAAGTTCGTCCTCAAAAATTACGCTGATGTGCACAAATTAAATGAGTTGATTTATTTATTGTAAGTTTAATACTTTCCTATGCTGCAATTGTTCTAACTGGTTGTAACTCTGACCCTCAATGGTACACTCTGCTCAAGGACCTACTTCATGATGGCATTAGATCACGGATCACGGTTTTTCATGTCGGTCGCATCGCTAGATGTCGCATGGTTATGACCTAAATAGTGATCATTCGGCATACAGTTACAGAATGAATGAATACATAATGTGTTAATATATTGATACAGTATATGTTTGGATATACCATTACCGTAACGAGATTCAACTTTAATACAAATATGTACGAAAAGCGTCGGCAGCTAACCGGTACACTTGAACATCATCGACATCACGCGATCATTGGGAGAACCCTTCAATGCAATTTTGGCCAATGGCCACCCAACTTTTACCAAATTATCTTAACTTTCCCACACTGAAATGTAGCTACCGTAGGCTAAATACGCGCGTTGCGCGTTGTTTTTGGGGAAAAGAATCCGCTATACATTCCTTCATTCATGATTCACTATGTGATGCCGTTGAAGTTCAGGGGTACCGATCAACGTATTTCTATTTCCATGTTTTTTCGTATTGTGTTTTGTAATACACCATACCTCCACCAGGCCTCTCAAAATACGGAGTTTCCATCTTACAGTCCATGCTATAGATCATCCATGATGGAAATATTTACAATAGAAAAGCAAAGATTGTACATGCCAGGGTGGGAGAGCGAGATCTGCCTGTGCAATTGTGAACGCTCGTTGTGGGGTTGGCGCGCGAGTTCTCTGTGTCTGTATGTGAATAGGCCGGGAAGCAATTTTGTGTGGTGACAGTTTCTCAACATAAGAACAAGATACATTTGTAATTGTAGTGCATATCACTCGTTTACCATCGGAAAAGTATTGATTATTTCCATTTTTGGTGCATTCTGTCAATCAGAAATCAGTTATGCCTGCGCTAACTATGGACCCGCCCCCTAATTCTCAAGATGTTCATCATAGCCCAGTGCTTAATGCCATTTTAGCTCCAATTAGAAATTTAAATGAGAATTGGAAGGTAGACTTGTCCACGGTAAGCATTATAAATTCACATAGTTTGCTTGTTTGTCGACAGGCTTCCAACTGCTATAAACTCTAAATACATATGTTATAATAAAACTTTTTGTAATGAAATACCTTAATATATTGGTCTTCAATCTTTTTTAACTCGGTGGCCATTTTTGGGGGTAAAATACTAGCTAACTGCATTGATTTATTAATAACAAAATACTTAACATGAATATATCAATATCATGGTTACATGAACTGTGGGCATTACTTGACTTTATAGGACCTACATATGTTTGTTTTATATTAAGTTAATGAATAACACAAAGTACAGTAACGTTTTTGAATGTAGTGTGAGACCTGACGTAGTTTCTTAGTTAATATATTTTCAGTATTGGCTTTCATTTTTGGAGGAAAAATTCGAAGGCAGAACAGCTGTAGAAAGTCTGTTCCTCGGTTTTGACTTCATGAAAGTCATCCTTGGCAGAAGCCCTTCTTTTGAATTAAATACTTGTTTTAGTAACCTTCCCCTACTGAGCGAGAGGATCTCTCTATAATTCACTCCTGTACCTTGCCATACTCTGCATTCGTTTCGTTAAGGTACTTTTGGAATTTGCTTGTGGTGTAGGTTGTCAAAACATGAGCAACAGGTGCATTGTAGTTAAACGAGTCTTGCGGGCATCCAAAATCAAGCAATGCAGGTTGTGGTTTGAAGACCACTACCTTAGTTGCGAGGCAATCCTACGAAAAAATGCTGAAATGAAACAAGTAGAAGTTAATTATTACCATTTCTGTACTCTTCTGTGAACATTTGCATCAGATTTAAAATAGTTAAAATTGATGTTTGTTTTTATAGATGATTTCGATTTCATTACAAATTAAAATCAATATTCTCTTGAAACTGGAGATTTGATTTTAATTGGGAATACTAAGCACACTGGGAGACGGACATTCCTCAGTGTCAATGAATCAATAAAATGAATTTATTTTTATGCAAAATGAATTACTACGACAATATCAATAAAACTATAGATACCTCTTTAGCAAAATACGCTTATAAAACATGTACATATACTATGTCTAACAATAAAACACAAATAACTTTATATTTATGACCATCGGAAAGGTAATTTGTAAAAGAGTCTATATATCAGAATCAATATGTTTTGTGTGCATCCTCAGGTGTGCACGTAAAGTAAATTATTGGACATAGTTTTTATCTTAAAGTAAAAATGACAACAAACTTTTTAAAATTAGTAACAAAAAAACAGAATGAAAATTATTAAACTTTGAGTTCAAGTGATAAATGTGTGTAATAAGTGCAAAATATAAATTGGATGGAAGAGAACTTACCAAACATGCTTAAATAAGCACATATATGCACTTATATGTAAAACAAATGTAATATGTGTAAAATGTGTAAAAAGTTTTGAATCAAATGATAATCGCATAATCTATAACTGTAAAAGCCCCCAATATAAGAGCAATCCTCCTCTTGGAATGAAAGGGGAGAGGCAAGTCTGAGAAGAAAGGGAACCGTCTAACATTGAAAATTGACAATATTTTGAAAATGGAGAACGAAAGCCAGTAAAAATTGTCAGGTGGAAAGGAAAACACAGATCTAAATATAAGTAAACCAATAAAATTGTCAAAGCAGAAACAGAAATAATTATAAAATCTATAAATGGAATTGTATTTTAATTTAGAAAGAACATTGTAAATATATGTTAGTATAAATATTTGATGTTAACATGGAATTAATTGTCTTGTGTGTTTTTAAATGTAATGTTTCAGAGATTAACTTCAAATGTTTTCTGAGTTTGTTATCCAAAATGGTAGAGTTGTCAAAATTAAACAAATGGGCAAAACAGAGTTCAATTTTGGACCAGTCTCGTTAACATTATTAACATGTTCTTTAATTGTCTGCTTGAGAACATGTTTTGTTTGTTCCATATAGGAATCGGAACAATCATGACATTTTAGGTAATAGACTACTTTTTTATCCGTTAAAGGGATTTCATTTGTGACATTTTTAATCAGATTTTGTATGAGAGGGAACTTATTCCTAATTTTGATATCAAATTTTTCATCAGAACTTTTTAAACAGGTAGTTATTAATTTTAGAGGCAAAAAGAAGATTCAGTTGACACTTCTGAGCCCTGATTACCAATTATTAATTGATTGTTTTTATAGTAGACTAGTGTTAATGAGATACTTATGAATAAATTGAAAACGAATTGTTTTCAGTGAAGATACAACGTACAATGTTCAAATTAGTGGCATGTTATTTCGAATGAGAAAAATTAATTGCTCTATCAAGTTATAATTAACTTGTTTAAACACAATTTTTTTGATGAAAGGGGTGAGTTGAATAGAAGTTAAGAGTGCGACCAGTGGCACACTCCTTTTGAATTTCCTATTTGTTTCTGTAGGAGACTTATTTAACATGAGAGAAATATCTAAATAATTAAGCAGTTCATTAGTTGATCTCTAATGTGAACTGGGTAGATTTGTTATAGAAATTATTATTTATTTAAATATTTAAAAAATTGGAATTTCATTAACATGTAGAAAAATTAAAAGGTCATCAACATATTTTTTTGTAAAACACAGATTAATGGTTGGTAAAAGTGATTCTTCTAATCTCCGCATGACAATATCTACAAACTAGTGGTGCTACAGAATGGCACAGACTTTTCTGTATTAGTTTTCTATTTCCTTTGGTCTTGGTTAGCTATAGAATGGAAATATTAATTTTTAAATATTAAAGAATATTAAAACATTGTCCTAAATGGCAATTTCCTTTCAAAAATTTGGAGTTGATTTTAAGAAAATGGGGGCTTAGGCGCCACTCTGAATTTGAAATTTGAAGCTCTTTTTCACAGAAAATTTTTGATTTTTCGAAAAATTTCATTTGAATCACATTAACTCTCATATACAATAATGTTTACAAATTGCTAAAAATCTACATATTAATGACAGGAGAGATCTTGCAAAAAAATTATATTTCTGTAATTTTTGAGAAAAAAAATACTTCAAAATGAACTTTGTCATACCCAAGAGTTCTATTATCATTATCCGTTTAAAAAGTTGGAAAAAAAATTTGAAGTCATTTTTTAGAAAATGGCGTTTGAGTGTTTCTAAAAATCCGGAATTTTGAACTCGTTTTCACAGAAAATTGTTGACTTTTTGAGAAAATTTGTGACATTATTTGAAGTACAATCACTCATAAATGTATTCATACATGACGTATGCTGTATTTGTGTAACAAATATATTAATATTATTATAAATACAATATTGTGAACAAATTTGCTGCAAATATAAATATTAATAACATGAGGGATATATATAAAAAAATTACATTTTTGTAATTATTGAAAAAAAAGAATAGAGCAATATGGCATTTATGTCATCATAGTACATTTAGCTCTATCCCTACTTAAAAGTTTAAAGAAAAAATTTTAAATTAATTGATTTTTGAAAAAATTGGGTGCAATATTGTGCAAAAACTACAAATTTTTTTAAAAAATGTACTTGATCTTAATAAAAGAATTAATAATGGGCAACAAATTTCATTTGAAAGAAAAATCGCAATCTTTAATTTGAAGTTGAAAAAAGAAAAGAAAGAAAAAGAAAATTCTATTGAAATTTTCGAAAATTTAGAGTTAACTGTGAACATCGGTCCTATGCCATTTTCATAAGTGTATGTTACTCCACTCTTACAAGAAATTTAAATAAAAAAATTGGAGCCTATTTTGAGGAAATTTGGAAAATGTCTGATGAGCTTTAGTAAAGCACCCCCAAAATTTAAAGAAAGTTTTTCAAAATCTCAAAGCTTCGCATCGAGTCAGATGGACAGTAGTGTCTGCAATTTGGAAAAAATCCTACGCATGGTTTAGGCTCCAGTGGTGTTCACAGATGCATGTTTTGAAAAGAAAAAACAAACAACACTTTTTTGATGTCAGGGGATCCCAAATTGTGTATTTCCATTGAAATCTCGAAATAGATTTTCCACAGCATTACATAACTTTCCCTATTCTACGTGTATTACTCCCTATAAACGTATGTATGCAGGAAAGTAAAAAGGCACAGAGAGCACTATCAATAAGAGTAGCTTTTTCCTGATGATGAATAACTCCATGAAATTGAAATTCTACGTGAGCAAGAATGCATCTAATTTTTAATACTATTACATGTTGCCAACTTTCAACTGTGAAACCTACATATGAACCGCTATTATTGTGAAATAAAGACTTTTTTATGAATTACCTTTTTGAATGTTAAAAATTTAAGAATATTTGTGGTTTATCGTTAATTTCACATGACAACCATATCAATTCAAGATTTATTTTGCGATTTAAGTAACATACTATATTTCTTTCCCTTTCCTTTGCAAATAATGGTCTCTTTTAGATATTTGTAATACTAATGAGTGTAATGTTGCTCAATGAATATGATTTAATGACAGTTTATAATTGTCTTTGTCATTATGTGTTCTTCTTTCTCTTTCCTCTAAATCGGTTCTTTTTTCAAGTGATAGGTATTTAGATAGTAGAATAATTCCTATTACTGGTGTGTGTATCTGGGAACTGAGATGAATGGAACTGAAATTATGAAATCATTGATTTATTCTTTTTACTTTTCAGTACTGCTCTCGATCATGATCCTGTCTTTATCTCTCTCGTAACCTAGAATTAAGAAATTGTGAAAATTCATCTACATATCTACACTTGTGTTTGCCCACATCTGTCCCGGGAAAATAGTGACAGGTTGGAACTGGTGAATTGCAGTGAATTAAAGATTTTGCTTTCTTGATTTCAGCACCTAGAACAATATCTCAGAGAAATATGTGAACAACAGCAAGGTCTTGGATCAGTTAATTTTGTGGAAGCTGCTTTACTTATTCAGAGATCTGCTGGAATATATGTGAAGAAGGTGGAATACTTATGGAATCTATTGATGCAAGTTCTTGAATCCTTTAGGAAAAAAGGAGTGACTGAAAAAGGCAATGAAAAACGGAAGAAAAGTGGGCACATTTCAGACTTGTATCAAGACTTTGTTGACATCACAGTTAATCCAGGTGTGCAAATACGAGAAATATTTTTTTCTTGACTAATCAGGTAGAAAGTTGCTATTTTCTTTATTTGTCATTATTCTCCGAAATTTTTTGTTTTCATTCATTTGACAATTGAGTTAGTGACACTTGACACTGTTTTAAGTTATTTTCAGTAGATCTTGTCTGTGCTTTTCACAAAATGTAAAATAATATACTTTTTTCTTTGAATCATTTTAATCATTTGAATTTTTGATCGTTTGAAATGTTTTGAAACTAAATTTGCATTTTTCTCTGGTGCTTAAATAAAGGTCCTAGTTTTTGAATCTATTGTATGTACAATTTAGTCGAAGAAAATATCAGTTGATTTTCTTTTCTTCCAATTTTTTAAATGGAACAAGATTAATTTTCTTGTTTGTTTCATTTTCATATCAGTCTAATTTTTATAGCCACTTGGCTACTGCATCCTTTGAAGTAATTACAAAGGCTGACTCTTATCACACACCATCAGGATTGGGGAAAAAATGTTTGTTTTTTTATTAACCCAACTAACTGAGTTTATATGGGTTTAATTGTTTTTGGGGGGGAGGTAATTGTATTAGCTTTAAAATGAATTTTTTATTCATTTAAAGATATATTTATTTTAACTTAATTACATTAATTTGCATAATTTAATTAATGCAACATTTTGGTTGATTAAACATGTGGCACAAGTAAATCAGTTTGAACATGATTTTTTATATTTCATGTCATATCTTTGAAGTGACATAAAAATGACATTATTTTGATTAAATCAGAATTTTCTAAAAATACACTATATATAATTAATGCTAATCTGAATCAATATAAATAGCAATTGGGAACTTGGAAATAAGTGTTGGTAATACATACCTTTGTATGCTCCGAGTTAAATGATCGTCAAAGACAAAGATTATTACCCATCATTGATGTTTTCTAATTCTGTTAAAAAACAGTTTTCCACTGCGAAATTATTCCAAAGAAAATGTTCAATACTTGAAAAATGTTTGCTGATTTTTGTTTTTGTTTTTGTTTTTGATAGGTATTTCAAATTGCCGCACAAGTTCTGCTGCAATCAAATGAATCTTTTTAACTTACGGTGACAGATATGTAATAAAGTTGTAATTTTCATTTAAAGCATTAGATTTTTATAATGTTCATTAAGAGAACATGTTGAAGATCAAAAACCTTTTATTTTGTGTTTGAAATATGTGTAATATACAATTATAATATGTTAACTTTTCATGTAACAATAATTTGGAAATTGGATTATAACATTTATGTTGGTATAAAATATTTCATATTTTTAAGGATTTTTCCCCATAGGTTTTATTGTTTTTTTACACCGGGTTTTATTGAAAGAAAACAGATGGGTTTATTTAGGTTGGGGAAAATTGTACCACCATTAAAGTAGTACCCTGCCCACCATTAAAGTAGAGGATGCCATCCTTTTCAGGACCCCCCCAGGAGAAAAAATCCAACTTTCCCAGTCCTTTACAGTTAATTTTATATGAAATATCAAACTATTATTGCATATTTTCTGTACCTAATTTATATTTTATTTATCCATTAAAATTATAAAATATAAATTATTAGAACAATCAAATATACAATAAAAGTATGTACTAAATTTTTAAAATTAAACACAAAATCTGTGTAAGAAATACAAATAATGATATACACATAAAAGTAATAATCAATAGAAAACTAATGAGATAGTTGAGTTTTAGCAAATTGCCAATGTCAGGTTCCAACTTTGTTAACATGAATTGCAGATTGCCATGTTCGGTGATCTGGAATCTGTTCTCCTGCTTGATTGCTCCAGCGGTTGGTGCCCCGAAAAATTGGGGGTTGCAGTTTCATCGAATGACAGAATTTCAATTTCCAAAATTCAGAAAACTAATATATAATACAACTACATCCCACCCTGACAATTTTTTTTATTTTTGAGTTGCCTTTCTATGTCTGAGAGTCTTACTATGTCTTGGAGTTTGTGTTTGTTGTTTTATTATTGTTTACAATTTTTTATATATCTTTGTTTATGTTGTTTGTAGTCTTTGGTAATGCTTTTTTGTGTCCTTTTGTGAACATTTCTTTGTTAGTTTTTTTTTATAATTTTTAGAATTTATACAATGTTATCATTTCATTTTTCTTTTCTTGTGTATTATGTGATAGCCTTATTTTTTCTCTATTTTTATTGTTGTATGTCTTATTCGTTACTGGACAATTATTGTGAAAGATTTTTATGAATCAGTTGATAAACCAATTCCATTTTTCATTACAATGATGAACATCAAGGAGAGATGACCAATGATCCTGGCTGTGTCTAATGCTATATATAATGTATCTTACATTTTTCAGACAAGAAGAAATGGAAGGGAAAAGAACTTCCTGTTAAGTTAGATCCCCCTTATTATTCAGAATTGGAATATAATTGCCCAAAGGAAAAGAAACTGAGTCTGTTTGACCATATGTTTGAACCATTAGGGGACAAATCAGATTTCAGGTATTATCTGTATCTATATATTTTTTGTTTTGTTTTAACTGTGGTGTAGAATACTTTTGTGTATAATGAATAAATAAACAAACAATAAATAATCCCCCCCCCCAAAAAAAACCCTAAAATATACTGGAAGACTCGCATTATTACTCAGGTTCTTTAAAAGAAAGAAGTCTGTAAGTAAGAATGTTTTAACGCAGTCATTTTGACTGCTCATTATCTGTATAGATAAGACAGCGTTACTTCCTTTCTAGTGCTAATAAAATGACAAAATGTGTTAAAAAGTATTTCATTGTATTTTATAATAGGTATTTTAATTTTATGTATTAATTTAATAATTGTTTTGATCATTACAGGTTGAATTATCCAATTTCTGGTTCATTTATGCTAGAAGAAGAATTGTCATATTCATATGCTTTAGAGGACGACTGTATTGATATGAATATTGCAAGTATGTTCTGATTGAGTACAGAAAATTGCAAATAAAAGTGTTGATGATTTCATGATAAATGTTGTATATTTCATTGCAGATGAGGAGGAAGGTAGTCATGTATCTGGAGAAAATAATGATGCTGATGAGGAGGGAGATGGGAATGCAAATGACGTTGCAGAACCAATGGACATTGCATCTACACCACTAGTTGAAGATGGGTGTGCAGGCCTAGTTGGTGAAGGGTAAGTTGGTCATTATGCAACTTAAATATTGATGATTGGTTTACAAACCACCTTAGCTATTTGCGGTTCTTTGTCCCATGTAGCGGGGCAGAGCGATTTTCTCGTTGGAAACTCTTTAAATCCTCAGTTACCTGGTCGCACCGGTCTGGCATCCCACAGTATAAGAAACTCTTCTCAGATTCTCAAACAATTTTTTGTATTTTTACCAATAAAACATTTTAATTTATTAGCCTTGTTCATAATACATAACTATATAAGTTGATGTTAGGTGCAGAGTGTTTCACCCAAGTACCAATGACCTGTAGTTTCCATTTTATCTGCAGAATCCGAGTTATCATTACTGCCTCTTTCTTCATATTCTTCAAAGTCAACCAAGGAAGGAAAATAAGAATCCTTAGTTTTTTGAAGATTGTTCACTCTCAGAATTGTTTACTGATTCTCTCAGTTCGGGAGTTAAACGTAAGTCCTAAAGGTCCCCAAGTCCTAAGTCCCCAAGGGACCAGAACCAGGAAAAGTAAAAAGTCCATTATGCTGGTTGCAGGACTGCCAGACAAAGAAAAAGGAAATGTTAAAGGATTAAAATATACTTCACATAAAGTGTGGAGTATCTTGGTGTATTGCAGACACCTTTATTTCCACAACAGGAATATTGAGTATTGGTTTTATGCTTTAGCTTAATCTAGGACTGGAAGCAGGTTTTACATTCCAAGAAATGTTTGAATTTTGACTCCATACACAGTGGAAACACTGGTGTCCACTTTCTGGAAAACTGGGTCATTACAATTAAGGAATTTTTAATTTTTGTATTCTTTGTTTCTCGTCTTTACAAAGGTATTTTTCAGTTAAGAAGGTAATTATTCCCTAATTCATGAAAAATTAAAGTGCACCGAGACTTTTGTAGCTGTTTAATTTGAATTTTGAATTCGATAACAAAGACAGTCACTTGGTCCTCCTTGCCTAGCAACCTTTACAGTACAAACATGGAGGTTCGCAGCACAGCCTTCAGGTAGCGGAACTGCTTAACCCTAGGATGAGCCTTAGAGGCTCAAAGAGAAACATTTTATTTCTTCCAATTAACAATTTTTATTTTTACTTTCTCGCCCTTACAATGGTACTTTGTAAGAAGAAAAAGCCATGTAATTGTGTGCTGAAAAACAGCAATGAATTAATCTATTTTTCTTTAAAATCAACTTAAGGAATCTCTTCTGAACCATCCTGCAATGGATTCAAGATAATATCATAGGTGCCTCACCACATTATTATTCCTTATGTAGCAATTGCCTAAAATAGTGCATAGTGTGTCATAATCAACTGTTTTTCTTCAAAATCAAGTTGCAATTTGTAGAAGATGTAAATCAAATATTGTAATTTGTTTGTGATTTGGGATAAATGGTGTTTCTTTTTCAAATTACAGTCGATGTATATTCCCAAATATTTAGGAGATTCCACCCTTTTTATACCGGGATAAATACACATTACGGAATCTTGCGCAAAATTGAGTGTAATTTTAACTCTATATTTCTCTCTAAACTGTCAATATAGCTGCTGTACGTTACAAATACAGTTTTAGCGTTATTCAGAATGAATGAGTACAGTGAAAACTTCATGGGCGAAGAACAATGTGAGTTCAAGAAGGGCAGGAGCACAAAGGATGTTATAGTCACAGTACAGACTATATAAGACAAAAGAAATGAAAGAAACTTACTAACATGTATGATATTCATAGATTTTTAAAAGGCATATGATATGGTGAACAAGGTTAAACTGTGGAAAATATTAGAAAAAGAAGGAATACCAGAAGAAATCATCAATGGAATAAAAACACTCTACATGGACTCAAAAATCACTTTTAAATGAATAATGGGACCATCACAAAATCACTTTACACGAATAGAGGACTGAGACAGGGATGCGATATTTTACCCAATCTTTACAATATTTACACCAACAGTCTCATCAAAGAATGGAAGAAGTCAGTAAATCAGGGTGTACAACTTAACAAAAAACAAATTATACAAAAAGTCCTGTTTGCAGATGACCAAATAATTTTGGCTGAAGCAGAAGGTGAACACCAAATGCCAACACATGAACTGAATAATATAGCAAAGACCTATGGCATGAAAATCTCGACAAAGAAACAACCACCGCAAAAACAATGGCATTCCAAGGAAAGGAACTAAGAAGAGCAAAGGTATGTCATTGATGGGGAAATAATAGAGCAAGTATCAACATTCAAATATTTAGGCAATAACATTGGACTAAACTCCCAGGGCCAACACAAAATTTTGAAATATAATAGAATAAATGGAATAACTAAAAAACACTTTAGGAAGGACAAGTCACAAGAAGATAAAGAATACACAACATAACAGCCAAACCAATGGCATTATATGGATCAGAAACCTGGATCCGAAAACAAAGAGACAATCAAAGACTGGAAGCAGCTCAAATGATGTTCCTAAGATACCTCCTTGGCTATACTAGACTGGATTAACAGAGAAATAAAGACATAAGGAAAAGATTGAAGACAACATAACAGAGGAAGTTAAATAGAACCAGAGAAAATGGCTGGAGCACATTAAAAGAAGGAAGATTCCCAAAGGCTCTCCTAAAATATAAGCCACTTGAACAGAGAGATATAGGAAGACCAAGAAAGAAGTGGATCATGCAGGAACTCCTGGAAGACCGAAGTATTTGAGGTCTACTGCTCAACCAGGGACAGCCCCTCCCCCTCCCCCCCCCTTTCATCCTGCAGTTCATGATGACAATGGTGATGATAATCTATATTCAAGCTCAAGGTATTTGCACACGGCCTTTTAAATAGCACACAGTTTCAGTTCTGCCACAAATGTATTTACCCTTTTGCACCATACATAATTTAATCCACTAACTTGGAAGGAAAACATTTAAAAGATAATCAAAATCTTTTGTAATTTCTCAGTTTATCATCATATTAACTTTCATTTTTTAAATGCGATTTTTTGTAATTTTCTTCCCCTTGAGGGACTGGAAAATTGAGCTGTTTTTATCATATGTACTTTAAACATTTCAGAAATGTAATAGCTACAGTTGTACCACATCCCCCAGTGGATGTGTGGGATTCAGAAGCTGGTAGCATACCTGATAAATCAGTAAAAGTCCAAGAACGCATTAAGATGCCATGTGATACTTTGGAGGTGAGTGAATGTGTACTGTCATGTTGACTAAAAAATCAAAAACAAATTATCAGTATGGAGATGATGCATGAAAATTGTTCTAGTATTTCTTTTTCATCCTTCTTCCTTTTACTTTATTGCATACTACTTTTGTTGTATGGAGAAAGTATTGTTGCACCACAGCGCAAGGTTTTGTTTTTCCGCGGAGAAACTCATTTAATGAGCCCTTGATGCCAAAAAAATGGATATTTGTTGCTTCTATAAGCAAATTACTTTCTTCATATGCAATCACAATCCAATATTTTGAGGTCCTTAATGTCGAAAAATTGTTTTTCGACCTTCCATCCGCTGGTCTGTGTGCGTCCTTCTGTCAGTGTCTGCAAAAAAGAACAATAGCGCCTAACCATTAACAGGATTTTCACCAAAATATTTTCCAATTCATCTGGTGGGTGCCAGGGCCTCATAAATTTAAAGCGAATATTTTAATTTTGAGGGTTTTTTGCATAAGGCTTTCTTGCCATTTTCTCAAGAAAGGCACAATTTTCTTTCTGGAAATTGTGTACTCAGAGAGTAATGTTCACTTCTTAAAAGATGTACTTGCAATTAGAACCTCGAGGATATTTGAAAATTGCTAAATATGAGCATTTGTATGTCGTCCTTCTAAACGTACATAGCCTAATTGAAGATAAAGATTTTTCTAAATGAATTCTGCCCATCAGAATTTTTTAACATAATGTGATCCACAGTTTTTTGAAATTAGTTGAAAGTAGTTTTCATGTAATTGTGAAGCTAGAGATTTCTTTGCTAATGCTATGTATTCAATATTAAATGTTCAAAAAAAAATTAATGGACACTCATTTTCAGAATATTTGTTTTGTAATTTCGAGTTGAAATATAGATCACTGGTACATTATGAATAGTAGTATTGCATGAGTATTACAGCCCAGTAAAAGATAGGGTGTTCACGATGTCAAGCTAGCTCAGTCAAATGATTTCAAAGGAATTCATCACTCTGATTTGGATGTCAACCTGAGTTTTCATTGTTTTCTCTTTAAACTATGTGTATGAATAGAGCACAATATACTGAATTCAATGGCAAAAAGTTCAAGTCATTTTGATTTAGAATTTCAAAAAATTAAAGATACCAATTTTTTTTTAATCTCTGCCATTGTGGTTTTTAGGAGCTTTTCAAGTGATTACTGATTGGTTCATAGGGCAGAAATTGCAATATTATATTACCTGACTATTACAAATATGAGAAAATATCTGCTGAGTAGTATCATGAAGTCTTTTACAGAATAAATGCGAGCGAATATTTACTTGCTTGTATAACTGAAAAATAATAAGTTCTTATGGCATGGCATATGTTTGAATGGGCAAGAATAACAAATAGCACAGTTTCATTTCAAAATGTTAGCCACAGAAATGATTTTTAAACTATATTTAGTTAAATGCAATCTTCAATTCATGTGGACAGCATTGTTGCCAGGTGACGAAGTGGAAGGGTCTTGAGAGGCAGGGCAGGAAGTGTGAGCAGTTAAGCTCGATAAGGCAAGTGGGGGTGGGTGAGGCTGCCTAATGGATGAAATACCCTGGCAGCACCAGGTAATCTGCAAGTTTAAATATACTTTAATGACTTAGCTTTTTTGTTTTCTGTAACTTGTTGCAGAAAAAGAAGAGGGGTATGCTTGATAGTAGTGTGTCAAGCCTAGTTACTGATAATATTTCAGTAAGTTTTGGAAATAGATTTGAAGAATTTCCAAAATTTCGCAATGAATTCATGAAGGAAAAGAATAAAAAGAAAGTGGCATTCCAGAAAGCGGGTAAGTCTCTTAACTGAAGGGAATTGATAGCTTTCAAGTGAAACATATAGTTCTGTAATATGTAATGAAAGCTGTATGAAGGAAAAATTATATTGGTGTCAAAACTGTTGGTCCATTCTTCATGTCATATTATATAGATGGTACATGTTTACAAGATCTTGCATTTTTATAAGAAGACTTTATTTCATTAGTGGTACAACTCCATTGACACTCATTTTAGGATATTGAGCTTCAAAATTTCATAGTTATAAAAAAAACAGGAAAGGAATTAGGCAAAATATTTCTTTTCTTTCAAGTTTTTAATTTGTTCGTCTGAAGGTGAGATCTATAATCATACTGTATGCTTTGGAGGTAGGAGTTATACCCTCATAAAAAGAAGTTTGCAGGCCAAATGGATGGATTTAAGAAAAGGTAGAAATGAAAACAATATTGACTTATTGAACATGAAATTAATATATAAACATTAAATATGAATTTAATGTTGCTGTTTTAATGTAAGAAGCACATTCAGTTTTCTGTATTTTCATGTTGTCTGGTTCCTACCCGCAGAGCAGTGAAATATGAGTGATGCATGCTTGGAACAATTGGAAAACAATGAAACATTTACTGTTTCTTCTTGTCATTAACACTTGCAATCCTAAAGACATGTCTGATTCATAACCTTCATTTTATTGCTGTATTCTATGGACATATGTCATACATTTATTGTCTTTAACAGGCTATAATTATTCAAAGTTGCCTAGAATACGCTTTTTATAATCACTAAGATGGTCGCAAGACAAACTGCATTGTGTGCTTTATGTGTACTTCATATTTTTTGCAAGTATTTGCTGGGTTTCCAGTAAGCTGTTAGATATTTGTACTTGCAAGCATTGTCAGTTATGTTCAGAATATTTTCTTCATTAGTAATATTCATGCGGTTAGTGACATATACAGATGTGTAGAAGACATAGACGTCAAATTCAGAGTGACTCTCAACATTAAAAGTTCAAGAGTTTTTGAAAAGTGGATCAGAACTGGATTCTTCTGATGAGGAGAATGATTTTATTCCTGGACTATTGTCTAGGAATAGTTGGTGTATTAAAGTAAATAGTTTTGAAAGAAAAGAACTCGATATTCAGACATATAAGCTTTTACCCGAATACGAGGGCCAATATGTGTGTAAACACAGGTGCTGACCTAATTTTCATAGGTAATTTGTTCCTCAGCTCCATTCCAATGACAGAACTTCAACATATCTGAGACCCAATTATGATGATTTTAGTTTTTTCCACATTCAGGATCAACTTAATGCGGGAAGCCCAGTCGTTAATTTCCTGTACATCTCTATCTACACTTGACAAAACTAAATCAATTTCCACAAGCAGCCCATGCATGCAATCTGCAGATGATCAGCATAAAGAATATATTTACAATTAATTAATACATGATAAATCATTTATCTTAATAGAAAATAACAGGATCCAAAACAGATCACTGCGGAATACTGCTAAAAACTCTCCGCCAAACAAAGTGACTATCAGTCCCATTTCTCAGGACCTGACTGCAAACTTCAAGATAATCCCTCCACCAGCATAGAACTTGACCTGAGACATCTTGACCAAAGAATTTGTGCAGCAAGTCATGGTCCACCAAATAAAAAGCATTACTGAAGCATTACTCAAACAAAACTAGTTCAGTTACCTTGCGATTATCAGTAGCAGCACGAATCTCATCCACAAGATGTAATAAGACAGAATGGGTGGAATGACCCATACAAAACACACACTGCAAAAGGTTGAAGAAAATTATTTTTATTCAAATAATTTTGCTGCTGCTCAGAAACAAGAGTTTCCGAAGTCTTGGATAATGAATACAAAATCAAGATTGGTAAAAATTATTCAATGAGACTAGACTTTTTAATTGTGACAACTAACGATTTCTTCCAAACCAATGGAAAGGCCGAATGAGTGAGTAATTTATGGCATCCACAATGTAAGGCAACAAGAAGTCAGCACCAATGTCATGAATCTCATTGGAGTGTTGTCAGTTTCTGTAGAAAGTTGTTTAGTTAGTTTCTTCAGTTGCAAAATATGATCTCCAGTAACATCTAATAAAAGAAAACATGGACACAGAAGTGATATCCCTATCAATGATTAAATCAAAACCACAGAGTGGATTATTTATCAAAAAACATCTCAGTTGATCAACAGAATATATCTATAAAAAATGATTCAATTCATCTAATGAATGCGATTGAGGCTGATTTGCCATTGATGACGCAACCATACTCTGGCACTTCAATACTCTCCAATACTATTTCGGTTCCTTCAGACTAAATAACCAATCAATGGTGAGTCAATCTAGCCAGTCGATTTCCAGCAGGGATTTCACTTTATTTTGTTGAAGCTTAAAATCTGCAAGACAAGTAGGAAAAGTAGTACGAATTGTCCTATAATAGTGTAATGTCCTGTAATTTGTTTCTCAACTTAATATCCCTTTTCAATTTCAGTGTCATCAATGTTGAATGACACAATTTCCAAACCTTTGTCACAGGTGGAGCACAGGTAGCGAAAACCTCATGAGCCACTTTGTGCAACATAGCTATCTTGTCATTGATCTCGAGAACATCAAAACCATCAGATAAACGAGGCAATATATTTCAAAAGGCACGCTCTAACAACTCACCATCAAAATAGAAATTGCGATAACGATGCTTCACCCCAGGAAGCAATGACCTGGATATATTGATAACAAGGTCATAACATAAAGGCTCGTGACCTGACAAAAAGGGGGAATTCTCTAAATCGGAATTGTAAACCTGGTAAGGACACAATACACAGATCAAGCATAGTTATAGAAGTCTTGGTGTGGTGAGTCACAGCAGTGTTTAAAAGTTGAAGAAATTTCAAGCGCCTTTAGAAAGTTAGTGAGCACATCAGATTTCCAAATATCGTTCAATAAATCAATATTAAAGTCACCCAATGTAACGGTACAAGAATATAAGTGTGCCCTATTGTGATAATGGATTAAAAAAACTGTCAAGGAAATCTGCTTTTGGATAATACACAACCGATACCAAGAATGTTGTACCAGCATGTCTAATTTCACACATCATACCAGCTTATGATGTACCTTCTTATGATTGCCGTTGTACCAGCCGTTGTACCAGCTTATGATGTACCTTCACTCGAGACCATCATCGACTTGCCTGCCTGAACCAAACTAGGAAAATAAAGGCAAAGCCACCACCAGTCCTGTGCAGCCTATCAACTCTCAAGGAATTGTAGGATTGTAGTGAGACCATTCTTGAGCTAAAATCATTGTTTTCCAAGCTGTCATTGATTTTGAACCACCAACTAATTGATCTATTTCACAGCATATATTTTCCCCAAATGCATCTTTGATAACATAACAGTATTTTCTGTAGATATTTCTATCTAAAGGATCTTTAAAATTCGGCCATTTTTCATACAACTGTTTCTTTTACACAAGGATATATTTGATTTCTTCCTTCCATCAGTATTCCTTCACTCTAAATCTGTAAGTTAATTCATTCTAATTCTATCTTTCTTTTGCTCCCAAATTGACTCCATAGCTGCATGGTAGGATTTCTTCAGGAAATTGTACATTTCTTCTGTGGCTCCTTCAACTTTCCTTTCCATCTTTTGTGCCAGTCTTCACTTGTACATGGTGATTCATTTTCAAAACTGTCAAGTTGATAACTCCCAATTTTGTTTCCTGTTTACACTCACCTTGCACTATTGTTGGTGTGTCGTTCTTCCCGGTCTAAACCAAGCTGCAATTTTTAAGTGGTAATGATGAGACCAATGAGTTAGAATAAAGTATATTTTGCTCGTTGGATCAGACCCACAATTAGCCCCCCTTTTAACAGGGACGTCCATGATTTTCATGTGGCATGTCTGTCCAATAATGGAATAATCAATAATTAATTGGAGCCCTTTAGTACTTTGTGTCCATTATGTTTATGTGTATCTTTGTGGGGGTAAAAGCTGTTCAGTATCTTTAGAGAGAACTGTTTTCATATCTCAATTAGACGAGTACTATTATCATAGTACAACTCTTCTCCATATTGACTCACTCCTTGATCATTTATTTTTCTCCCCACCCTTACATTAAAATCACCTAGTGAAATTAATTCCTTCCTATTACCTAAAGTTAAAATGACTTAATTTAGAATAGAATTCTTCCTTCACCAACAAGGTGGCATCATCGTTTGTACACTTATATACACCAACAATCATAACACTAATATCAAAAATTTCCAGATCAAGTGTTATTCTTTTATTTATAGCACTCCAACTTTTAACATGTTTCCTCCATTTCTTTTTACAATAGAGAGATTGTTAGTGAGATTTACAATAGTGAGATTAAATTAATATTTGCAGAAATATCAATGACAACAATGGCGTAAAAGACACACAAAGAAATACGTCGTGTGCAATTATTATAAACAAGACGGAATGCAGCAGAATCAGTAGTGGGGGGAAAATATAGGGAGTGGATTAGGTAATGATAAGCAAGCGCACGTGAGCAGTTTTCGTGTAAACAGTGTTAAACGTGAGAAAATGATTAGTAGCCAAGTAGTTCAAAGAATAAAGAGTGAAGAGGTAAATGTGAGTGTAACCATTGAGAGCGGAGATGGCATTCGAGAGAGCGATCAAGATGCGCGTACTGAGGCAGGAAGAAAAGTGTTAGGAAAAAATATTTCGCGCGGGAGAAACCAGGAGATGAACGCGCGCAACCCGGAACGAGAGAGAGAGCGCGAGCGAGCGAGAGAGAGCGCGAGCGAGAGTGAGAGAGAGCGCGAGAGAGAGAGAGAGAGCGCGAGAGAGAGAGAGAGAGAGAGAGAGCGCGCGCGAGAGAGAGAGAGACGCGCGAGAGAGAGAAAGGATCCTGTGATGCAAGAGAGAGAAGAGAGCGCGAGAGAGAGCAGACGCTGCGCGCCGAGAGGAGAGGAGCGCTGCGCGAGAGAGAGAGAAGCGGCGCGCGAGAGAGACGAGAGCGCGCGCGCGAGAGAGAGAGAGAGCGCGCGCGAGAGAGAGAGAGCGCGCGCGAGAGAGAGCGCGCGCGAGAGAGAGCGAGCGCGAGAGAGAGCGAGCGCGAGAGAGAGCGAGCGCGAGAGAGAGAGAGCGCGCGCGAGAGAGAGAGAGAGCGCTGACTTGGTCGTGGACGGACATGCAGATGGAACGCTCGCGGAGGACAGTTGTTTTTAGTATGGAAATGCAATGAAACGTAGAACAGGGGTTAAGCTTGCGGCATCTACTTCTTAAAGTAAAGTAACAATGAGGGGACATTTTGTTACCCGAAAATTATGTAGGAAGATCAAGTTGTGTTTTTAATTTTTAAGATAAATTTGTAATTGGGGGAAATAATTTGACCAAAGCTTTCAGAGAAAGAGGAAGGTTTACTTAATGAAATATAAACACCTTGGTTTATAATTACCTTAATTCTGAAAAAGTGTATATTATTCAATTGTCGCTATTTTGATGAAAACGCAAACAGGATAATATTATGTGAGTAGCACTATTTATAGTGCTGCATAAATGTTGTATTTGATCGGCATATTGTACGTATAATTATTTCATAGGGTGATATAGAGAATTCTCCAGTCCATATTAGAATAAGTAATCCCGTGTTCGTAAATATTTCGTCATCAGGAGTCCGTACGGACGATCTAGTCCGTAGATCCCAATAAGTCCGTTTTGAAGTCGCTGGAGGCGTGACCAGAAATGTGCATCGCGATCGACGGGAGCAGAGCACATGACCTGAAAATAGTGAATTTATTGCGCGCTGCCGTTTTTCCGAAACGTTTAGTATAAGCATATCATTTTAAATATTCTTATTCTTTTTATTTTTCAGTTTCTCATCTTGTTTGGTTTTGTTCGTTTTATCTTCATTAATGTTTACGTCTGTTTTGAATTATTTCACCTTGCAAGTTTGCAACGGAATCAGACATTACTACAGCCGGCCCGGTAGGTGTAATTACCTGGCACTCCCGAACACAAGGGGCCCCCAAAAGCAAATTTTGTTTGTCTAAGTGAATGCACTTAAAAGCTCTTTCTGAAAGCGATTTGTTTATTACCGTACATCGACTACTGAAAAGTTGAATTACGTTTTTTTTATGAGAATGCGAAAATGATTTCCAAATTTGTAATTTGGCATCCCGGGGCTCCAATTATTTATATATTTTTTTAAAGTTTTTGCGGGACCCTATTCTTCGTTTTATTTTACGTGATTTGAAACATTTCGTTAAAACGTAAAAGAATGCTAAGTCAAAAGATTAAAATGTAATTTACGATGATCCCTCCGTGGGTCCCGCTCTAAAAATATTAAAAATGTTGTCCTTGTCATGTTATTTATAGAGAGTAAAGTAACAAAGTCGTTAAAAGCAAACCTGGGCGACGTTATAGATCAACTCGGCAAAGCGAAAATCCTTAGGACTCTATTCTGAATTTAGTGATTATGATTAATAAAGTTTCCTTCAATTAGTTTCAGCAGGCTTTTTACTTTCTCGCTACTTCTTACGCAGTATAGAGAAAATTATGAAATGCTGCGGGGAAAACGCCGAATTTTCGGCACAAAAACGTGCCCTGGGAATGAAAAAGTGGAAAAATGTAGACGCTAAAAATAGAAAAAATCTCTAACTCGTTGTGTAACGTGGCGTGAGGTCCTTGATATCGAAAAATCGATTGACGGTAAAACGTGTGTCAGCTGTCCGTCCGTTTGTCTTTGAACAACGCTAGCGGCTAAACCGTTCCATCGATTTTCTACAATATTGGAACTCCCCAATCGATCTGGCTGATGTCGCGGCTCCTTCAATTTGAAACCGATATTTTAATTTTGTGTGGTGCTTTACATGGAGCCCTAGGAACATTTTCAAAAAATGGGTCGAAATATTTTATTTAATTGTGCTCATCAAAAATAGATCTTCAAATAATGTTGTTCAAGTAATGTTCAATTTTTCGAAAATGGGAAAAAACTATGAACATTTCGTTTGCCACGCCAGCAGTTCGCAAAAATTGCAACACAGCGGTTTCCATTTATATTCAAATGCTTTTCCATTAAAGGCCAGAAGTTGATGAAAAATCATATTTTTAATTAGGGCCTCTATAATATGCACTGTGATTTCTCCTCGGTCGACGCGTGTTTTTCTTTTTTTTCTCTCTTTTTTCTTTTTCTCCGTAGAATACGATAGGCTCCCCAAATTTAAATTTCATTAAGCTACACATCAATGTGATTTCGAACACCTCCTTCCTTGCGCATGTAGAACTTCCACTTAGAAAGTCCAAAACCGAGGTCATTAGCGTTACCAGTAAGAGCTTGGGAAGTCCCGTAATCGGCGAGCTTTCTCGTTTTCCGACAAGATGCGTCGGCTCAAGTATACGATGTCAACATCGTCAGCTCTCCTTTCGCGCTGCAGCATTGCGATTACCAAGTTCTGATTGCACTGTTTTTGCGAAAAATACTTCTCAATTAATAACATTTATACCATTGCATTTCATTTTTAAATAACTTTAGAATGATGAGAGAAAATATTTACTTCCATGTAAAAAACTGAAGTTGTGTCAATATCTCTAAAATTACATACGATACAAACAAGAAAACGAAATATGTAATTGGCCCCATTATCTGCAACAAAATGGCGCAAATAACATTTCGATATCTCAAAACATAATTAAGATATTTGCTGTAGCCAACTTAGTTAGGTCACCTGTACCCAGTATGCAAGGTGACTGAATTTTCAAGAATTCTGAACGCGTAACATCCTCTATGCCAACAACTAATGAACATAATTTTGTGTTCAATTCATTTAATTGGACATTCCATTTAAGATTTCGCTGAAGTAATAGGACCCAATTATTTTGTTACCTTAACGTGAGTCAATGGCACATCGTCAATTTTCAATGTTCATAGATTTAGATTTTAGAATTATTTAGTCAAAAAACAGTAAAAACTGTATGTGACCGATGAAGCCGATTCGGAATCAAACATAGTGTGTAAACTTTTTGTGGAAACGTATAATGTTGAATTTTGTGTAATTTTTACTAAATATTAACAATTGTCGGGTTCTCATGCTTCACCAAAAAATCATGTCTCTAAGAGATAATCAATGTTCTGTAGAAGCAAAGATTGTCCATGTGATTAAAATCGTTCTGCTGTAGAACAACATCGATTAATTCACTTTCATTTGAAAGAGATTGAACATTACGGTGTAGTATGTAAATCTATTACAAGTACCTACACTGCTTTTTTTCTTATGCATCTGTTGCTATATATATATATATATATATATATATATATATATATATATATATATATATATATATATATATATATTTTTTTTTCTTTATCTCGATCATGTGGTCGAAGGTTGTAACGTGTCTGAGCAGTTTCAAGTTGTGAGAAAATTGGGGCATCAGGTGAAGAGGAGTAGGGAGAAACAGGGATAGTAGGTTCAGAGGAGGTATGAGGGCTCAAAATGGCACAGGGTGGAGAAAGTAAGAAAAGCAAAAGGAATGGATTTTTGGCGACTCCAGTCACCTGTTACCCCAGTATTAAAAAAAAAAGTGACAAACTCTTTCCAAGATCATAGATACAAAGATCCGAGAATTGGCCAAAAACAATGATTTCATACCGACCCAACTACATGGTTTTGTACCAGGATGATCCATGAGTACCTGTATCCTCATTAGATAGGATTGAATCTTTACTTGGGTAAATCAGTGTACATGATATTTCATGATTATGCTAAAGTATCTCATGAAAGATTACTCTTTAAACTTCACTCCATTGGAATTAGAAGAAAGCTACAATCGTGGATATGGAGCTCTCTTCACCAACAAACGTTCATGGTGGCTCACAGCACCTCACCCATTGGTAAGGTTATCAAATCTCACTCAGCTATAAGTGGCATCCCTGAGGATCAGTTTTTGGACCAGTGTTATTTATCCTTTGAACTGAGATTTGGGGGGTAATATTAGATCACCAGAGAATAGTAGCTAAAGACACGAAAATATTCACAAACTCGACTTTAAAACAATTCGGTTGGGATGATGATTTTCGTTCTATTGTTATCATAATAAGAATAAGAATAAAAAATTACTCAAATTAATTTACCCAATGGAAGTTTATTACTTACATTGTTTGTATCCTTGGGAATTTGTGATCTCTAGCATTATAAAGAGTGATATTGTAGAAATGACATTAGAAGCAATAATTTTTTTTTTTTTTCTTCCTTCCCTAATTGTCACAACCAGCGAGGTACAAGACCAAATTACCGCTTCAGATTCTGCGATATTATTGTTTGGAATTGTTCTGGATTCTCGTTTGATCTATCCACTGCCAAGCTGTAGTCATGACTTACCTCGTGAGTAAGAAAGTTGTTGAGATGCTGCAGATACGATTCGCAGTCTTCAAATTATATCTAATAACATGCTTTAGAAAGTTGTTAGATATATTCTTAAGTTTAAGGCTAAGGCATGCTTAATACCTATGTATTTTTTCTTTGTGTTCTGTACAATTAAAATTTAATATTTTGGTTTTAACATAATTTTCTTCCTCAGAGGAAGTGGAGGAATATAGGAAAACTCTAGCCAGTGACTTTCCTGTGGGTAAGTTTGGAATTGAAGTTACATTTGTAAAGCAAATATAATGTCAAGTTGAGAATAATTTGTTAAACAAGTCTTGTTTGTTTGTTTTTCTTCCAGACTTTTTGGGTTTTGAAGATCTCGACATCTCTGGTGGAGAAGATGGTAAAAACATTAATGTTGTGGTTCCTTTTTTTATTGTGAGGTTCCAAATATTATTTTCCTTCTTTAAAAAAAAATATTGTTGTAAAAGGATTTTACTACTCTTAACAGCAAGAAAAAATGTATTCTTTAAGAAAAAGAATACATATAAAAAATGATATGATTAAAGATATGTTTTTAAGGTTAACTGTCTCTTACAGCCTCGATTCAAATGAGGTGGGCGACATGTATGATGTAAATAGTGTTTATATGAATTTATGTGTAGTGTTTATAAGTGTATGTGCATGTATTGCACAGTGTAAACAATGTAAATAGTGTTTGTTGTTAGATTAAGGATGTAAGACAAAGTTGATTTAGATTAGTTCAAAAGTATTAGTCCATAAGTAATCAATATTAATACAATTATAGAATAAATATATGTAAAAAATTAACGTATATTTTTAACTTTTATTTAGAGTTTGTTGGCTATCACGATGACTTTGATCGAGAAGATGCTCTTCCTGCTGATCCTGATGAAGCCAACGCTGATCCAGAAGGCAGTGCAGCAGCTTCAGCGGATGATATTCCCTTACCGAATGTAGTCAATCTTGAAGACAATGATGATTGGGGGCAAATATATCAAAATATTTTACAGGAAAAAATGCATTCTGCAAGAGTAGGACATGTAAGTTGCAATTATTAAAAATAAAATATACCAAAAAAAGTGGGGGTATTCTAATAAGGACTGTATTCTTCTTTTCCTTTCCAGCAAGATGCACAAGCTGCTTTAGCTTCTCGTGTTAACCAATGGCATGACTCAATTCGAACAAAGTTAAAAGGCGCTGAAGACAGAAAATGTATGGATATTCATGAATATGAAACACATATCCTAAATACTTTTCCAAAAGGCGCCACTAAAACGCAGAAAACCACAATTGATTTTGCTGAAGTTGTTAAGGATGTAGAAGATGAAGAGATATGTCGATACTTCCTTGCTTCTCTCTTACTGGTATGTTTTAGTGTTTTAGTAGACTTGCGATTATCTAAGGTAATTGGGACCTAACTCTGACAGATAAGAAAAAAATTGTCTCTCATCCATAAAAATATAAATGATGTTTACATGTGTAAAAACAAGGTGTAATGAAAACTTTTAGTTTAATGTTACAGTACTCTTAATGTATATTGAGAAAACCCAATGATTACCTAACACAGAAAATACCTGATATTACTAGATTGATAGATAATGGCATGCTCACCCAGTGCAAACACTGGGTCACTATTGTTCCAATAACTAATTAACAGTACAATTCAGTGTTTCATTTTTTCAATGGATTTTTTCCCTGATGACTGCCTTAGTTAACCAAGATTTGTATTTTCTCAAAAAACAGCTCCTATTTTTCCTTCGAACATTTTGTACATATAGTTTTAAATGCACTGAATAGCAGGACATAAATGCCATTTTGCTTATTCCTTTGCTTTGTCAAATTTAAACATTTTTGAAAAAGTATTTCCCTCATAGTGATAATATTTACTTTACCAGCAATTTGTATGCATTATTACATTTGTGAGTACAAGTCCTTCAATTGAAGTCTCATAAAATTTCCCAAAACCTCAATACTTTTCTGTGAAAACAAACTCAAAATTCCACATTTTCAAAAATGTAATTTTATTTTTTCAGTTTCATTAGCGATGTTTCAAGAACAGTTTTGTTCCATCATTGGGCTGTGAAGAGAAGCCCCCCCCCCAAGCCGTTTGAGTATACCAGATCCATGATAGAGTATAATGGATCTGGTTTACTCCAACGGTTCTTTCTTTTTTCGGTAAAATTTCGTTGGTTTATTTACAACTTAAAAGTATACACCAAATACAGGCACTTGCATGAACGTCACGTAACAACATGCACCTCGTCTGTCTGTGCCATTGTGTTCTGTGTCATTCCTTCACTTCACTTCACTTCACTGTCGTGCCCTCCCAGGTATACCACCTTAAGTGCTGTTCATTTATATGACAATTAAAATAATAAGCAACAAATTGCAATTTCAGTTACGATATTAGTGAATGAATTGTGCACTTAAGTTGACTCACAGTAATCCATAATGCACTGAATTGTGATCTACTGTGCTTCTCAATGCTGTGCTATGTTACTTGTGCTGCTCATTTTTTCTTTAATATTTTTTCCCATTCACAGTTTCAAAATTTTTTGCCAATTTGTCAATTACTGGTTCAACTTCTGAGCAGATATCATTACAATTGTAAAAAATTGAGTAATACAGAAAGATTCCTCTAAAAAAGGTCTGCTTTGACAGCTATTGCTTGGTTTTCAGGCTAGCAGCAAAACTGCAAGTTGGTGTCTTCAATTAGTTGATTTGTTCGTTTGCAGTTGGCTTGCTTGTAAAAACCTTTGACACAACCTCTTGAAATGCCATTGTCCTGGACGACTTTCTTTTGTTTTCCAACCTGCCAAATTAGTCCCTTCTTATGCCAACTTCTCTGTATTAGAAGACTGTTTTGTTGCTTTCATCATTAAAAAATTGAAGTTTTAAATTGTCTTTGTTAAACTGTATTTTTTTATGAATATGTGCTAGAGGCAATGATTTATAAGGATTTAATGTTGTCTTCTCTATTTCCTACAGGCCAACAATTATAATGTCGAAATAAATGTGTCAGATCGCAGAGAACTGGCTATGAATTGCATGGAGTTAACATTGCTGAAATCTACAAGGCATCATGAAAGTTTGGAAGATTATCAAGCTCCTTCTCAAGTAGAAACCCAAAATCATAATCGCAAAAGAAGATAAAGAAACTATAACTTGTCTACATTATGTTTTTGCCATATTGATTTGTCTCGCATCATTTTATATTTCACCGTTTTAGATTTGGTTATCATGTGCAGTCCCAACACATGATCAGAAAAGGTATGTAGGGCATTCTATTATCAACAGTGTTCAAATACTTTTTATGGAGTCCAAAATGTAAGCCATTTATTTGACTAGGCTATCCTTCAAATTGGTTAACGACCATTTGGATATCTTTGTGCACCTTTCAGGGAAGATATTTGTAAATTTGTTCAGGGTATTTTATCACTTAAAATAGTTTTCAATGATCTTTTGAATTTATTATAAGAAATAAGCTAGTCTTGTGAAGTATGTAAGAGGCTCATTTACATAACCGAAATTTGAAATCTAATTAGGTGACTTCATACTGTACATATTTATACATCAGTTCTATTATAATGTATATAGGCAGAGTGATATAATATTGACATTATAGGGAAAATACTGTGAAAAAATACTTTTTTTTTTTTTTTTTTTTTTTTTTTTTTTTTTTTTTTTTTTTTTTTGAGGAATTTATGTTCATGATTGAAATGTTAATTTTGGATAACAGTATTGAACAATTTTTTTTTTAAATACTGATATTTCTGTAACCAATGTAAAATTAAATTGCTTTTCAAAATTTATGTAACATGAAATTGAAGGTCTTCAAAAATAAAATTTTAAGTAATAAAAAGGCATTGGTAATAGCATTTACTTGGTGAGCAGCATGTTATGGAGGTTAAACATTAACAATAATGTCTTTATTTACAATTAAGAAATGACAATAGTAACAATGGAATGATAGGAGATGGAAGTTGACATGAAGAGTAACTTTTCATTGAAGACTAACTGTGGTGTTGGAAGATCTGATCAGAGCCATAAATCTTCATGGCTATGAAAATACATGTGGGGCCATGAAAATACATGTGGGGAGTAAAATCTATTTCCACTTTTTTGATTTTTAAAATAAGAACATTCAATGCGATTTTTTAGAAATTCAAATTACGAGGAAATGGCTGTTTGCGAAATTGCTATAATGGATTTTGAGTAGTTCAAAAATCTTTACGTTTAATATGGATGATTTCTTCAGACTTGCTACACTTGCTGTACAAATGTATTTTCACTGTATATTCATTAAAGTGTGTACTTGTTACAAAATTTCTGCCAAATCACAGTTAACTGTGGTCACAATCATTATAATGATAATTTAAAGTACCATTAATGGGGTGTAACTGGGGCTTGCTCGTTCCAGGTGAGCATAGAACATAAAAAGAATGATGATTTCATTTCTGCTCAATGTGCTGTTGGAAGCTCTAATGAGAGGTTCTCGAGGCTGCTATTTCTGTACTCCTTAGCAGTATGTATCAACACAAGTACAAAGAATGTCCCCCTGCCTGAAAGGGCTGGTGATAGTCAAATGGCCACTAGCTGTTTAAATATAATTATTTAATCTTATAATTGTAAATATACACAAATAATTTAATATAGGTTATATGTCGAATTGGGAACACAATGAAAGTGAAACAAATTCAAACTTAAATAACAATACTTTATTTTCATTTAAAATTATATAAACGTATAAAAAGAACTTCTCTTCAAGTATTACTTTCTTGTAAATTTAAAAATATTGTGTAACAATATTAAAATTCACTATATTTCACCCCAAATATCGAGAAAACGACTCATATTTTCGAAAAATTTTACATGATCTTATATCAAGATGTTTTTAAAGAACAGTTTTCATTAAGTAAAAAATCTGTCTTCAATATTGTAGTTGTTGAAAGAAATTTTAAGTTTGGCAATTTTCGAAAAACTTTCGCGCCGTTACCTTCCGCAGCTGCGTCCTCCGTGCTCCAACGCCCGACCTTTAAGCACCTCTGCCTCCGCGCAGCCGATCGCGGGCCCCGGGTTGCCGGTGACTTCTCGCTGGCCTCGTGTGTGGTCTTCCTTCTGCGTCGTCTTCCGCGCCGTCTTCAGCTTTATCCTCCAGTCTTATTCTCCTCGCTCTTTTCGGCCTCGTCTGCTTCGTCTCCCTCGATATTTTTGATTATACACGCGTGCGAATGTTCCTTGCACCGCAATTAAGAAATCTTGCGGATTTCGTGCGTACGCGTAGCTCTCGCTCGCACTGTCCCAAATTTCGCCGCTGATTGAAATTTACTTGATCTCAGCCCGAACTGTTTCCTTATTGTACTGCCCTCAGCTCCACAATAACTGATAGATTCTAGATTAACTCTCCGCGTCTTATTTGAAGAAAAATGTTCTTCCAGAAAAAAAAATTAACAACGTTGGCGGACGGCTATCTAGGCGTCTGCCCGACGTCCAAAACCCCTACCTAGTGACTAGACAAAGTTGTTCTTGGATCGGCGGTCAAGAACTGATGAGAGTGCTGCTGGCTTGGCAAACGGGAACGAGAGTTACTGATCGTAGTCTCGCCTATTTACACACGCGCCCTACGTGTAGTGCACTACCGTGCGCGTCATCTTCCCCTGTCCGGTCTGAATGCTTCTATGTCATATTCCTTCTCCGTGCCATGGACATAGCGCGCAACAGTATTGTAGGGTCGCCCGGTCTATTGCAGGCGTTTTCTTGATGTGTGAGACGAACGTAGTCACTTGCGTTCGTACATATGTACGTATATATGATATTGATATATCAGATGAGCTACTCAAGCTGTTGGATATGTTACTGATGTAATCGCAGTGGTGGATCAAGGGGTGCCTTGCCCCCCCCACACACACACACACACCGCGAAAAAAAGAAAGGCTTAGAGAAAAACAGTAAAAGTTTCATGCAAACCTTGAGATATTTGCAGAATTCTGCCTACTTCTTTCAGTCCTGGATAGTAATGTTTGTATGTAAGCGAATTTGTAAATTGATATCATCCGTTTATTTACATTTTATCTGTTTATATAGGTATCATGGTATGAAAAATATAATACCCTCATGCTTCGTCATTTTGCAGGTTTCAATAACAAAGTATTACAATTTTTTCAATTAAAAACCATATTCCGTCTATTAAATATTAAACTTAATATTTAAATTTTGTTAAAAACATGATAAATAATTTACCTTCTAGGTAATGTATAGTATCTTAGTGTTGCTGTTTTATATTCGCGCGCGCGCGCGCGTAATGTTACAAATTTCCCCCTTCCTCCTAATTCGTCTCTGAATCTGCCCCTTTTTACTGTTCTCAGAACTGTAATCCTGGCGATTCGTCATCGTCTTAACACAAAATTCATTTTTTTTTCGTTACCTGATTTTTCAGTTTATTATTGAAATAGATATGAGGCGTTGTTTTGTCGTGTTTATTTTTCCAGAAAGCGTTTTCGGTCACATTCGGCCATTTTCAGTTCGATTCAGAGGCAGCTGAGGGCCCCGGTTCGGACAAGACATTCGCCTCAGAATCGCACTGGAGGTGGTCGCAATGTGACCGAAAAAGCTTTGTGGAAAAATAAACACGACAAAACAACGACTCTTATCTATTTATGCCAATGTACACACCGCATCATACCATTTCCTACCATTTTACGTATTTAATACAATATTACATATTTTGCTATTTTCACCACATACTTTTTTAATCTATCATTTTTTTAAAATTTTTTAATGACATATATTTGTATGAAAATAAGAATTTCCAAAAAAATCAGTCCCCCCCCCCTTCCCAACAATATTAGAGTGCTGTCGACTCGAGATGCGCTGCGTTAAAACGCGGTCGGATGTGCCCACAGTCAGGCGCGCCCGTTTCAGTTGTCTCAGTGGCGTGAAGTGCCCATCAGCGGCTGAGATAATTTTCATCGTTGTGTGTGAAAAGTATCACTGGCGCCGCGCTTGGTGACCCTTAACCTTAATTTTCCGAGAAACTTTGATCTTCGCCGACGTGTAACACTTCGATGAGAATGATACACGCCGCAGTGATGTCTGGTCGCATATATCGCCGTTTGTACGAATTAGTGCTTCTATTTTGTCTAGTCTGGCTGCTAAACAGCGATCCTGGATAGTAATAGTTGAAGCTGTTATTATTGCCAGGAAAGTTGTATTGCGAAATGTCTGTTAAGGAAATTTTTGATTAATGTAATTTTGTATTAGGTACATAAGGGAGAAGTTTTATAAGTTGTGTGTTTTAATATATATTAATCCGATTTTACATATTTATTATATATTCTCACTTTCCATTACATATTTTGACTTTCATACTACATATTTTTCTGGTCTCTTCTGATCATAGCTGGAAAACTATTACAACACCAACATGCCAAACTTCAATCGCTCATGACGTGCGGGTTTCGACTTGTAATCTGACGAGTTGCGACAATCGTCAGTAGTTCTGTTACTGTAGTACCGAAAACGTTAGATAAGTACGAGCATTCACGAAAGCATCCAGAATACACAAAACACACTCAAGATTTATTATCCCTTCATCAGTACACTGTTCCTGGTCCCTATGGTTGAGTTACTTACTTCCTGTTATTACGTTCTGAGAATATGAATGTCCATCACCAGTGGTGGCTCATAACCCCAAAAGTTGGTGGTTTTCAGATTAATGGGACTGATGAGTGGTATACAGTAAATTTATTTGTATGTTACAGAAATACACTTAAAATTTCACGTTTTTCTTCTAGACATTTCCATAAAATTAGTTACCATTATTCTAACTCACCAACATATGAATAAAGATCACTTATCTATTTGTAAAAGGAGTCGGCACGCTTTTCTTTGCTCGTAGTAAGTTTTCTGATAACTCTTTCGTTAAAGTCAGCGATTTGGGTAATGAAGTCACGTTTGATAGAAAGCATTGCAAGAGCTGATAATCATTTTTCTGCCATTGTATTGCGCAGGAAAGATTCAGAGACATCTTGCGGAGATGCTGGAACTACGAACTTTGACCTCGCTGGAGGCTATCGCTATGTCGGGCGCGTTGAGAAGCTTGTCGCAGCGTCTCCTGTTTAGGTTGGCTAACAACATTGAGACATCCACCTCGCGAAGCGCCCCTCCTCCTCGTCGCTGACAGCCACCGGTTTATCTGCACCTGTATTCCAACGGTGAAGTCGAAGGTGTTTGCAAGGATGATGTGTAAACGCTCAGGTTCTCAGTAAACGTGCGGTTTGATTTCTTGTATCTGATTTACAGTTAACGCAAGAAACTTGTGATGCGATTATGACTTACCCCTTTATATACTTATATAATTTTTTTATTGTAGCGCAAACATGCTACAACCAACACAAGCCGCCACTTACCGGCACATATTAAAAATTCAATTTATTATACTATATTGCCATTTCGACACCATAACCGTAAATCACATTTGTTAACAAACGGTCAATTCACCGGTATTTGTTTTAGTAGGTATGAAGACGTATAACGAAAATACAAATTGGAGTGAAATAAAATGTATACATAATAATTAAAATCACGAAATGGCAAAATGCTGGATTAAAAAATAATGGGATTTCGCAGATAAGAATATCGACAATTGACTCCTTCTAGTGTTAATATTTGCGTACTGCATTGTGTGTGAAACAGTGTTATGATGTAATTTTGTTGAAATAAGCCCAAAAGGTTAGAATGATATTGAAAATGTACTGTATAAAGCGAGGTGGCCTTTCACAATCGAAGAAAAACATAACTTTTCATTTACTGCAGAGACATTGTCAGAAATTTATGAAGATGCTCGGAGCAAAAGTTACAATTTTCACCCCAAATTTAAATGAAATTAAAAAAGGAAATTCCAATTTTACTTACCCCTCAGGGGGCGAGAGCGAGCTAATTTTAGCTCTGATTAATTAACTCCAAGAAAATACCAACTTCTTTTTTTTTAATTTTTAAAATGTCATCAATCATTTAATTTTTAAAATATTTGTATGGTGAAAAGTTGAGCTACTGTTCTGATGTCTGGAGTTAAATGGTTTAAGATTTATGTCTTTCTACTTGTATTATTCTTTAATATTTAAACGTACATATAAATTGTGAAAAAATGAATTGTGATCATTTCGTAATTAAAAAGTACACGTTATTAGCAGATGTATTTCATTCTTTGTATTAAATGTATTCTTTTTATCTTCTTCCAAAAATCAGAGCAAGCCTTACTGCCATAACCAGTATTTGTCCCAGCAATTTAGTACCTAAACCCGTTTTTACAAAATTCGTGTTCACAGTTGTAGAAGCCGTAATTCCTCTTATATGCTGGGATATGCTAGTTTTACCTGTACGGTTGTCTCGACTACAATCTTGCCGTTCTGAAAACTTAAACGACTAAAATCTCGCCGTAATCTTGGCGAATCGTCGTTGTATGCGGTTACTTTGACTGCTAATCGCCGTACGCACTCAATGCTCTGTGCCGTGTTAACGTTGGGGCCCAAGAAAAAAAAACGGATATGAAATTTTTCGAAAAATAAAATTAAAAGAAGCATAAAAAGTGATGTATGATTAAACAATACGCAAAACAATGGCATAACGTAATGGTGTGTCGCGCATCCTTGGATAATTTATAAAATGGTATGTCACTCATTGAAGGAAGTTTAGTTTTTTTAAGAAAACGTATCTTTAATTTGTAGTATTTTTCAATGTAATTTGAAATATGTTATTCTTACGCATGCATGCATATCTTTAAATTTTTTGTTTGAATTATTTTAAATTGAAACACTAAGAAATACTTTCAAAATATTTTTTTAATGTAAATTGACAGGATCTTCTTTATATTTCTGCATCGAATTGGGGTGGGGGGTAAAAGTAAGAACAGGGGGAGCCCCCCCCCCAAGTAATTAACTTGAACGGTCACCAATGATGTTAACGGCGTGGCCTGCTGAGCTGAGCCCTTCCCGCATGGGTCGGCAGACATCTAAAGCTGGGAGCGCCCGAAAACCACAGACAACCAAACCATATCCAAAATTAAAACCCGAATTTTAGTCTTCGGGATTTTCCAAAATCGTGGGCGCTGCTAGTTTTAGTCTAAAGCAGTGGTAGCCTAAAAGGAATTCTATTGGTGATGTGACATGAAAAACCATAGATGTTTTAAAGCTGGTTTAGTAAACTCTTAACATAACATTTGTGGGCAACAAAATTTAATTTTAGTGACAGTGTTAAATTAATTTATAATGGAGATTTAACTGAAAACAAACTAAAATACTAACAAATACTCGACCTGAAACTGAGCGTCCACGGTAATCTCAAGAGATCAGAGCTTGCTGAGTTCGACGAAGAAGAATACGGGAAGACAAGGGAAGGTCTTAACGCCAACGGCGCGCTGTTCCTGAGCATTAAGGCCCATTCACAATACAAACGTAAACATAAGCATAGCGTATAGACATAAACATAAGTGATAGACTGAAGTATTCATAATGTCTAACATATACGTAAGCAAAATAACAGTTTCTATTGGCTGTGTGAGACATTCTGGTTTACTATTGGCTGTGAGAATCGATTTCAAGGTATCGACTGTATCCATGGCCCATATGGCATAGTTTTATCGACTTCGCTCCCATTTTGATTCTCGATATTAAATTACCGTTCTGTGATTGGTTCATTTCTTATATCTTACTTAAGCATAAGCACAGAAGCTTGCAAGCTTTTAAGTTAAGCACTTGTGTTATGCTTTTGCGAACGCATTGTGAATGAGTCCGCTTATGGACGTAGTCCTAACTTTTATGTTAACGCCATGCTTATGTTTGTTTGCATTGTGAATGGGCCTTTACTGCCTGCTATCGGACAATGTAAACTACCGCGCCAGTTTGATTTTGGTTCAGTCTCCTCCATAAGTCAAGCATACAAATTAAATTCTTAGGTGGTTCAGCGCAATGTGGAAAGAGATGGGCGCACCGATTTTTGCTCGTTCTGCGCAGCACCAATTTGCGTCACGAACCACGTGACCACAACATGGCCACTTCGTTTGAAAAGCCAGACTAGGCGTTTGCCACCTTGTAGCATAGAGAGCGAGACGTGTTGAGAAACACTTTGAAAGTGGCATGAAGAGACAATTTTCGACGGTGACCAACCAAAAATAACACGATGAAAGAGTAATTGAAATAAAATATGCCTCGTATATCTATTTTAATGACTTTGATACTTTTGGTATTTAAACTTTCCGCTAATATTGTGACGTAAACTGGTGCCTAAAGCTCATTGGCTGGATACTATGCGCAAGATCCAAGTCCTATATATAGAAGGGCTTGCGAGAGCCCACCCATATCTTTCCATCATGGCTCAGCGATTTAGAAAGCCCGTGTGTAGCACTCCGCCCTGGGCGTTTGTAGAGAGCGACTAAGCACTAGTTCGAATTAATTACTACAAAGAAAAATTGTTTGATGAAACGATATTTTATACGCCTATTTGTGGTGAAAATTATCTTTTCCTTCCTTTTCGTCGGTGGTGAGATAGCGCATTGGCTCTGCGGTACAAACCGCCACTGGCGTAAAGCTAGCTGCGCCCATCTGGAATATGCAACTCGCAACATAAGAAATTAACAAAAATGCGTCAAAATTAAAGTCTTTAAAAAAATGTTTCTGTACATTCTTTCAAAAACCACAGCTGTGCAAAGAAAAATATCATGCACACGAAAACTCAAAAACATGAAAAAAAAATAATGTGACCCTATCGGAAATTACGGGCTAAATTAGTCCCTTAGGGTGGAAAATACTTCGGTCTTGATATAACAAAATTCAAGGTTGTCGAATTAAAACAACGTACGGTTTTTATGGACTAATATTCACGAAAACTAAAAAAAACTTCTCTCTTTCTCTCCAAGACTTAATGCTATATTTACGTTCAATAAAAATGTTATTACAGCCTTTATATTCCACGGTTATAGAAAGTAAAACAGATTACACACGTTCGTTTGGGCTAATAGTATAAACGAAAAATAAAAAATGGCAGAAAAGTAGGACACACTATCCAGAATTTAAAACTAATTCTGGGCATTAGAAAAAAAAATATTCCGGTCCTTTTTATTTTCTCATATACGGAGTATTTTGCGTAGAATTGAGAAAGTTGTGTAACGCCGTGGCCAAAAACTGCGATTTCTCGACAAAAACTCATATTGTGGGGGTCCTGATTGAGAAAATTTGGATAAATCCTTTTCTAAAATGAAGTAAAGTACTCCTTCTTACACATTACGTAGTCAGTCTTCAGAAATTGTCAGTATATGATACCGAAAAAGTGTTTGCCTTTTTTGCAAAAACGACCGTTCTGTCTCTGCTGTTGTCGCTGTCTGTAGACCACTAGCGCCTTAACCACACGTAGGATTTTTTCCACTCTGAATAAACCACTGACGGTTTGCCTCGAAGCTCTGCGATTTTGAAAAACATTTCGTAATTTTTGGAGGTAGTACATGGCGGCCCAGGGACATTTTCAAAAAATTCTCTAAAATGGCACCAAATTATTTCTTTACATTGCTTGAATTATTTTAAAATACACTTATAAAGATGACATAGGCCTGATTTTCACGGTTAACTCTGAATTTTTTGTAATTGCAAATGTTTGATTTTTCGGCGTGTCCTACAACTACAAAATTGAAGAGATTTTTTCTTGAAGTACTATTTTTCCAAAGTTGGTTCTTCATTAAGTTTATGTTTATATTTTCTTTACATTGTAATTTTCGCGCAATATTAAAAAAAAAAAAAATCTCAAAAACATTTCCCAATATTTTCTTTAGATTTTTGATAGGGATAGTTCTAAACATACACTCTAAGGTGAAATAAACGCCATATTGCTCTATTCTTTTTGTTATTTCAAAAAATGTAATTTTTTGACTTCTCTCTCACTTTGTTAATATTTTCAGTAGTGTCAATTTGTTCCCATTATTGGATTCACGGGTATATGTTCATCAAATCATGTCTTATAAAGTTTCTTGAAAACCAATTTTTTTCTGTAAAAATGAGTTCAAAATTGTGTTTTTTCAGAAATATTCAAACATCATTTTCTCCAAAAACAGCACTGAATTCTTTTTCAAACATCTTGTAGACAGATAGATATGGTTGAAGATGACATTACACTCTTTTTGATGTATTATTTTGTTTTTTAAAAATCACACTAATGTAATTTTTAAAAAAATTCTCACTCCGTTAATACACACATTTCCCACCATTTTTATTATTATTGCATTTCTGAGTGGAATGACTAATTACTTCCAATAAAGTTTTTTGTGAAAAATAGCTTTAAATTTCACATTTACTGTGATGCTTAGATGCAGTTTTCTTAAAAACGGCACTTTCCTTGTAGGACGAGGTTTTACTTTTCTTTAATATTCTTAAAGGATTATTTCTGTTCTACCATTAGAAAACTGAAAAAAAAATGAGGGAGGAGTAATTTGGGTAGTGATAGATGGCAGCTGACAAAAGTATGTGGCAATACCGAAAAGCTAGCCCAAACCAAAGAAATTAGAAAACTTAACTAGTAGGAGAAAGTCTGCTATTCTGTAACATCACTAGTAACTTTCTCATATACAAAGTAACAATATACGTATTTAAAAAAAATATGTAATATTGCGGAAAGTTGATTTTGAAATTTCAATGGAAATGTTTTTAGTGTCTCCTGATACTGAATTTTTTTTTCTAAAAACGATTGTTTGTCTGAACCCCGCGAGAGCCTAAACCATATGTAGGATTTTTTCCTAAATGGATATTCCCTGATCAATCTAGCTCGACTTGAATTTGAGACTGAAAAACATGTTTTAAAATGTTGGAGGTACTTTACGTAAAGCTCCCGGAACCTTTTGATAATTTTCTCAAAAATGGCTCCTAATTTTTTGAAAGAATATTGTAAAATACATTTATAAAGATGGCATAGGTCTGTTTGTCATTGTTAACTCTGAATAAATTCAAGTTTGTTTATGGAGATTTTTCCTTCGAGTCTTCCTTTCCTTCGCCATAGATAGTTCTTTCGTTAAGGCCATGTACATATTTTTGAAAATTAGAAGTTTAATGCAATATTTAAAAAAATTATTGAATTATTGGAATCAATAAGGTTCCAAATTTTCTCTTTAAACATTTGGTACGAATAGTGCTAATTGTACTCTATAAGAAGACATTCTTATAGAGTCTATATTCTCTATAGTCTCTATTTTTTCGGTAAAAATGATACTTAAAAAATGTAATTTTTAAACAAAATATTCACACTAATAAAAATAATCATATGATTATACTTAAATCTGTAACTTCTCAATTTCCTGAGATTGATACTATACTGGACAGTGAGCACAATTGCAAATGAGCTTTAAATAATTTATATTGGGATTGGGATGATACTTCAGCAAAGGTAGAAATTGTAATTAAAGGCACACAATAAATTTTAAAAATAAAATCCATTTATTGTAGAGGTGAAACATTTCAATTAAAAGTTTTGAAGGAAACTAGTATTGTTAAGAAATGAAAATGAATTTTTAAAGTTTTTTTTTATTGAAAAATCAATATACTTCTTTTAGAAGTAAAGTACAATGCACAAAAAAACAAATGATGCGTAAAATAATGCTTTACATGAGCTTTAATATTGATCATACAATTCTTGTATCAAGTAGAGGCAAAAGATAATGTGAGAGTACAATTTGGAAATAATGATAGGAAATCGAAAATAAACAAGAGCAAATGAATTAGTCAGGAGTGTTAAAAGAAATCTTAATTACAGCCTGTACCTTATTGGAACCAGTAAGTTCTATTATCACCACAATTTTCAGTTTAAACTCCTTAGCTTTTTCTTTATTGGCGGTTACAAAATAAAATAATTGGGGAAAATGTATTTCCTTTACCACAACTTTACAACTGGAGAAGTATAAATTTTCTAGATAAACTGCACATAAATAAGACCTATGTTTAATCATCCTTCCATCTCTTCTACCTGTACATTTGTTGTGGCTAGGCAAGTGAAGTTCCATCTGAATATTTAAAAGAGCTCAATTATATCTGATCAAAATACTAAGAATAGTCTTGTATTAAGACAATTACGCCACAGAGATAAATTGTTGAAGTTTATCTACATTTTAGCTTAATATTTAAAAGTAAAAAAAATCAAAAACCATGAATATTATAGTACTGTATGGATGAATAAAGACCTGTCAAATCACAAAATTATTAAATTAAGAATTTAGCTGTTCCACAAAACAATGCATTATTAATATACCTATAGAATTCACTGTCAAACAATTGTGTTTAATCCAATTTCAGAGTATCATCAGCATTTCAACTTCGCTGTAGACTACTTATAGATTTTGTCTGTAGAGTTCACTTAAGAGTCAAGTTTCTCACATCACATTTTCTTCTCTTTTCAATCTGTTGTTGTTAAAAGTATACAATGTATGTGCTTCACTTTAATGCACAATATACATTTTGCACACAGAACGCACGAGTAACTTAACAGGAGATGGGTTAAAACAAAATTAAGATGGAATGTGTACTAATATTCCTTAAGACTTCACAGTACAGTGGATTCTTGTATGCAAGAATGCTTTTATTTCCCTATTAATTGAAACACAAACTTGTATCGGTATAAATCTCTATTGGTAACAGATGTTACCAAACTACTAATTTAATCTAATACAACTACTTTCAAGCACATCAGGATTTTAAGCATTTCAGAACAATTAGGAAAACTGTTGCACTTCCTCTGGTTTTTATTGTAGTTACAGTTGTTTTATGAGCACATACATTGTGCATTTTAAATAACATGCTCCTAAATTCTGAAGCTTCATCACAGAATTTTCAGCTAGGCTCATTCACACACACACAAATTTGCGGTTATTTTTAATTTTGTTTCATCTTCACAGTATAAATTTTTAATTATTAACTTCAAACAAGGAAATGAAGACTCCTGTTTTGATCTTATCTTTCCTTACTATTCAAAACTAAAATGTTAAATTTGCAAAAACTAAACATAATTAAATGAACGAGACAATAAATACGGCAGTACTGTTACTTAACTTCCAATCACTAAGGAAACCATTTGTCAAGTCACTCTCCCTCAAATAAAAGCTGCATAATAATGCAGAGAATAATATCACTTTTATCACTATCTTTGGAATATTATCCTAACAAGTACTTTTCAGATGTTAATGATGCCTTGCATTATTGTTGTCCTCCTTCATCCAAAGCTTCATCTCGACTTTCCTGGAAATTTAGCCACGACTGTTCTACAATTGTTGATACTCTCTTCTCATACTCCCTCTTGTTTTCCTGGTACAGTTGAGCAGCAAGAGAATTTGCTGGAGAGTTGGGGTTTGGCTCATCTAACAAAGACTAGCAAGAAAATTTGTATTAGAAACATGTTAATTAATATTCAATTAAATTATTAACTAATGTTCCAAGGATTCATGGGGCTTGGTCAGATGAGAATGCTTTTCATATGCAAACACCACTTTGTATATACTGCTTATTCATAACAATCAGCAGACATTTATGAATCCTTCAGATACAGGTGTATACTTTTCTTTTAAATATTAAAACCCAATTCCTGAATTCCCAATAATTAACTATCAATTTGCCCTACCATTTCTCACTATAGAATTATTAGCCAACATAACTCAGCATGATAGGTGGCAAAAAAAAAAAAAAAAAAATCTGCTCTCCAACCAGATAATGGATTTTGTGAAGTGGCAAAAGGTTAAAGGACATGCAATTGAAAAGAAAAAAAAAAGAAGAAAAAAAAATTTTAATATTCACATCACAGGTAACCCAGCCTATTTTCTTGAGAATATTCTTTTCTCTGTGCACATGAAGAGTGAAACAACAATCCTAGGATCATATCCATCGATTTATTTAGTGACAAGAATGTACAGATATGCTGCTTGGATATATTTTATGGACCCCAAAAAACCTCGAGAAAATTGTGAAGAGAAAAAGCTTTAACAAAACAAGTCTTCCTGATGACTCAAGCAAAGAAAGAGATATGATACGTACAATGTATATCTTCAGAATATCACATAACAATTCTTGGGTGCTTCATTTATACATCAAGTGGATTAAATAAAATGGTTATCTCAGAAACAATGGACAGTTCAGAAATGACATCCAAAGATCTTGCTTTGTTTTCTCAGCATTCCACTATGCTATAAGTTCATTGCAGGATCAACTGTCAGACTCTTTCACATTACACATCTACAGTATCTTATTACCTTCAAGTGAATTACACATACGTTAAAACAGTAATTCCATACCTATTTGTAAACTCTGGACCAAAAATCAATTAACCAATCCACCAAATGGCAGCTTATCTTTTAAATCACTATAACACCAGGTGTCTCATGACAGTCAAATAAAAAAAGCATAAATATTTACTATGGCAGGGAGTCACACACAATTCTACAGAATTGTTTGCATTTGTAGCACATAAGTAACATAAGTTGTAAACACTAATAAAACAGCCACACTAGGTCACTCCTCAAAACATATTCATGTATGTTGAATTGTTAATTGGCAATTCATTGAGGCTTTATTTAGTTTCAAGTTTTTTTTTTAATTTCAATTTCCACACAAGGAAAACAGACTTCACTAGTCTACAAAGCTTTGCTCCACACAAGCTTTCACCCTCTTCTCGTATTCTCTTCGATTTTCTTTGTACAGTTGAGCTGCCATTGAATTTGCTGGGGAGTTGGGATTTGGATCACTTAAAAGTGACTGAAAGGGAAAACATTGCGTTAGTTGACTTGTGTATTGTATGTGACGATAAATATTATTCAACCATGAAACGTCCATTCGTTAAGTTCTTCCACCATCCCTTTAAGCATGATCATTATAGCATTCCCTCTTTTTATAAGTAAGAGAACTCACTGTGAAATCAGTTCATGCAGAGTAGTTTTTACAAAACCCATTATATAACTACAAATCATCATTCATGCAAAATTAAACTCATATATAAACATACTTGACACACTCACTAACAGGCAAATCTTGACAAATTTTTTAATATTTCATGTAATTTAACTATCAAAAGTATTAGGAATCTGAAATAATTGATCCTTACACTGACACTTAAAGACAGCACAGAATGAACTTTAAGAAACAGATAATTGAAAGTAAACTAAATTCAGTAAACCCTCATTAGCACAAACACCCTTAACACAAAATTCTCTGAAATGAACACAATATGGGTGCCAGCAAGGAAACAGTTACGTGGATATTATGTAATAATCAGATAACATGAAAACATTATTTTAGCCTCTTGAGATTTGTGTTAATGAGGAAATACTGTTTGCTCAAGAGATGAATGTTAGTTTACCCCTTGTTGACCAGTTTTACTATTTCGGACAACACAACATTAACACTATTTTAGGCATTTCTGCTCTCAAATTTCTCTGCACTGTTTTAAGTACATTATTCTATGAAATGCACTTCATATGTTGCACAAATTGCTAAATCTTCATGTAATATTGAAATATATCAAAGAAGAATTGAGTAAATACCATGCGACTGCTATGACACTACACAGAGTGTGATTACTGATGAAATGTAAATATATATATTTGTTATAATAAAATAAATTACTAATATTAAAATAAAAAGCTAAATCTTCAGTTAAGAAAGGCCATTCCACTTCATGGCACAGGGTGCTTTTTCTCTGTACATGATCCTCTTTACTTTAAAGGTACACCGCATAGTGGACACTTAAAAAGAACCTTCCTTAAGCAACCAATTTTTATTCTTGGTTACAAAATTCAAACTCTCAAATGAGTAGGTGATAACCACTCATTTGTATAAGGGAGGTTGTCTGCTCCCTTTCCTCACTTGGCCTCGTTATTACACAGCACTTACTTTTACAGTAGAAAACCATGCCAATGATTTGACAAAATATTGTGTTCTAAATACATGACATTCGAAGAAAGAAAAAAATTATCTTTTACGCACAAAGTCAAATTGGACTCTGGACAAAAGAAAAAAGTCACTGTGCTCCACTACATAAGGGCTGAACCAACTTTACTTTTTGGAACATTTCTGTTTATTGAAGTGAGCACTCACTCTGGATTCATGAAAAACATCTATGAAATTTATGAGTTATTTTTCTCCACCAATTAGAATTTTAGGTCATTACTACTGGTGTTAGAATTTCCTTATTTTTTAAATGCTGATTATGAATTTGACCCCCAAGTGCACGAAGGGACAACAAAACGACTTTACTGGAAATTGCAAAATTCAAGCAAACTTTTATGCCAAAATTATTTTACGATCCAGACACTCACTGTCCTGTGAACCATATGTGGTTCACAAAATGTAACACCCAATGGTTTTAATAACTCAACCACATGTGGGTCACAAACATTTACAACTTCAATAGTAAATATTTCTACGATTCTGATTTAGACTTGCTAGTTATAGAATTTTGAAATAGAAAAATATTTTAATATTTGAAAAAATTATACTAAAACTATTATTATAAAGTCGTTTGGATGTGTGGATATATTTTGATGTTTTTATAGGGACAGGGAACATGTGAACACTTCAATAGGCATTATAGAGTTGGTGATAAGACTTTTGACCTCCTTGATACGCGCAAAACAACCTTCAGTCTGCTCTAAAGAAAAAAAAAAATTTAAGCAATTTTTTAATGCCAAATGTATATTTAGGAATGTTCTCATCCTCTTCACCCTTGTGCATCATCAAGCGGAATGGCCCTTCTAAACAAAGATCAACCAATAAATTTAATTTTGGTTCAGCAAACTGTGCATTTATAATATTAAAATCTGATCAGTGAGAGCCCCATTAATCCTTGGGTTTAATCACCTTAAAAGTTCAATGCAGCCTCCTACCTGAATGGATGTCAATATAGCAGATACATCATATGTTGGACTCCACCTATTTTGTAAAATATCTAGACATATGCCACCATCAGCATACACATTAGGATGGAACATCTTTGACACAAATCTTACTGTAGGTGGCTTGTTAGGATATTCCTCTGTGAATTCTATAGTTAATTTAAAAGTTCCATCTTCAAAAGGTGTATCATGAGGACTGAAATAATAATTTTTTAAAAATAATTAGGAAAACATTTACTCAAAATAAAATGTAGGTAAATGAAACATTTCAAAAAAAATTCTTTTTCTGGAACACTTTTTTCAACAAGTCAATAACTAATTCCTCTATGTTGTCATATGAAAGTAAAATGCTCACCCAAATATCACAGCATTCCATATCATAATATTGTTATCAGTTGGGGCCCCACTCACTCCAGTAGGTGGATCTTCTTGAAGTCTGAAAATGTAAACCATTATAATTAAGTGCTTTATCTTCCAATTGAATAATAACATTCAATGAAATACTGATATTTGTAGGGTGAGCTGGGACACAAAAGAAGTAGTTTTCTTGTATATAATAGGTCAATTAAACAAATGTTAAATTAAATAGAAAATAAAATAACAAAACAAAAGTAAAACATTCAATTTCTGAACGTCACAAGTAATAAACAGCAATAACCAAATATATCACAATGAAGTAGGAAATATACAAGGTCACCAACACTGAAAGAGAAACTCATAGTGATCCTACACAATGCCAGCTGCTAAATTATACACTGTTAACATTGTTACTTTAGTATATACTGAACATTGTTCTGTAGTGCAACTTCAATTTTTTGACAAGTAAACACAGTTTTCTTCGAATTATCAATATGGGAAATTTCTAGGTTAACAACCTATGCACCAGATAATTTTGTGAACAAGTGTTTCTAACAAAGATTTCGATTGCGAAAAAATACACACAAAGAATAACACTGCCCACAATATTATCATAAAAATACTACATCAAGCGGAAACTAGAAAGTGGAACTAAACAAAGAGCATTTTGATTCAGGTCATTCGTATTTTCTCACCTCTTAAAGTCTCTCATGAGACGTCTTCTTGCTGGTGTGGACATCGTTCATACGCTGCGTTTCTAGCAAAACTCTAAAAAATAGGCCTATCTAATGAGCTGATTGAGAACGTGTTCCGTAACAACTGGAATAAACTCACAAAATAACACGTTCAGTTTTCCATTATTCCAGAAATAACACTTTGAGTTCTGACGTTACACAAGGCGTATTTTAACTAGTCAATTGCAGGGTTGCCAGGTAGTCGAATGAAAATCACCACTAGAGTTCTCTGGAATAGTTTCCTTCATCACTGTCTCGTCGTACCGTCACATGCGGTATCCGTATGCTAAACTTAAATGCCTTTTCAATAAAACGTATTAAAAGTTCAGACGTGATGAAGTGTTGTAATAATTTCATTTAAATTGTGTTTCGCCAAGGTTATTGTACATTCTAGTTGATGCCTGCTTTTTTCTTGCGCTGCTGAAGGCCCCGTAAGAAGATTGGATACACCACTTTCGTAAACGTCACTAAGGTCTTGTATTTTTCTGTTTAAAGGAAATCAAAGAAGAATTTTCAAACTGTACTGTTATAGAATTATGATATTTTGATGTTTTTCTACAGTGTCATGTTGATGTAACTTGAGTGACAATATTTTCATGGAATAAAGGACGCATTGTGATTAACAAAGCCGTAGGATTTTAAAATAGGTTTCTTTAATTCTCAAAACACTTAAAAGGTGTGTAGAAATTTAAACTATTTTCCTTTACTTGTGAATGAAGCCAGAAAGAATTTCATAGGCTTCGATTTGCCATCTTACCGAATTTATTTCGTTCGAAATATCGATTGGCATGGAAGACTGCTCCTGAGAGATATTTTATCTGTATATGCCCTTTGTTATTTATATTGTCAGCTGAGCATTTCGCTGTCACGATGTGACATTTCATGCTTAAAATACACTAAAATACTGGATTTATTTTTTTTTAAACCGCTGTGTATTAGAAATACATATTATTGACGTGAGGTGCTGTTATGTTGGAAATTTCCTCTCATCCGATGTTGAATGCTTTTTCTTCGTTTTAACCGAGTAGCTATTACATATATTATTTCGTTTACAATGGCAAATTTAGAAATAATGAAAAATTAAACACCATCATTGCAGATAACTCTTATCATTTTTTATCATGTAATGATTCATGCTTCTTATCAGCCTTACATGAAATCTGGCTGTGAAAAGTGTTTCATACTTATTTACCTTAAAAACATTCGCTTTTATTATGAAGCCACAGGCTTTTTTGTATGTAAAATTTCAGAGTAATTTTTTAAGCATTAATAAGGTGGCATTACTTTATTCTTGAAGTGCCAAGTCCTTGAGAAGATGGACTCATAGATAACATTATTTTTATTATAAGCTAGAAATAAATTAACTCAACTTTTTATAGTTTTGTTTTTGCATTAATTTTCAACCTTGAAGCAAAAAGAGAAATAAAAGCGATTATTTACTATCAATTACAGCCTTTGAAATTTTAGCTGTTTCTTTATGTATTGTAACAGCCAGTTTTTATGATCCACAATTGATACACTTTTGACAATACTTATAGTTGACATGAATTTTTATTACAGTATAATGGCATCAAGTTCTGTGAGTCAAGAAGATTTGGAAAATGATTTTGAACTTTCTTCTCGTCGATCACGAATTCGAACTGCTCGAGCTCGTACTGTTAATCCACCAACAAGGCTTGGTATGTTGAGTAATATGTTTTTAGAAAAAGGCTTGGATGAATATATAGACCATAAATTCTTTATTTCTGTTACAGATGATAAATAAGATATTCCCAAGCAAAATCTCAATAAGTGTTGAACGTTTCTGAATATAAGTATGGTTTAAATTTATGTTACATGTTAAGTTCAGTATTCATAGGTTTTTCAGGACAAAATTGTATTATTTGAATTCAGTTTCCTGCATTGAAACTAAGAAGAGCTAGACACACTTATTATAAATTTTAGGCAAGACAAAACAATCAAAGTTAATGGACATGTTATGTATGAATTTGGTTAATTGTTAAAAGGCGCTATATAGTTTCAATAAGTCTTCAGAGGTTAAACTTGAGGTGTTATTACTTGTGTTAATGCATTTTCAATAAGTAGGAGAATGTGAAGTATGTTGATTTTAGTAATTGTTGTTTATCTCTTAACTCTTCACTACTTAAGGTTGATAAATATAGCCTTTCTCTGTTGCTAGTATTGCAGTTTTTGAGATTATTAAACATTTTACATTCTCCCAATATTTCTAGATCCAGGAGGTGGAGATGCTGATGACACTGGATCAAGTGAAATAAAACAGTCTGAATCTCTAAACATAAGCAGCAATTTTCCTGCGGAACATGATGCTAGTCCCAAGCCTCTTAGCCGTGCCAAGGAGAAGCGAGTCAACAGGTGTGTTTCTGTCAGACAACCTCTCAGTGATCATATCAGCAGGTAGGTCATGTCGGGCTACTTGTATAAAGGCATGCATTGTCTGGGAAGACACAACTTCCATATAATTTTAAAGTATCACTTTGGAGGTGAATGTGCAACCGGCAACTTTGTTTAGTCAGTAGTTTGATCAAAGTAGTCTTCGAAAATAAATCATGATATTGTAATTGGTAAATCATGTTTCAGAACGAATCATATGAATAAGGGAAAACAGCAGCAGCGGGATCGTAGGAAACTTCGAGAGAAAAGGAGAAGTACAGGAGTGGTCCATTTACCCTCGACAGAGGTATTGAGTGTTATAAATTTGAGCATGTTTTTTTATTTATAATATACTCTTAGGTCAATAATCTGAAAGAACTTAAACCACCTTACTCAGTTTTGTTGACCTAATTGCTTAATCAAACGTAGCCTTTCTTCATATTCTAAGAGAAGAAAATTGAAATTGTTTTTTTGTACCCTCCTAAACTTTAAGGTGGTTTTTAGACCGTACTAAATCCACAAATAGCCTTATTATTAGATAAGTATGATAGCCACGAATAACCAACTTATGAACCAATTATCACTCCGACCAACACATCTGATATTGTTTTTTTTTGGTCACTCAAAATGTGATTGAGAGGCTTGTTATTTGGTTCTACAATTATGCTAATTAAGAGTTACCTATCAGCATGTGGGAGACAGATTTGTTGACAAGTGTTAAGTGCAAATGAAAAATATAACCTTAAAATATAATTTGTGGCCAGACTTCTGAGCTAATTGTGATTTTGTAATGGTAATTTTCACAGTTTGTTCACGGTTTAAACTGTTGATAACTATGTACATAAAAAAAAAGTTTATTAAATTTATTTACAGTAATACCATTTCTGCCCGAATATAAGTTGACCATGAATATACTACCAAAGACGATCCAGTAATTTTGAAGAGACTTCTGAAGAGGATTTTTAAATTTTTAACTAATTATTGCTATTTAGTCAAAACAAATTGTCTAATCGACTGGAAAATGAATTGTGGATGAGAATGTTGTAACTTATTTTTAAGCTAAGACTATTTCCTTGTTCTTTAAAATCATCATAATCTTAGTTTTTGTCACTTCACATCTATCAGTATTTCTCTTAGGTCCTTGTCCTAAAATGCAATGTCTCTTCTGATTTTTTATGTCCCCCCTGAAAGTTTTGCACAATGATTTTGCGTACTTAGTCTTTAAAATGATGACCAAGAACATTTCTTTCTGTGTTACCAGATTTTCTTCCTATCCCACTCTTATTCGTGGCCTTGGATTCTTTAAGAGATTTTCACTTTCTTCAACACGTTGAAATTCAGGTCATTTAATATTCATATGATCAAGTTGTGAACTGCAGACTTATACATCCTTGTTGCTCCGCTTTGTAGATAACTTTGGTGATAGCGGCAAGCTCCGGCGTTAGGAAAGCTTTTGCTTAGAAAATACTTGTTCTCATCTTTTCTGAGGTTGGTTGTAGAATGCGTATGTAATTCTATGAATGTGAATGGAGGTATTCAGTATTAAAATTGAATTATTATGACAGATTTAGGATAAAACCCCAGTGTATCACTTACCAAAACCAGGATGAATGACACAAATTGAAGCAATGTTACAAAAGAATATCTGATCTATCTTCTTGAACTAGTGGGTCCAAGGAGCACTGTTTGTAGCATGATTCTTGTTTTGGCCTGCATAATTGTAAAAGAAAATAGGCATTTTCAGTTATTTCATCTTTGGCAGACAAAAGGTAAGCATACACAAACAAGCATACTTCATTAGGGCTCTTTCTGACTTTGTGGTAAATGTACATGTGAGATGATTTCTTTTTTATATTGCAAAATAAATTAACACAGGAGTAATAGCAAGTTGAATGCTCTGAATGTAATTAAACAGTATATCAAGGAAGTGATTTTTGTCCTTTGTAGCTCAGAGATATTTTTAGTTTCTGATTTGAGTTTATTATTTTTTAATTTTGTTTTATATATCATTAATTCAGCAGGCTGAAGTCTAGTATACGGTACCACTTATGGAAGTCGTTTAAACTGTCACTTCGAACTACACCGCCAGTAACTGTGCAGTTTGAATTGTGGAGGCTTTCTTGAAAAGTGCTTTTTTATAAAAGTGAATTGGTAATTATGTGGTGGGTAGACTCTAGGATGTATATAGTGAATGCGAGGGCTGAAGGCCCGAGCCTCGCCATAACTTGGATTTGTGCAAGCGAAGTGAGAAAACTTATTTTTGAAAGTAAATTTGCATTACAATGTGGCTGGGACAAATCGTATGAAGGGTGAGCCATGAAAATCTCCTATCTGTAAGTTTTATTCATTTCTATCAGTGTGTGTAGCGTAATTTGACAGAGGGCTTAAGGAGACGACATCCTCTCTCTGTTCCCCGCCACTACGTTTCTCTGAAAGTGTACCGTGTACCCTACTTTAACTATTCAGTAACATTATTTATCTTTACCACTGATCTCATGGGTGCACTTCTCTTCTTTTCTCTCAGTTTTTTGCAGATACAGCAGCAATCAATTTGTGGTCTGCCGAATCTATAGTTAGAATTATTTTTAAAAGAAACTGGCCAAAAAACAAAGCTTGTAGCAACACTGTAAATTAGCATTTTTTCCCCCCAGAAACGTTTGAAACATCTTTGTTACATTTCATTAATAATCAAAGTACTTCCCTCCAATTTGTCTCTCCCTGAGGAGAGTCAAACATACACAAAGATGATATATATTATAAACAAGGTTAATTATTTATCATAAAATGCTTTTAAGAAAATTGAAATATTAATTTTAATATTTAATGTATACTTTATGGTTTTAAATGAAACTAGTCGTTCTTCAGAATGTCACAGGTTTTCTCGTACTAGTTAATTTCCTAATTTGTTTGTCTGGGATAGCTTCTGAATTGTGTTCCATCCTCTTTCCAGCTGCCATCTATCGCCGCCCAATCATCATTTTTTTAACATTTGCTTAATTTTTCCTAATGAGATAAACAAAAACTTACTTCAAGAAAACAGTAAAACCTTGTCCTACATGAAAATTTTCGTTGAAAAATTTGGAGCCATTTTTATGAAAATGTCATTTAAGCGGTATTGGAAATGCAAAATTTGAAGGTTTTTTTTTTTTTCCAACAAAAATCTTTTGATTTTTCGAAAAACCTTTACTGGAAGTCATTTCAAGTGCTTCCACTCACAAATGGAATAATGTATACAAATTGCTGAAAATGCATATTAAAGGCGTTACACATATTTTTAAAAAAAACAAAACAGAATACAGCAAAATTACTGATATATTACTATAAACAGTACAATTAGCTCTATCTGTACAAAAAGTGTGAAGAAACAATTTGTAGCCGTTTTAAAAAAATGGCATTTGAGCTTTTCTGAAAATGCGGAATTTTGAGGTAGTTCTCGCAGAAAACTTTTCAGTTTTCAAGAAACTTTATGTGAAATTTAAAGCACATTTTCTTGTAAAGCAATAACCTGCAAATTACTGCTAATGTAAATAGTATTGGCGTTAGAGACAATCAAAAATATTTAAATTTTTGTAATTTTTTAAAAAACAAAAGAATATTTCAATTTGACATTTATGTCATCTCATAGTGTAGATTTAGCACTATTCCTAAAAAAAGTTTAAAGAAAAAATTTGAAGCCATTTTTAAAAAAATCTTGTTTGTTATTTTTTTTAAATTGCACATATTGCTCGTAATATTGCATGAAAATTTTCTACTAAAATGCTAAAATGTTCAAAAAATGTACATGACCTTAATGAAAGAACTAATTATGGAGAACAAATTTTATATGCAGGAAAAACCTCTATCTTCAATTTTGCAGTTGTAGGAAGATGTCGAAAAAATTTCAAACTTGAATCAAAAATTCAGACTTAATAGTGAGAATCGCTCCTATGTCACCTTTATCAATCTATTCTTACAAGAAATTAAAAGAAAAAGTTTGGGGCCATTTTTGAGAAAATTTTGAAAATGTCCCTGGGGGCTTCTTGTAAAATACCCCTAAAAATTAATGAAAGTTTTTCAAAATCGCAGACCTTGGACTTGTGCCAGATCAGCAGGTTTACTTCAATTTCAGAAAAAATTAATGCATGGTTAGGCACTAGTGTTGTTCACATGCACCAGACAAGCAGACGTTTTGCCATCAATCAATTTTTCACTACCAAGGACACACAAAACATGGATTCTGGCTACAGCACGGGTTCAAGGATTTTTTCTTAATTTAGCGATAGGATGTATCCATATTTTTGTTAAAAGGGCCCTGCAAAAAGAGTTGTTCTATCAGAAATTTGCCTTCTTCTCCTGCAGCATTATGTACCGGGACCTGATTTCGTTGGTGCAGTAAGTTGAGAATTTGTTGTATTACATGCCTTCATATCATGCTTAGTTATTGATGAAACAAGAGTTGACAACAGTTATGTCTCCAGGGGAGACCTGACAAGCTGCACCACACAAAAGGGGTAAAGATTTTTGGAGCATTTGTTGGAGTTTGCTGCATGGTCTCCTTCACAGTTCACTCTGTGCAGTGATGTATCGAATGGTTCTGCTTCATGGTCTGATCTGCCGCACTTTACACACGTTGGGGTTTCTAACATGCACCATTGTTGCATATGACTGAACATTAACTATTGCGTTAACTATTGCATTGTTAACAGCGCAAACAGTTAGGCACATACTGCTGCATCAGAAGATTGCAGAAACCTCAAAATCTCGAAAATATTTTCCTTTCTGGGAGGGATGGATGGAACATTAGACATATGATCAGAGAAGGAGTGTGGATCTCTTTCCCACGCTTCTTCCTCTTGAGTCTGAACAGCTCAGTGACACCACAACATTTAAAGAAAGAAGTTTCTCCTCAAATTCAGATTGGAACTCTTCATGGTTGATCACCATTCACTCTTTCAAACGTTAAGGGTAGAGTTAGTGGTTGGTAATTAGCTTAGTTTTGAAGATTTTAGTGAAGGAATTCACAGACTGAGGACAATGAAGTGGTCTTATCTTTCTGCACAATCATTGTGAGACTATCTTTAGGTAACCAAAGTCAACATCTTTTAAGCAATTAACATGAAAATCCATAAAACTCTTCACAAAAATATTTCAATGGTATAAAGCAGTTGAATAAAAAATTCAGAAATTGAATTGAAAACAAAACAAAAGCATAAAAATTGCTTATAAAAGAATTGTTCATTGTTTTATTGTGCTACACAGTAAACTATGGATCTTTGGGTAGTGTTTATTATTTAGCGATTTGATTATAGATTTTGAGTTTTGTTTTCGTCTCTGAAATGAGACAGTGGATGACTAGGAATCCTATTCAGTGTACCCATGTTTATAGGCTTTAATATTAATTGCATGAATTAAGAAAAATTAACCATTCTGCCAACGCTTTGTTGCCGTTTTTGACTTAACTTTACTATCATGGGAAATACTGGAAAAAAACTTCAGAAACTTAATTTATTATAATATATTATACAATAACAATGGCCGATCCGGTGGCTGAGATCGCTAAGGCAGTAGTGCCGTAGCGATCTCGTACCGAAAGATCGCGGGTTCGAGTCCCGCCTCAGGCATGGTTGTTCTTTGTGTTCGTCTTTCACCCCCATCATCATCATCATCATCCATCTCTCATTATTCACCTTTTTCGAATAACATTAGAATTGTAACTCGAGATTTATCCTCACCGCTGCAAGGTAAAAACTGTTCGACAGCGACCAAAGTGAAGTGGAACACCCAAGTGGTCCCAATGATGGCCATCAAGTCTAATAATAATAATAATAATAATAATAATAATAATAATAATAACAATAATAATAATAATAATAATAATACAATAACAATAACAATAAGCGCTTCTTGACATAAATTCCAAGACTGAAGTATTTGGTGTTCGTGTTATATATGTATGTGTACTAGTGTACTCAGTGATTTACACTTCACATGCTTCTGGTACTGATTGTTAATCACGTTTTACTCTAGGTCCTGTAAAAATTCTAATAGATGAAATTTTTCTCATGAGTATGTGTTTGTTTTTATGCCCTGGTTTGAACATGCTTGTCAAGTATCTGAGTGTTAAAACGTTCTTCCTCAAGTTTGGGTATGCATTCGCTATGTCACTGTCTTAAAGAACTCTGATTTACTTGTCTGAGATAACATTCCAATATTTCGCAATCATTACAGGGCCAGAGAATGTAATATTTAATACTTGACGGTGCTGCGGATGATGTAGAGCTTCAGTTCAGGGTTGCTTGGGATATCACAAACACACAAATCATCATCAAAAGCACCCTCACATGTCCAATTTAATTCAAGCCACCCTTTAAACATTCCAGATACTAATACGAAGTGAGAAAATTTTAGCCAAATTGGTTGAATGTTTTTGTGTCTATGTGTGACAAACATATGCACAGTCCCTTTTATTCATATTAATAAGTGAAAAAATGTTTTGTGTTGTTCTGCCACAGCATGTATTAAAATTCATTTCTTTTCTACTGTTCATAATCTGTTTGTAAAAAGCTCTCTTGACTTACATTTATTTCAGTCTACTGGAGGTAGCACTGGTGAAGATGAAGATGAAGTACAGTCTATGACTGCTGAAACTCGGCGAAACACACAGCATAATGAACTTCTAGACCGTGAACCCGTTGAAGTGAGTGTTTTGTAATATCATTACATATAACTGATAAAAAGTCCATAGGCTACTTGATAGTTAATTAGACAATATTTTAAACAATGTAGGTTAATACCTGTATTCATTTTTCAGGAGAGAGTTTCTCATAAAACAACATACCCTCAGAGGAGGAATAAAAGGTATGTTAAAACACTTGTTATTCACTAGTATATTCTGATGAAATTTTTATGTTGTAAATCCTTGAATTCAATTATGAATACTTATATTAATGTGACACTTAATGCTTAAATTTATATTTAGATACTTATTTAATACCGGTAACAATGTGTACTATTAGGGCCATGGTGGGAAAAATGCATGTGCTGAAGAGAAGCAAGGCAATTGACTATCTCATCATTTGTTTGGACCAAGGGAAACTGAATGCCCAAAAGATATGGAAAATAATCTAAGAGAGTTTAGAAAAATTTCATGATGTCATGGTAGGAAATAGAAAGGAATGTTTGCCCTATTCAATGAACAATTTGTCTGAGGATTTAATTTTAAGTATCTGTGTTTCATAAGGGTTCTGGCTTAATTGAGATTGTTTACATTTCCTTAGCTTCATGTAGTATGGGGAAAAGTATTGGAATTGATCAAAAACTTTGGGGTTGAGATGTCAATTGTAAAATCCATTGTGACAGTACATGAAAAGAAAAAAATATACTATGATGTCTCTATGGGGATTGTGTCATGCTCACAAATGTATTGAACTTGTATCTTGGTACAAGCAATAGTAAGGTCCAAAAGTGGTGAGTATTGTTGCTGATGGCATGTAGAAACAAGCAGTTTTGATGAACAAAAGTGCCTAAAAATCATAAAAATTGCCTCTAACTCCTAAAGTTTTTAGAGTTTGGACAATGGGAAATACCAGTCCCACTGTCCGCAGTTCCCACTATACATAGTCCTTGATCCATAATGAGACAATTTGTGAGGAAATATGTGATCTTTTAAATGAAAGATTTAAAAATAGTAAAATACTTCAGTTTTACCTAACTTAATGGTAACGAGGACAATGGGATCAACTGGGACCTATGAGGAATAGTTTTGTTGTATCATGTATTGGATCTTTTTCTCTGGACTTGTCTGTGAGAGTTGATGTTTTCTGTGAAAACTGTTGTTCTCAAGAATAAAAATGTATTTTCATTCAATAAAGATATCTATAATTTTAAAACATGGCAGTAACATATTCATCAGTTTCAACAGCATTTTATACCACATTAGGAATGATATTAAAGAATTAAAATCATTTCACGAGTTTAGAAATGAAGTAAATTTGTACTTTTCCTCTCTGGACTATAGTACAGGTATAGAAGAGTATATCACCCCAACAATATAATATCAAATACCGTTAGTAAAATCTATGTTTAAGGTTTTGTCCAGCTGTAACTTCACACTCACTTCAGAATTAAGTTGTATTAGTGCTGATCCAAAGATGGTTAACTCTTCAGTGGATTGTGGATTAACCAATCATAAGTATGATGATCACATTTTCAAAAAACAAAACAAACCAAAAAAAACAAACATGTTGGTGATAATCACTGATATTTCGAAAAAGTTCAATTTTTTCTGTGTCTTTCTACAACTGTAATAATGAAGATACAGATTTTTTTCTTAAAGAAATCTGTTCAATAAAGACAGATCTTCAACTAAGTTCATGTTCAATTTTTTGAGAATATGAGTAGTTTTCATATAATTTTGTACAAAATATTGGCAGTTAAAAAAGCAAAAATTTAACAACTTTTTTCTGAAAAAACTCAAATTTTTTCTTTTAATTTTCTCCTCATATGTAACAAGGGACAGTAAAAAAAATATGATGCTAGTCCCAGTTTTGAAAATTCCAAAATGTTAACATTTCAAAACTACAATATTGAAAATAGAGATTTTTACCTCAGAGGAAGTCTGTTGTAAAAAATCAGCTCTTTAAAAAGTATATTGTACAGTTTTTTGGCAAAACACGTAGTTTTTCACATAATTTGCTCTTGAAATTTAAGCAAGTTCTGAGAAAATAATTTTCTCAAAAAATGCTCAAAATTTTGTCTTTATTTTTTTCTTACTCATAGTAGAAGAGAGGCTTAAAAGAATGGTGTTGACCATATTTTTGTTGATCTATCTTAATTTTCAAAAAGGGTAATTTCACAAACCATTTGAGAAAAATGTGTTGTTAGTTTTGCTAGTTTGAAGTGAAGTACATTGATGGTGCTAAAGCCCGTCCTTTTATTGTCCAAATTTGCTCTTTCAATTTCGATTTTGATTCAATCATGCGATGAGTTTAATCATATTTTTAGTAGGATATAGTTACAATTAAATTGCATAATAAATTGAAAAATGAAGTATTAAAAGTTATTTCAAAAATTTGTTTTGGTTTAAGAAGGGTAGGAAAATGTTTTAATAACTATTCATTCTCAGAAAAGCTTCTACATGTAAACGCAAATGAAAAATACAAGAAATATTCAGAAAATTACAGTGATTAACAATTTTGTTAGATTTTGTATGAACATTATTCAAAAATTGAACAGTTAGACTTTTGAATATTGATAAACTTTACCTTTACATGTTCATATAATTTTAATCGAAATTTGTGTATGTTACTATATAATATAACGTATTTTGTACAAAGTATTGTTTGCTATTTTGATGCATTAAATAAAAAACAACCAAAAACAATTAAAATGTGTGGCATATGTGGCATATTAATATTTTTGAATTATTTTCTTACAAGTAAGATTCTATGCTTTGTCAAAATATATGTCTTTAAGTTATCATTTTTAATACCTTTTAGCTTATTTTTAATGAAAATTTATTTGCATTTCAAGAAATTTTGTCAGAAGTTTTAAATAATATCTAGATGGATTTTTAGAGGGAAATTGAATCAGTATGGCTGTGATTGCACCTGACAATACTGTTTATTATTTTATTGTGAGCTGATTTTTTAAAGTCCATTAATAGATGAGGTGTCAGAGAGCGAAAAATATTCTCAAGAGGAAAAATGGAAAATGTTTATAAAACATACATGTTATTCTGCAAAAGAGCCTTTAGTCTGAATCACTTCACATTTTAAAGAAGTTTTTAAATTTTTTATGTGATTTACAGCCCGTCAGATCTTGAGGCTGATGATGAAGACAACCAGGAGTTTGACAGCCTAAATCAGTCTGACTCAACTGTTAGTAGTTTGGTTCATCCAACTGATCCGCCAACTCGTCCACGCCCTGGCACACCTGCTGGTGATAATCCTGATGAGGTATGTTTTCACTGTGATTTCTTTGCCTTATGGAAGTGTGTAAGTCGGTATTAATAATGATATTTGAAGATTAGCTTCTATATGAAGTGAGAATTCATTGAAAGTAATATGGATAATTTTGTCATTGTCGTAATTCTGGATTTAGTTTTTAATTAGCATAAACTATATTTCTTGTTTCAAAAATATTCCTTATTTCTGGAGGTAAGTTGTTGGGAATCATAAAACCAAAATCATAAATGAGTACCATCTTAAAATTTACGGAATGGTAACTGTAATAGAAAGAAACAATTTATATTTCATGGTATGATTGTCATAAATATCATTAATAAGTTCACAGATTTCCTTTCCTCTTTTTCAACAACCAATGCTCTATTTCTCTACAATGTTTTATTGGTCATATAAAGTTACAACAGATTTCTCGTAATTTTATTGTTTAATCAGGTGTGTAAACAGTAATATTTATACGATTGGGTTCGAATATGAATACAAATTTTGGTGCGGTTATTCAGTTTGTAGATATCTAAAATACACAGTAATCGAAGATGAAATGTTAGGATTTAAATAAGTAAAAAATATGTAATAGTAAGTATAAAATATACTTAGATGGGAGTGAACTTACCAAAGCATGTAAAGTTTAATCAAAAAATTATAACAGGTCAAGAAAAAGAAAGCAATTATTTTTCCTGAATGCCAGCAACAGTGGCTTTTCCTTCCCCGTACTCTTCCTCCACTCTGCGCCTATACCAATACAGTCTTCCCCACTTCTTCAGTTTCACCTCAATTTTGCCTTGACGCGTTGGAGATTGCATTAAAGTAATTTTATTAGAAGAAATGCATTTCGGTTCAATTTTTTTAATCAACCCTATGTTTTAATCTGTACCTCTCAAAGGTGTATATGTAAAATTGGTGTCAAATTGCTGTAGTAAGTAGCTGTCAATGATGTGACAGGGGTGAATATCTTTACAGGGCATGCACCAACATAAATCTATTATTTTTATTGATTTTTTAAACTGCTTCCCAGTTTATATCTACACCTGAAATGTTGCACAGGTGATTCAAATGTTATGTACTTCACATTGAAAAACCATCAGATTCAGTTTCGGACTGGAGAGATGTGGAGGTGAACACCACTTTTTTCTTAGCATCTTACTTATTGCCTCAACCATAAAGTGTATGGAATTCTTGCTACAAATTTCTCTTTCTTCAGCCAGAAACCTAACCCTGGCTCTTGCGGATGTAAAGTGAGTTAGCCATGAGCCCTTCAAGACTGGGGCATTTACTATTTTCGTAAGATAGGTAAATAATATTTTCTTGGGCCAAATGTATTGGCAAGGTAACCTTGGTGTGAACAAAGTTGGTTGATAGGTCTTTGTTTCTGAACAAAGTTGGTTGATAGGTTGGGATAGTTTATTGGAAAGAACATAAAAAATGACGAAGATCTCAGACATATAAAAGAAATAGTAGAAACTAAAATTTCAAAACTATGGAAAACCATGAAATCAATTGCAATCAAAATCCTCCAAAACTCTAATTGATTTCATGTTTTATTAACCTCTTGAAAAGTATTTTTTGAATTACTAATTCAAATTACTTTTCCCCTACCTTGCTCCTAATTTAAATATTAATGATGGGAATATATTTTTGCACTTTTTATGGTTATTTGCAATTGATATCATTATTATTTGTCATATTTTCCCATGCAAATTAGCTTCATAGCACTCTCATTGCAAATTTCCTTCTTTGTGACTAGTAAATCTTTAGTGGATTTTACACTTTGTGAACCAGATGGTTCCCCATATAACCATGGGAAATCAAAAATCTATCGAAGGCAAACATGGGAAATCGATAATCTATCTAAGGCTTATTGTGAAAAAAATAAGATTTTAAGTTGATCAACTTTTATTTGTTAATAATTGTTAATAACACATGTTAATAATTACTCAGTTACTGAAGATTGAATGTAAAAGTTAGTATACGATTTTTGAAAGTTTTTTAGAGAATTGTTTTTAAGTAATTATTCAAAAAAATAAATATAAATGTTTTTGAACAATTTCAAAACAAGATACTGCAATACTAAGGACTGCATTTTTAGGTGATCCACCTAGAGACAGGGCTCATTGAGAGCTTTCATTTTTTTACTTCTAACATGTTATGTAACCCAATAGAAAAGAATTCAGAATCTTGCCTTGCACCTAAATCAACCTACTGTGCCTAAATAGTCCTTAAGACTCTATTTCTCCCCTATTTCGCATTCTTCGCAATAAAATCTTATTTTTATATGCACATTGCATGAACACATACTGTTTAAAGTTACTTCAAACAATATTTGTGCAAGTCATGCACTTTGTTTTGCTACACTTTGCTGCAAAGTAACCTGCCTCTATTTTTAACCTCAGGAGAACAAGCAAAGGAGACCCATTGTCATTCATTTCCACCAGTTGTGAATAATGTGTGTTTTTGAAAAATTAATAATACTTGTGCCTAAAGATGACGATCAACTTTGTCAAAACATTGTTTTGCACTAATAATGAAAATTGAATATGTGTGATGTGTATCTAAAAAGTGTTTACTATGTTTTTGAGTTTTTAAAATATAGAAACATAACTTTCTTTAAGATTACGGATCTGTAGTTCATCAAAACTTATTCATTACCAGTTATCGCAACAGAGCTGTCATTTTTTAGCGGGCTGTTGCCAAAGGTGCTTCAAAATGTACACCATTAAGTCCTGATGTATTTATTGTGTTGCTCTTTTAAGCCTAACATTTGCACACTTCTGATGGCAAAACTGCTGTTTTCTCAAACAATGCATCAACGAAGTGCTCAATAGCATTTACCCCATCAGTAACTTGAAGTCCTCTTTCAAACAAATCCTGTAGCCCATCCCACTGCATAGACTTGTTGAATTGGATTGGATAGAGTATCACAAGTAGTAAGTAAAGAAACAAAAGGTTGCTAATGAATTAATATTATTGACAAAGAAAGTGCTTACTAATTGTCCTTCAAATGTTCTTGTACACAAACAAAACACTGTTGATTTCCTTTTAATACCTCAACTCATCACGACTCACTGGGGAACGTGGATAAACCATTGTGTGTTTATACTGAAGACTTGAAAAATAATTATGAATTCTGTTAGTACCATTGACGAAGACTGATTTGTTGCATAGTAAAAGCGGAAAAACTTTTGCACTTTACTGATTTGGAAAGAGAATTCTTGTGTTTTCACTTCTTCAAATTTCTTTGCATCTGTCAACCAACTTCAGAGGGACAACTGCCTCCTGTTGAACTGTAGCGAATTTTCACAAAAGCAAAGAAGAGTATAGAAGGATTTACTCTTCAGAAATTGGAACGATGTTTGGTCAAAATTCCAGATATTTTAAAGGTTACAAGCACTGATGATTTGCCATTAGAAGGAAGAATTGGGATTTAAGATTGCTCCCACCGCTGTCAGAGAATGTAGAAAGATATTTTTCTGCCTATTCAAACTTTGTGAAAGACAAGCAATTAAATTTTGATTTCCTTAACATTGGGATGTTATTTAATATCATTTATTTTTTTGTAGCACAGAGAACAGTAATATCATTGATGATATAAACAAGTTTAAAAAGATATAGTTTGTATGTAACTTACCTATTTACCCTCAACATTTCATGTGCATTTGTCATGTTATGATAAATAATCACGTATTTATATTTTGACTAATTTTTATTTTTTTGCACGTTAACATGCACCTATTTTTAATAATTTTTGCACCTATTTTAGCACTTAAATTAGAAAATGTTTGCCCCTAAAAATCTGGCTTCTAGCAATAACGAAACCATTAGTATAAGACAATTTTATGTAGGAAGATAAAGTACAATAACAAAAACAATTAAAATTGTGAAAAATATATTTGGTCTATCTAACATTTTCAGATGTAAGTTACTTCTCACACTACCAAAACAATTATATATTAAATTACAAGAAATTTATGGTTTTCTATGAAATGATATGAAATATTTGAATAATAAATGTGAAGGCCCCCATCACATTTTGTACACTGTGTTGTGCATTCCATATGGCATTGACTGCAATGTTTTTTTTCATTGCAGCAATATTCTTTAAGGAATATTTTGTGTTGTGATTATTATGCACTGTTCAGGTTACCCTCATTTTTCTTTTATGTAAGTCTTCCAACAATGGAAATCCTCCAAAACACTTATCAAAATATAAATGATAGGGTACTTCACCGACAGGCTCACACATCACAGTACTGTACGACAATACTTCTCTCTAAAGCTTTATCTTTGTGTGAATTTGGGTTGTGAATATCCCTTGGTAATTCCTTCCAAATTGCTTAGCCATTCAATGTGTCTCCAACACAAACAACTCAACAACAGCAATGACACTATTTTCACATAAAAAAAATTGTAGTTTGAATTCTCATTTACACTAGTATGTGTAACAAAGCAAAATGATTGCATGGAAAAAACTGCATGCAGTTGTAGAGGGCTATAAACAGCTGATCAACAGACTTTTCCACAAAAGTACCTGGACTCCCCAAATGCACATTTTAAATCAACAAACCAAGTATGAAATGAAAATAAAATCGCAAAATGTGATAAATAACAATTTACTCATAATGGTAAAAAAAAATCAATAAAATTTGTATACCTTTAATAACACGCAAATTAATAAAAAAGTACACCTGACCTTATATTTGACCAAGACAGACAACTAGTATTTCCTCTGTCCTCCCAGGGCAGCTAGCAAAGAGTTTCCAGCTCTCCATGGTGATAGCTTGTGATCTTTTCTGTGGTATTGTTGCAGTACTAAAATGCATAGGGAATGACTGCCAGCTCACATAAGGACGCATGTGAAGCCAGGAGGCTTGTGCTTCACAATGGTAAACCCATACTTTGGCGTTGTCTGGCTTGTTATGAGACACCAAAGGCAATGACTGTCAGGTGCTCTTAGATGATTTCATACATCGATATTGCTGTAATATCTCGATAATTGAAATATATTAAGTCAAAAAGATATATTTCTAAATGAAGAGAATTGTACAATTTTGTTGAGGGTTGTGCAACCTAAGGATTTGTCAAAGTCTTCAGTCAAACCTTCATTTGCATTATTTAATGGCTGTTTGAAATCATTCGCGTCTGTATCAGTCTCTGTGTATTTATTCTTCCACAAAAGGCAGAATTTCTTTCAGTGTACGTGTACTGTAATAAAATAGTAATAATACAATTTTTACAAATGTGTGGAGAACATATTTTAAAATCCTATTCAAAAACTAATAAAAATTGGCATGTTTGATATTAACATAGTCAATATTGAAGCTACTCAAAAGTTTCTAGATTCTTTTTTTGTTTTATTTTGAGAGATGTCATTTAAGACTTGAGAGGAAACTGATAGGCCTTCTGGATGGCATTGCTTGATCTCCAAATTCACTTGGATGTTATCAAAGAGAATAGTTTGAATTTTTTTAATTATAATTTATTTCAGGTGAGTTCAAAGAAACTTTTGGATAATCAAATACTTCTGTAGCACAGGTTCCTTCACAATTAAATTAGGTTAAATAACAAGAGTTCAACTTGCATTTGATATGTTACACCTATTAACATTTGGAAAATCTAAATTCATGTATTCTTATGTTGACCAAAAAGAAAAAATATTCTAAAAATGTAAAGAGTAAAATGAGCAAACAGCCAAATTAATTATTGATAAAGAATTCTTAACCGTTAAAATTGATGTAAACTCTATCATTATAAGAGTAATGTTCAACATTTCTATTTTAGTACTGAATACTATGTAAATTGTTTGATCTGAGACACTTTGGATGCAGAAAATGTGCCCTGGCATACATCAGCTAATATGTTCAACAGTGTAGCCGGGATAAGAGAATTTGATAAATAAGACAATTAACATGTCCTGGTATGGCAACTTTATATTAGAAGAAGAGCAAGTTATTATTAGTTATATTAGAAAAGTAGATTTGAGTGCCTATTTGTGTGCGAATTCCCTAGAAAATGGTGTGCGAATTACAAGGACCCTTTTTCCATCACACATAATCTTGCCATTGTGTCTGTTATACAATGTGTGGTGAAATACAGGCACATACAAAATTCGTAAGTTACTTAAAACTTCACCTTGCCAATTTCTCCACCTCTGAAGGTGACATGATAATGGACATTTTTGTTGGTAATTTTAAGCAAGATGGTTATTGGATTTTTTCTTCAGTAATGGCTCAAGTACATTCAAAGAGTGTCATATAACTTAAAAAATTCTTGCTATAGATTTGGCCAGGATTTGTGCCAGGAAGGGGCAATGTTTTTAACTCAAAACTAAATCATCCCAGTTTTTTGAAAAAGTAGAGCAGATTGTACTCGAGTGTAATGTTATAAAGAATTAATAAAATTAAATTTTTATTAGTCTCTTCTTTAGAGATTTCATTTATTAGAAACTTTCTTTGTTTTTGCCAGATAGAAGTTTGTTACATTGAATAAGTTTGTAACGGTTAAGATTAAGTTAATAAGTTTGAATGTTTCACGGTTTTAGGGTTCATGGAAATGAGGTTTTTCTATTTAAAGATAAAGATAAGATGAATGGGACCCTTTTTGAATATAACCTTCTGTTAATTTACAGCTATTGTACGTATGTTATTGCATCATTTACAATGTCCAACGAAAGTTTTCAAATTTATCAACCTTTGCACTGTGTAAAGTAAATGTTTATTACAAATCCAATGTTTTCAATAAAAGTTGTGCTTTTTGTGGAATTTTTATTTCAATTATATTTTGCATTATTTCTTATCCATTTTATAGGGGAGATCATGTGATATGCATACCTGCATAAAATGGTTCTCCTTACAATTTTTGAATGGTTGAAGAATTTCAATGCACTTTTCACAGAAGGGCCTGAAGCAATGATGCTAATAGATTCATTCATTGAATAATTTCTTATGATAACATTATTTATTCTAGGCATTTGGTTTCAGTAAATGGTTATCTAATACAATAAAAATCTAATAAAATATTTCATTCCTAATATTAGAGAAGTTTCACTCGTGATTTCTGTAATAAACACTCTTGTGGTTTCCCTATTCCTGTTCAGTTCACTTCAGACCTCTTCTATCTATTCCACTCCAGTCCACAATGCCCACATGCACGCCGCATGCCACTCACTGGCGTTCTCATCGCACAATGCCAAATGCACTTGCGCACACATGCATGCACTGAGCACACACATGCACATCTAACATATGTACATCTAACACATGTACATGTACTGAACACAAACACACGTTGTGCAACCAACACACACACACATGCAAACATACTCATGTAGGAACGCCTATTACGTTAATTAAATAGTTTTCTAAATTTTAATTAAACACTGAAACAAGAAAACTTAATAGATTTAATTTTTCTGTATATTAATAGATATGAAGTTCGTACTGCATGTTTTATGTTCTTGCCTGAAGAAACAAATGCTTTGAAAATACTTGTAAGTGATTTCACTCTATGAAGGGTGCATCAATGCAAATTGAAAGGGTTGATTGCAACAGGATATTTGCCCCTCTCAGCTTCTGGAACGGGCTCAGGAAGAGAACAGACGGCTTCTCTCTCTCCTGGAGGACAGAGACCACAAAATTGCTGCTTTGGAGGCTCGCATTTCCCAGCTGCAAAGGGAGATGGCTCTGGAGAAGGAGAGATTACGAGAAGAAAATACTGCTCTAATACGTGCCATGACATCGCTTGCCACCACCAAGTGAAGTCAACTTTGAGCGCTTGGCTTTAGCTTCTCTTGCAGCTTGTAATTATCCAATGGGAGGTTTATTTACCTGAGAGTACAGAATAAATCACAAGGTAGCTGGAAATGGATATATAATAGGTGCGTCTCTTTATTGGGAATGATGGGATAATTACCTAATGTTAAAAAACATGTTCGAGGTCGTTATTTCATGATGTAAATTATTTATGAAATTGTGAATGAATAAGCAGGTTTTGCAATTTTATTTTAGCTTCATTAACCTTCTTAAATGTATCTCGCATTACTATTTTAAAATAGTTTTAGTATTTTCAGTTATGTTTACATCTTAGAAAAAACATAGTCTTGTATGCACATTCCATTTTAAACTAAAAATCTCTGCTTCCAACTACCTTTGCATTCCTCATTTTTAATTTTATTGTATATCTTACCCAATACAGAATACTTATGCAAACAGTATATAAAGATTGTTCTTGGCCATGTCCAATATAATTTATATGTACTTAGATGGGATGCAGCTACTTACAGTAATTTTCTACAATGTAAATTAGCTGCACAAAAAAAGAATACTTGAGATACATAAACATTTTATTTCAATTATAGGATCACAATGGTGAAATTGAACTGTGTATGTAGAGTACTATAACTCTCTTTATAGAATTTAGTAATTATTGATGAAGGGTCAAATTCAGTCAAATTAAGATAGTTATTTTACTCGTTAAGTTCTTCTAATTGCAAATAATTGATTCTAAGTGATTCTTTTATTTGAATATAGTTGATTCTAAGTGAACACTCCAATTAATGTTATATTATAATACATTAAATATACAACTTTCTGAATTCATAAATAAATGCACACAGTTCAGTTGTAATAGGAGGGTCTCAAATTTTAAATGGCCTTGTACTTTGTGATTACTATTCTCTGTTTATCTTAATGTTGTGCTGTTTATGAGCAGAATTGTAAATTATAAGAGGATTATTGATTGATGTAGGTATTGTTAAATTGTGGATAATTCTCCGAAAAATGTGTCTTTTTGACAAATATATAATTACTTTTTAAGTTGCTTTTAATTACATATTTGCATATATTTTAGAAAAAATTGGAGTTTACTTTTGTATTGTAATGTTCTCTATTTTTTCAATGTAGAATTTATAGTAAAGGGATAGATTTTATCTCATTATGCAGCTGCTATTTGTATATTGCAAAAACAAAGATGGTAATAAAATAAAGTGTCTTACACACATCGATATTACTTGTATAGAACAAAAATGTTGTTCAAATCTGATAAATAGAATTAGAAATGGAAAAATGGAAATTGCCTTTGTGTAGTTAAATTTTCCTTAAACTGTAAATAGACAAAATTGTAAAGTTCATCACTTACAACAATATTTCAATTTTTTTCTTAGTGCCTTCCTGTACTTCAATGTGTTGTTTTTTCTGTTTTGGCATGTGAAGATAATTTTCCATAGTTCCCATTTTTTATTATTTTTTTAATTGCAGTATATTTTCTATTACTTCTGACTTTTTAAATTGAGAATTAAAGTTTTATTCAATTTCTCACTATTAAAAACGTTTGAGATTTAGAAAAGCTTAATTTAGAACTGTTCTTTTGCACTTGGAGTATTACAAAGCTCTGTTCTAATACTGTCATGGACTGTGCTGAACTTGTATCAGCAATTTAAAATATATATAATTGTTCCTTATTAAATTGTTCTTCCTTTCATATTAAATTCGTAAAAAGAAAAAGACAATTTATTATATCGATAAGGTTAAACAAGATGGAAAACAATAAAATAAATATTTTTTGCTATTTTAATTTAATTTTTTGTATTATACAATGTGATTTTTTATAGACTGAATGTCTAATGACTTTCTGGGAATGATATCTTATTGTCATGGACTGAATTATTATTATTAATTATATCTTTCTAATATATCTTGTCTATTTGTTATAATTGATATAAATATTTTGAAATATTGGTTTAGCTTTATTGCAATGGAAGAGTTGTGTATAGCTTTCCATGATCAAATAAAGCACTGAAAAATAATTTCAAATTTCTCTTAAAGAAATTCAATTTTGAATTATTGTTCATTGTTTCTGAAATTGAAAACAAGGGTTCCAACTAATTCAGTATTTTAATTATAATTTTTTTACTGTATGTTTCTGATTCTTTCAAATAAAAGAACATAATATTTAGATCAATGAAATATATTTACAGAATATTATTATGGTCTTTTTAGAAAGTAATCATTATTTTATCAAGTATCTGATATCCTTAGAATAATATTTTATTTTGTTAATGTTAGTGATTAATATGCAGTGCTCTGAAATACAATTGTTTTGTGTTCTTTGGAGAAGTATGTTGTGCGTCTCTTTCATTTTAATGCAAAGAATGCAATCTGTATGAGTAGGTTTATTTATGTTGACTAATGTAGGTTGTCCATTTCATTTCTTGTATATTGTATTAAATGAATATGATTACACCCATATTGGTAATTTTGTTTTTCAACATGGGGATAAATATTGCCATAGTACATATGACCTATACTGTCTTGTCCTCAGATATATTGCATATTTCTTTAGATTAGCTTTCTTGTGAGATTAATGAAACATAGGGTGCAGAATGTACTGGATAAAACTCATGTTTATGTATTCTATAATAACTTATTTTCTTTGCTGTAATCCCACACAGAGAATAAAAAGTGCATATATGTTTCATGATACATAACTAAAACATACTAGTATGCTTTGTTAACTTGTTGTTCTCTGAAAATGAAATATTTTGTTCTTCCAATCTTCTGATTTGTGAATATACCTTTGTTTTAAACTCACCCTCACCACATACGTAACTGCCCTCTTACACTCATGGCTCAGGATGGATAGTTGTAACTGTGGAAGATTTTATGTTGTAGAGGGCTGCTTGTGGAAACAAAAAAAAAAATGTACTTGATTTTCGAGACAACACAATACCCTCAATATAAATAATATCAGAAAGAACCTGAATGTTTCGTTTGATTGAAAAAATTTGTATTTTATTCTTCATTTTCTGTCAATTTAATGAATTTTGGAAAAATTGTTTATTTCCGCTTGTGGTATTAATAGATTTTATTGCAGATGTAATTTTGCATTGTTGGTCTGCAAGTGAATTGAGATACATTGTTGGTCTGCAAGTCATTGAGATGCATAGATTCCAGGTGGCAAAGTACATTATCAACAACGTATACATCAAAAAGGTCAGTTTTAATTATTTTATTATTTTTATGAAATTATTTTTACATAATGATAACATGTTTACAAATAAAATGGTCAAGTAATTCAGGTTCGTGACATGGGCTCGGAGCAAGAGAGTCGAAGTATGTGAATGTTAAGGCAGTTGGATCGAAATTTGTATAAAACATGAACGAGTTATGTTGTGTTTGTGAGGTGGAGGTCAATCCAAGTCCCCTCATCATTACATCTATACCCTAATCCTTCAATAATCTCTTGGTCAAATGGGGAGAAATGGCATGAAATTTCATTGTTTTGTTTAATAACATTGAAAATGTGCACCTTGGAAGGCACCAAATGGTGGCACTTAGCATTTTCTTACATTCTTAGCATTAGAAATAATATAGCAATAACATAACCCATTGAGTGGGGTGGGAATGGAACATGTGGTTTTTCACCTAATTTTCAAAATGTGTGTGTTGTAATATATTCAACCCTTACAGAATTTACAGGACGACAATGTATTCACTTGTGGGTGGATATTAAAAAATAATTATGATTTATGTTAGGAGATAAAAGAAATGTTTTTGAACAAATTTTCTCATAATAGACAAAAATAAGACAAATAAATAAGTACCAATCTGCTTTAGTGACTCGAAACAAAATATCAAAATGTTTTCTAATCACTTTACTGTTATGTCAGTCCTGAAGATTGATCTTTTACCAACTTGTGTTAGAATAAGCACACTCCTTTCTACATCGTTTACTTTGTAGCCTACTAGAAGGAATATTCTTTATCAGGTCATTTCCAATATTTGCAATATTTCTACATTGCTTTAACTTGTTACTAACAAATATCTATTGAATAATTGTAAAATGAATAGGGGTGTGCTAAAATAAAATTGTCTGCTCTGCTGCTGAATATGTAGAAGTTTTCTATCTTATTATCTATTCAATATTTAAACACTCGTCTGTATAATCCTGCCACAATTTTTTGACATAGTGTTGAGGTGCATATAATATTGTAATTTCTGCCCTTCTAACAGCAGCAATAGTTTGAAAAAGTCCAATTCAACCAATTCAAGTGCTGTACCTGGTGTAGATATTTGCATTTATTTCGATAGTCAGGAACAGTAATTATTTGTACTTTAACAAGTGAAACAAGTATGAATAACATTAACTTTTACAGATGTAAAATTTTTAATGTTAATCAGCACTTTTACAGTACAGTAATGTTTTGTATAATGTGGCACATTATACAAAAAGCAAGAATTATTTCACACAAGCTTGCCTTGAATATATCAAAGCTAGCTTCCAATTTTCCAATATAATTAGTGACAGGAATCCATGCTAAAATCAAATCCCATGCATCAAATGCTAAAATATTCTTTCAAACATGCTCTAACACAGCCACACTTGCACAATGCAGGGTAATCTAGTGATGCTACAGAATGGCATAGACATTCTCATTGTAGTTTTCTAATTTCTTCGGTCTGGGTTAGCTTTTTGATCTCGTTTCATCCTCTTGATAGATACCATCTACTGCTGTCCATAGTATTTTTCATTTTTTTTAAATTTTCTAAATTTTTGGTTTTATAATGGTAGAACTAAAATATTGCTTCAAGGTTGTTATAGAAGAGTAAAACCTCATCCTAAATGAGAATTTTTGCTGAAAAAATCCCGATCCGCTTGTAAGAAAATGACGTGTATATCCTCTTATACTGTTCATTTAGCACTATCCCTACCAAAAGTTTAACGAAAAAATTGGAGCAGTTTTAATTCCTTCAACAATCATTAATGACTTGACTAGAGGTATACCTGCAGTTTCCAATTTCTGAATTCCTGTAGACTAACAAAATTGGATTAAACATCTTTTTTTTATTTTCTCACTATTGCTTATGCAGTGTGGAGGAAAAATTGTGCACGAAATAATGCTGCATGAAAAAGTGGATAAATATTATCCCAATATATAAAATTACTTCCTCTAACACATTGTGTAGTGATCCAGGTTTTGTGGGGACTCGATACCGAAAAATCGATTGACGGCAAAACTCTGACCGTCACCGAAGAACGCTAGCGGCTATATGCAAGTAGGATTTTCACCAAAACTGATATTCCTCAATCAATATGGTTGATGTCGCGCCACCTTGGATTTGACGAAAACGATATTTTATATTTTGGGGAATACTTTACATTGGACCCCTAAGATATTTTCAAAAATTTGGTTCCAAATTGTTTGATTGAATTTTGTCCTCTTTATAGCGTTAAGGACGCTTAAGAGAATTACGCAGATTTCATTGTCGTTGAAATATCTTATTTTTCGGACATTGTAAATGTTAATATTTTTGTGGCATCTTCCTACAATTGTAATTATCAAAATAGTTTGTTTTTTTAATGAAATGTGTTCATCAGAAACATTTAAATAAGATCATGTTCAATATTTCGGAAAAATGAGTAATTTTGTGTAATTTTGCAAGCAACAGGTAATTTTTGAATTTTAAACAATTACGTTCTCAAAAACCGCTTCAAAGTTTTTCCGTGCATGTAGCAAAGATCGATAAAGAAAGTAATGCTTGTCCAACTTTCGGCGCGCTCCTATTTTCAGTAATCGTAAACAAAATCGAAAAGGTAGATTCTAATTTCTCGTTCTGCTTCGTTTGTCGCGCTGAGAGTTCGTTAGCAACACGGTGGTTGGAAATACTTATGGTTTTTGTCGTTGCAAATCATTTTAATCGCATGATATAGATAATATTATGCAAAGAAATATTTTTAAGAAAGTTAATAGATTTAATTTAAGAACTAACAAATACACTTATATTACTTTAAGAGGATTTTATCGCTGATTTTGGTATTAAAAATTTACGTTTTAATCAAAGGAAGCTTGTCTAAAATTATTCTTGCTTTTCTGTATAATGCATGTACTGTCTCAGTTACGTATATTAATGGTTGAGCAATTTGTAAAAGTAAGAAATTAATACTGTTCCTTATATCGCATAAGCACCAGAGACGGCAAATTGGTTGGATTGGTATTGATTAAAGTTAAGGCGTTAGTAGGGCAGGAATTACAATGCCATGTAACTATTTCCAATAATGTGAGGAACATGCAGTTGTAGCACTTCCAGTTTTATTTTTAAAGACCTTTTTCACTCAAGAGGACTAAGCATCTGCTTTTGATTATTTTCCCTTACCATTGTACCAAATGATATTGACTTAGGGTATTCTGGGTTCTGTATCTTCATTATACTTCGTGACTTAATCGCTTAGCGTTGATTTCATTTCGCAATTGTTGCTCACAGCACGTGGACTTGCTTCGGAAGTCCTATTCGGAGGGTTAACAATAGGTTGTTGTAGTAACAATAAGCAATAACAACTTCTAGGATCTTTTAAATCTAATTTATACAACACTAGTGCTCTTCGCTTTTGCAATATATTGCACTTCACACGCTACTGGTGACGTGGTTGTCAACCACGTTTTACGCTGCGCAAAAATGTTAATAGCTGGAAAACTCACGAGTATGGGTTTGGTCATGGTTATCATGTATCCTATTGTTAAAAGGTTATCCCTCATGTTTTAACATGCATTCGATATGACACTTTTGGAGAAATTTTCGTTTTGATTTACTTGTTTGAGATATCGTTAAAGTAATAATCCCCGCCGATAATTCACAATCGCAAGGGCTGAATATGCAGCGAAGAAGTGCTTAATGCTTGAGGATTTTGCGTTTATGTGCGACAGACATTCCCTTGTACAATGCCTACATTCTTCGCACAAGAACAAGCAATAAGTTGACCAATTACATAAAGAATAATAAAAGGTACCTAATATGCTAGATAGAACTAAAAATTCAGTATTGATTTCAAAAATTGTCCTTCAGCATCTCAACTTGTACAGGCAAATTTACTTTTTCATTTTGCAGTAGTTTACTTTCTGCGTTACTAAGAATTTCATTTCACAATATTGTTAAAAAAACTGTTTAAAGTTTTTTTTCTCTAATGCTGGAGATTTAAGACGTCTCTGATGACTGGTTTGTTACATCATTTCTTATAGACTGAAGACATAACCTATTTCATTATATCCTTCATATAAAGCAGTTATTGCATCTGTTTGTGCAGACCATCTAGTATCTGGAAGTTGTTTCACCACTTTATGATGATGACCGAAATATGAACAAAGTATCTCCCAGCGAAGTGTTGACAATGAAAAGGTGTAATGATTTTGTACCAGATCAATGTAAATTGGCCAGTACATGGTACATACTCAGCATACTTATTTAGTTCTTTTATCTTCGCTTGTAAACCTGAACATCGTTCTGACATGTTCGCTGCATAAGACTGTTCCCTACAATTCAGGATAT